GACCCTATCATGACCCACCTTGACCCCGTCATGACCCACCTGGACCCTATCATGACCCACCTTGACCCCATCATGACCCACCTGGACCCTATCATGACCCACCTTGACCCCATCATGACCCACCTTGACCCTATCATGACCCACCTTGACCCCATCATGACCCACCTTGACCCTATCATGACCCACCTTGAGGCCGTCCGGCAGGAACGCCACGGTCGTGAGGGGTGCGTCGCAGGTAATGAGCTGGACAGTCCTGTAATTAATCAAATAGAAGACATTATTCCTGATTGCTTCAGTAATTCAGGTAGGAATAGCATTAAAATCACTGACGTGCTCAGTTCATATGTGAAGAGAGTGAACTTGAAGGGTGATAATAAATTCCTGACAAAAGTAGCAGTTTTAAAGACGATTATATCCACTGTATCAAGTGATAAAATATTGAAGAAAATTATATCAAAAGTAAATAAGAACCGAAACTGGAATGAAGCTGTGCTAATATAAGGGAAAAAATTACCTCATAAGGGAAATGAATAGAGGTAATACGTGGAATTGGTTATGACGTGTTTTGCCATTGATTTTGTTGCAAGTTGTTGGCTAATTCATAAGATTCGTAATTCCATTTTCTTTGATTTGCTGGATCAATTATTTAGCAAGTACTAAACATATTTCACATCTCTATTTTCTCAATAATGGTGTGAAGAGAAAAAGTAAGGAGAGACAAATCAATGCTAAAATAGATAAAACAATCATAATTTCCATAATTGCTATGGATATTGTTGTCAACTGTCAATTAATAACCTGCAGAGAAAATGACTTCATTGGCAAGGTAAAAGACGGAGTACAAACTTTGATTGTAGTAGCATAGGCAACACGTAATAGCGTCCTGACTGTAATCCCTGAGGAAAGTCAGGTATCAAAATCGAGAATTGAAGTGTTATATGTCTAACTTGAGGCTATTGATGTTGTAGAAGATGAGCTTCTTATCATATCCTGCAGAGACAAGCAGGAGCTCGTTGGTGGGAGAGAAGGCAAGGGCGGAGCAGGGAGCAGAGTGCCTCTGTGCCAGGCTGCTGGTCTTGCCAGTGTTGCAGTCGAGACAAGCCACTGAGCCGTCCCAGCACGCGACACTCAGTACCCCGCGCCGCAAAGCACTGTACTTCACGCACTTCACTCCTCCCTGTTGTTAATTAAATATAGTGCGAATATAAATCTTGTTCTAGTGAATTACTACATTCATGATTTAATTATTAATATAATTGGGGTGATTTTATCCAAAGTAATGATTATAACAATTTATTACGATCAATTTTTATCACGAGCAATAATACTGTCATACATGCCACAATAATGTGTCCAACTCAACAATGAATTATCAAGATAAACTAAGATGAGAACCTGGCATGAAGTGATGTGGTAAGGACCAGTGATGGTGCTGTTGGTGAAGGAGAGCAGGTGCACACTGCCTGCCTCCCCACCTACAGCCAAGTGAGAGTCACTTGCACTGAAGGCAATGCTGGTCGGTGATTTATCTTTCAACTGAAATGGTCGAGCAAGTGCATATGAATAAATTTGGAGAATTGTCATTATCAAAAACTGGTTAAAAATCAATGACAATTCCAACTATCCAATAATTATCAATTATTAGTTGTTGAAGTTACTAATGAAAATATATTGTTTCTGCACAAAAAAAAAAAAAGGATTGTGAAAATGCACCAGCATCATCATGCAACGGCCTGAAGCGTCAAGACTGGTAGTACATTTGGAGGCTCTCCAGCTATTAAACTTCCAACCACAGGACTCATTAGGACTTCAAAATTATTTTCAGAGTAATTTCAAATTTTATTTTGAGTGGAACCTTATCTGCCAATTCCATGCAATTGTAATAAAATTTGTAATTTGCAAATTTCATGTCCATAAAAATTTTGTCAATCAAATATTTTTCAGAACTTTGATAATGTATACCGGTATGTAGGTACATCTTGCCACATTTGAAATGTCTAAATACATCAAAATATCTTTTTAAATCCTGATTCTGAATAGAATAACGCCAGCAAAACACATTTTCCTCATTGCAGGAACAAGCAATAAAACGATGATTAAATTTAATGTCTGGAACTTCAATCAAACTTGCATTAAATTCACAGTATACAGAAATGATCTGCTTCTAATATGCTAACCAGCTTTTACTTCTTGATTATCTTGTAACACATTTAACAACTTGTCTACATAAGAAAAGTAGGTATTTCCATACCTTTAACGATAGATTTATAACTTTTTGGATTCAATCATGATAAGATTTATAAAACTAACTCTGTAGTTGCCCATAATTTTTTAATAAGAAATATTCATCTTTCACCAATATGACCTTAAATAATATTAATCAATAAAACCAATTCAATAAGACAACATAAAAACGAGACAGAATATTGACTACCTGGAATGTCTTCTTAGGCGAGACTGAGTTGGTATTCCAAACAATCACTTGGCCTGAAGACTCCACTACAGCCACAAATTCAGCTGCTTTGTGAGCATAATCTATGGCTCGGACAACACATCCCTGCACAAAATTTATTGGTTATTAGACCATCAGTAGTATTTAACAAATGTTCTATTACAAGATCAGTGTACATAAATAACCAATCAGTTTCTTGATAACAAATAGGAACTGGTTTATGTGGTAAAAAAAATCCGGAATTCTTTATAGATGACTTCCATATCTTCAACTGGAATCCTTACAGACAAGAACATCAAAAATAGCACATTACAATAGCTCATTGCACATTCATTTTGGCAGCTGTTGAATGAGATCAAATTTGGGAAATGAAAAATTTGCATGTATTACAGTATGCTGTAAAATTATTTGAACATTTTACACAAACAAAATTGATTCCATCTAATTCCTCAATATACCAGTTGTGACAGTTGTACTATGGCAGGTGAAGCAAATATACCAACCATCAATAATTTCTGTGATCTTTTTTTAATCCCCAAAGAGTTCAATTATCTATTCATGATCATTCAAAGGCAAGTAAAACAGAGAATCCAATCACAAGGTGATAGAAAATATTTGTTTGGTTTGCTTGGGCTTTGGTACACTTGGGCTGCAGTGCAGGATAAAAGTGCTGCATGGTGGCTCCTGGGGTTATGGGATGAAAATATGTAATCATGTACGGTACAGGTCATTGAAGCTTTAGGATGAATTGAAAGGTTCATAAGACTTTGTTCTAATTTCTCAATGTATAATAAATTGTATATACAAGTTCATCAGGGTGCGTACCGATATTGAGAAAAAAATTCCAGGACTTTTCCAGGACTCTCCATGATCATCAGTATAATTTTCCAGGACTCGTATACGACAGGTTTAGCATGACTGAAAGAGTAACCGTGCATATTCTATCATCTCCTAAAGTTGATAACTTAAACTAGCAAATGTGTAAATGCATAGAGCAGGCAGACACAGAGGATCAAAAAGTGACACAAATCTGGAAATCAAGCCCACACTTTTATTACCTATTATGAATTCAATAGTGTCAAATCACAACAAATATTGAGTAATGCACTCAATATTGCACATGATAATGTCAATACAGTTCAGAACATGATTCAACACCACTACCCTAACAGTCAACTGGCAGCTATTTCATCAACTTTTTCTTTACTGTTCAGTTCAAGAGTGTCTAGCTCCTGTTGCTTTGTTGCTTTGTTTTCAAAGATCGCCTCATGGCATTGAACTTTGCGATGATTTTCACATCCCACTTTCGCTCCATTGCTTCTGCATATTCATCTGCTGCTTGCTCAAGCGCCTTGATGCCCTCCTCCATACGCCTTTTCTTCTTCTTCAGTTCATCCAACAAAGCCTTCCTCTTCTGGGTTTTCTGGGCCTTCTCAATCTGCTCTTTCTCTTCTGCCACATAAGTATTGTAGGCTGTTTTGGCACTACCAGCTGCAAGCAGCATCTTCTTGGTGATGGTCATCTTGTCCAGGCCACCAACATGTGCAACATGATCAATCACAGCATGCATGGCAACCAACATTTGTTCTTTCATGTTGTGTGTCGTGATTTCCTTATTGAATGAAAACCCTCTTTCAACCGTGGCTTGGCCATAAGATAGGAGCACGAGCATCTGCACTACATTCCAGAGCTTCTTGTAGGTGCTCTTTTGACAGGATGGCATACGGTACCAAAAAGTGTCCAGTCGATCAGAAGTTAAAAATGCTTGAAACTGTGCATTCAATTCACTGCAATGATATGTGATATCTATTCTTGGTGTTGGATCAATAATATTTTAGCTGGAACTTCAGGGATGTACTCGAGCTTCTTGCTCAGCTAATGCGTTTCATTTCATGCAGTTTTTTCAATGGCAGGCAACAAAGTCACAGACAATGAGATAAACTATAGGAACAAAGAAACTTTGATAGAAACTAGCGATGAGGATGCAGGTGCACCAGTGCTGAAGCTGCACATGCACCAGCGATATCTCAGGCACATGCACACGTGAATGACTTATAGTCTCCTCCCCATGGGTAACATAGACAAGTTCGAGCGGTCAGGGTTGTCGTACACAGAGATGGCTCTGCTTGAGGCCTGAAATTCGATCCTTTCATTCTTATAATTTTCAAAAATCATTCAAGTTCACAATTGTGCATTTGAAGACTGCATTTGATCGGAAACAATCTATATTAATGCCTAGTAAAATAATCGCAGCGTATGTAAAATAGAAGAAACCTAAATAGTACTCAACAAAATTAAGGGCAGATATGATTTGCACCCGAGGTTGTAGCGTGACACGACAACCCGTGGCGATTAGGGTTAACACACGCAGCACAGAAAAATACTTCCTTTATTTACTTATTTGCAAATTCCAGTATTTTCCATAATCTGAAATGAAATTCCAGTACTTTTTAGGCCTGGAAAATGAAAAATTAAATTCCAGGACATTCCAGATTTTCCATGCTCGGTATGCACCCTGGTTTACGCTTATGAAGTTATGAACTCAACATGATATCACAAAGATACCAAATGTTAAATTCCTCAACTCATCAGATTGGTCAAGATAGACAATAGGCAAACAGCACACTGTCCACTGTTTCCACACTTTCCACTTAAGTGGAAAGTGTGTCCACACTTAAGTTATAACAGACAGTTCTCAGGCACACATCGAAGTGAGCAGCTATATGCAGCTCTTTTGAGGTGAGTTATACCTTAGACAATAAAGTTGCAAAATAGGTGCCGTACACATCACCCATAATTAATGCAGGCAATTTATATATGCCATTTATGTACCTATTTCCCACTTTAAAAACACTTTCTGAACATAACATGTGCCAAGCAAGTGCACCATCACACCATGAGCCTAATTTGCTTACATCCTGGCCTATGTGTTGAAAGTACAACAAAACAACCTAAACAGCATGGATAATAAATAAACTCATACACACCCAAGAGTTTATCTTCCTTAGGGGGAAGTTGCAGACAACAGGGAAAAAAAAGAGATAAAAAATTGATAAGCCTGAACAACCTACTGTTTTAATGGAAGGAAGTTGCAGAGATGAAGTATCCCTGACAGCTCTGAGACTGACTTCATTGCTGTCACTGCAAAAGCTGCCCAGACATCCACCATCATTGCTCCAGGAAATGCCCATCACATTGCTCTCTGAAAACAGAATCAAATGTATTAAATAGATTGTCAGTGTAGATGTGACTAATTCCAAATAGTTTTCTTAAAATTTTACTCCAAATTCAAGTGATGCATAAGGTATAGTCAAGAATTAAAAATTTCTAGAATTAGTGGAGTTATCTCTCACAACGTCTTTGTTGGAATATATGTGTTAATTAAAATAAAATATTTTTATTGGTCCAAGGCAGCACCTAATTCAGAGGATAGTTCTCTTCAAGCATTGCTGTAATAAGCAATCTCATGGACATCAAAATTGTTGATCTAGCTGAACTACCCAGCTCAGCTGCCCATCATGGGTCAAAACAACAATGAATTAAAAATTTTTGTAAAAAAATCCCTGGATATGTACAAGCTGAAACTGCTATGCATAAAAAAAATGGTGTATATGCATAAGGACCTAAGCCAATTTATCATGTTTAAATTGAGTAAATTGCATTCTCACCTGAAATTCTCACAAGTGATTTCTGATTTGTCATTTACTTACTTCCCTGCAGGGTTTTTAAGCAAGGTCAGGTGCCTTAAGGGCTTGGTGAAAATGGAAAATTTTTCTTTTTTTAGTTTCTGTTATAAATTCATAGCTTCAAATTTGGCAATCCAACGGTGTAATTGGCATGTCTATGTGTGCGTTAGTTCATTCACTAGGTTGATTTTAGTAAGTGGTACATGGTTCATTTTTGTATGCAACCTAATCAGTTTTTCGGGTTTCTTGAAAAATTTGAATTTTCCTTTTTTATACACTTTAAAATTTTTATAACTCCTACAGTTTTCAAGCTACAGGAATGAAAGACATACAGTATCATTCAATTTGTAAAATCCATACTTTTTATATTTTTGGATTTGTGTATGATTCCCCTGCAATGGGGTGACTTTGGCCACATGTGTTAAAACACAGTAAAAACATCGTAAAATTATTCCGCGGCCAAATTCACACATAAGCAGGGTGACATTGGCCAGTCGGCCACGTAGGGTGTTTTAAAATAATATGCGTTTAAAAATTACTTTTTAAATTGCAGTGTGGAATTCTGTATAGGTAATATATTCTCATGTTAACATGAGAGAATGTATCGAAAAACCTACCCTACCACGTTACACCACCTTCCACTGTAGTGAAAATTGATACACCAACACTGAGCTCATTAGAAACTGCTGCGCTTCCGAAATCGCGTGTGGTTTGACATCCAATCCTGTGATAGCAGCGCCTCAATCAAGTTAACTAGTCATTTATCTGTAGGGTAGTTAACAAATTTTTGCAATGAGTACCTATGCTCTAAAAAAACACATCAATATTCGCAAAAAATTCTTACGATTGGACAATACCAACATAGTTTTTTATATCACACAAAATTATGAGATAAACTGTCACTCTTTCACTGCGAATGTTAACATCATGCTTCTACGTTTACGTATGACAAGGCGGTGTCACACACACTTTTGTTTTGGTTGTGTCTAGTTTGATTTCACAATAAATAGATTTGATCCACATTCCATACTGAGATTTAAATGATAGAAAGTCGTTTTAAATTATAAAAACCCATTGATACGTTCCAGATTTGAATTTTTTCATTTTTTTGCCCTAGTATGTTTTTTTCATCTTAATAACTTCACTTCAAAATTCAAATTTTGAATGATTTCATCTGCCATTGCAAGTTTTCAAATGTTTTGTGTCTTTTAGAAAGTGTTTGCTGTTTAAAAGGGAAAACTATTTTATTATATGAAACATAGAGCATGTACAATAATGTGCATTAACAATACAATACAATTTAATTTAATAAAAATTAATTTTAATTCAAAAAATTTAATTAGATTTTTAACACTTTAACCGCATCGTGACCCATATGTGGGTCACGCGTGTCTGTCTCAACCTGCATCATGACCCACATATGGTGCACACCCTTAAATTTTTAATTATTCATTAAACTTCCATATTAACCTCCTCAATCACATTTTAGGTGTTGTAAGTAAAGGATAATGATGACGATAATGTATACTAAGCATATATTTTGCGTGTAGCGAGTAAACATTATTAGTAATTCTTTGTTGAACTTAAGTCCTTAGGCGCTTTATGACAAAATAGAATGCTTCAGACTGAAGCATGAAACGCACAGATACGGTTTATTTTCGCAAGTATCGCAATAAGTGTTTATCTTGCGAGTTTTTGAACGGGCTACTTTAGTTCCTTCCGCATTGGCAATTTGGCTGTAGCAAGACAGACATCTCTTCTTACTTTTAGGCCTATCAGCCTCAACCAGTTCATGAGATTTGCGCTATCCTGAGATATTTGATCTACCTGGACCTGGGTTCAGATTCTCTTTAGCAATTCCGCAAAAGAGTGACATTGCAAGACTCTTTTTGAATTTCAGAATTGACGTTTTTCTTCGTCGTTGCGGGAGACAAAATTTGTTATAAATAACCTAAGCATTCACAATTAAAGTTCCTAACAGCAATTCAATGGCGAGTTTTCTGTACCATTTGGTGCTCTTTCTGAGAACTGAATTATAAAAAGTCATTTGGTCAGATTTATCAACCCCAATTTTTGCAGCATTATAATCTGTAATGCATGCAGGTTTCATTACTGTTCTTGAATACACTTGCAAAAACTAAAGTTCTGCAATCAATGGAGTCTTTGAAATGACAAAATCATTCAATTTAAAATTTTTTGCCATATGAGCGAGATTGTCAATCATCATAGGAGCTGTAAGAAAAAATTTGTTGTTCTTGATGTAAAAGAATGTTTTTAAATTAAGAGAAATGCAATGCTTGATTTTTGGAAATACGATGCTAAATTTAATGATCTGTATTAGAATTCAATAGATGTTACGCTTTCAAAATAAATTTGAAAAAGTCTGTACTTATTTAGAATTTATAATTTTACAAATTGCATAGCACAATGCACAAATTCAAGGTCACTTATGAGTATGAATTTAAGTCTCATGACTGGAGAAGGTTTCAAAATTTATTGTACTATCACGTAAGCATGATATAAGCTTTTTGTCCTTTTGATGAACAAAGTTTATTTCGGTTCTATTGGCTGTAATGGGTAGAACAATGTGGCATATTAGCCGCCAACAATCGATTGGCCATCGGTTGGTTATTTCCAACGATCGGTTGGGTTGCGGGTTGACGTTCAATATTGTGGTAGATACATCGTCCAAGAGTTAGGATGCAAAGATTTTTATTTAAATGATAATAAATCAATTTGCAATTGTTTAATCCCTCTTATGGACATAAATAAACATTATTCAATTTATTTCAAAAGCGTTGCATAAATGAGCATTAGAATATTTCCTATGAATAAACCAAGTCAAAGTAACAAAATAATTCGTTTGAATTTTAGATTTATACAAAATAGTTCAAACCTCTATCAGAAACAACATAATTAGTCATTATTTTGCACTAAATATACAAATGATAGTTGATTAGCCAGACTAGGTTGCCGTCAACAATGATCATCCCGCTAGATTATGCGCCGGGAAGCGGGCGCGGGAATGAACTCAGTTGAACGCTTGCTCTCTGAGTCGTGATGTGTAGTTGTGCTCACCAGTTGCCTGAATTGTGTGTTTACTGTGCATCATGGAAAACTCAGCTTTGCAGCATAGTTTTAATTACTTTATGAAGTTTAGTTTATTGCAGTGAACTTAAGAGACTAATCTTCAGCTAACTAATACTTTTTTTAAGTTTAATTTTAATTGTTGAGTGTTGCAGGCATGCAAGTGGCAAGTGATTACTTTATAGAATTAGTAGAAACTGAGCAAGTTAGCGTATGGTAAACACGGTATATTCCGACATCGTGGGTAATTCCAACACCTCTAGTTTTTCCTTTATATTAAGCTTTGTTTTAGTTCCATGCGTTCGTGGTTGAAATAGTGACCTCGTACATTTGCGTGTCAAACTACTGCAAAAACACTAGGTCTGGACCATCTAGCGGGAAAATGCTGAGATCCAAAGAGAGACGGTGCATGCCACCCGATGAGATCATCAAAAAATGTGTCAAAGTTGACAGTTGACCTTGCCCTACCAAATAGTAATAAACTTTTTGTGTAAAAAGAATATTATGGTTTGAGACTTTTAAATACGTTTGTGAATATATTAGGAATCCTTTATTTATACTTGTATTTGCTGATTTCAAGTGGTAAATAAATTAATAGATGATTAAGTTGTAAAACAGATTTAGACACATAAAAACTAATTCCAACACAACTTGAATTGGACACACACAGCTCGTTCCAAGCTGTGTGCAAAAATTAACATTTTCTTAATTAAAAGCTTAATAACTGTTAATTAAAAGCCTAATTAAGTAGTGCTCAATATTCAATAGTGTTCTAATTCAAAGCCGTGTTGTATTCCAATACAGCTCACACAGCGATCGGAATTCGAACACGTGGATGTCGGAATTACGTATTAGTACAATTTGAAGCGCAGTCGGAACACGTCTCACCACGCGCCAAATATAGTCACACAGTGTTGGAATATAGGGATTTGGTAGGTTTGCATTCTAAAGGCTTTTAAATAAATATGGCAACATTTTGACGTTTCATTGTTGCTGGCGCGTAGTGAGGTGTTTTGAGAGTCACGTAAAGCAAACAGAACTCGAGTAACGCTTACAGTTATTTTTTTATAGTTATTCATTTCTCGATGCATCCTTAATGTGTCAGAATATAGGGTAAACGCGGTATATTCCGTCACATTAAGGACGCATCGAGAAATGAAAAACTATAAAAAAATAATTGTATGCGTTACTCGACTTCTTTTTGCTTTATTTGAATTGCAAAACACCGTACTACGCGCCAGCAACAACGAAATGTCACAAAATGTTGCCATATTTATTTAAAAGCCTTTAGAATGGAAACCTACCAATCGGCGGCAAATCCCTATATTCCGTCACTGTGTGTGGCAATATTCAGCACGTGGTGAGGCGTATTATGTCCGCGCTTCAAATTCTACTGATATGTAATGCCGTCATCCACGTGTTCGAATTCCGTTTGCTGTGTGAGCTGTATTGGAATACAACACGGCTTTGAATTAGAACACTAATGAATATTGTACACTACTTAATTATGCTTTTAATTAACAACTATTAAGCTTTTAATTAAGCAAATTTTAATTTTTGTACACAGCTTGGAACGATCTGTGTGTGTCCATCAAAGCAGAGAGTTTTTTAGACTCTCCCTCAACTCCTCAAGTTCATTTTTGAGTCCTATAAGTAGACCAGTAAAGTATCCTGGATACCAGCATCATCATGCATAAGAAATTGGTTTGCATCTTGGGTAAATGAGGAAATTAAAAATGAACTGATTCTAAAAAATCTCTGGTTTGTCACTTCACTATGGATGTCGGAATATACCGCGTTTACCCTAAATGAGGAAATTTAAAATAAACCGATTCTAAAAAATCTCTGGTTTGTCAAATTGTCACTATGAATACAAGTGTGCAAAATTTCATATCAATTGGACTGGTAAAAGTGTGTCAAATATCAATAAGATTTGTAAGTGACAAAATTATTTTTTCAGTTTTTTGAATACTAAAAAAAAAAGTTTTTTTATTATTAAAATTATTTAGCCTAGGTAGGTATTTTGTCATTTGATTCATGCATTGTCTCCAATTTTATGCAAGTGTGATTTATAACTTTACTTCTTCACCTAGGCTACTCAAGATCTAAACTAATTTCTTATGTATTATAATGCTGGTATCCATGATACCTTACAGGTCTACTTATAGGACTCATATAAATGAATGTGAGGTCATTGAGGAAGTCTAAAAAACTATCTGCTTCAGATATTTTGGCAAGAAAAATCGTTACATGGCCTACTTGTATCCTGACCTTTCCTTGATGGATAAATCTGCTTGAGTTTGAAGTCATTCAAATCCCAAAGTTTGATGCAGTCACCGCCGGTAGCCAACATGTTCGATTAGAGAAAACATTCAGCGCTATTTGACACAAATTATTTTCGCCCTTCGTGCCTGCTCTCTTCGACCTGTCTTCAAAAATCAAAAACAGCGCCTTAAGGTTTTGGGGTAAATCCATCATCCAATTGATGATAAAATTTTACCCTAAAAATAAATTTTTTCATTTTTCATTATGGGGGGAAAATCTGTATTGCTCTATGTTTTATTATTTTATATATCGATATATTACGTAAATTCCCTTAGTTAGGATTTAGCATTATATTATTCTAGGCACACTCAACCTATGTATAGCTGCCAGCATGCAGGAGAGACTTCCATTGACCAGCAGACATACAACAAATAATTAATTCTTGAGCCCTGATTAGTTCGCCTAACCCGTGGCAGATAGACTGAGAAATATAAATTTTTTACTGGGAGCTTTTAGCTAACGGAGTTTTAGCCTCATATCACTCGTTTGCTTGAATCGCAAATTCACTAAAAAGTAAAAACTTAATAGCAAAGAAAACTCCACAAAAATTCATAGTATCTAATTTTCGTTGTATTCTTGACTTGTACTAATCACTGATTTATCTGTGTTCTAGAATTTTCGAACTGACGATGGAGCTGGACTCCGAAACGTTTTCTTTAATGATACTATGAATTTTTGTGGAGTTTTCTTTGCTATTAAGTTTTTAGTTTTAGCCTCTTAGTAGCTATGAGGAAGCTAATCAATGTTCTCTTTCTTATGAGAGATCGGTTGTCATGTAGCTAAGTGCAGGATTAAGTGAGAATTTAGAAATGACAAAAATAAATAAATGTAAAGCTGGAAATTATCTTGATCATGTACAGTGTATGTCCTACGCTAATTTTCAGTCATTTATGCTGCTGGATTTTTAATCCTTTTGTCGCCGTTTGCATATTATTGTCATGTGCATTATCGTGTTATACATATTCCTTGTATCCTGGTTACACATTTTAATGAAAGTCAATCAAACACTTCTAACAAATTCATTGACAAATTGCTTGGCACAATTTTTTAGTCTATTTCGAGCAGTTATAAGCCCATGCGGGAAATTGAAGTTATCGAAATATCTTCTACAGTTTCATTATTAATAGGGTATTACCGTATTATCTCAAACACGATCGTTCAAAAAAATTAAAACTTTATAAATGAACGAACCATCAGAAGTTTCTTTGATAATTCGAAGAATTTTGCCGCTGTTCTGCTTATATCTGCGTCTGATGTCACTTGATAGGAAATCGCCAAAGAATTGGGATTGCAATCTCCATAACAAATAAACTTTGATGTAATGTACTATTAGCTGATGTTTAATATGTCAGGACCTTTTGCACGTCATCTCAAATACGTACAAAGCCAAATTTCAATGGTTCTGCTCTACACGGGAAAGAACTAAGAAGTCTGAATCCATGGTTTATCTTTTTATTTCCGTTTGTGCAATATGAAGAATTGCATATTTAGGAAGAAAGTCTGAGTAAATAATTTAGTGTGATGGTTAATACTCATTATCAACAAATTATATCGCCATAATCCAGCCGAGTGTCGTCACGACAGGCCCTGACCTGAGCATTGAAAAATAAATTTCCGAAGAAGTTCCATGTATGGCTAAGTAACTTGTATAATATAGAGCGATTCCAACGTTTATTAGGTCGTAGGCATGTCGCCGATTCTTAACATCGCAGAATATGCACAGCCTGTGACGGTTTCAAACCCACACCTCACTGCTCCAATTCTGGTACTCTGAACTTTAACCACTGGGCCACCCTAACTTTAATTTACCCAGCCAACTTGGAACGGAATATCTTGGAAAGACAGGAGGCCTCTTTTGTTTTAGGCTTACGCTCAGTTCAGTCCTCTTTTTTTTTTTTGTTTATTTTGCTGGAGAAGTTCTTGAAATGATTTTTTGGAAGCTAGCGTAAATTAATGGATATTGGATTCAGTTGAAGTAGTTCTTGGTACGTTGTAATTTTTCAGGAATAAATTTGCTTCTTAGCCTTGCCTTTCTTAAATTTTGTGTGCAAATTAATTTTAATGATTAAGTTCAAGCTGATACTTGTGTCTCAAGCAAAAATATAACATACACTCATGTAAACGAGTAATTAATCTCTTAATATACATCGTTAACCTCATTACAGTTAGTGTGGAAGTTCTTAGAGAAGAAACCTCTTCCTATCTTGACGGTGCTTTTTCCTTCGTAAGACCATATATTATGATGATCATAATATATTGATATATTATCGACCAACGGCAATGCGCAACATTTGAACTGAAGTGTTGTAATACGGGATAGAAACGAAACAAATTTCGTAATTTTTTATTATAAAATGAAAAGAAATTTCAGTCAACAATAAAGAAATTAAGACAATTTATATCGTAAACCTCAGTGATAACGAAGAAAACCTGGACACGCAAAATTACACCGAGTTATCAAAAATTCACAATTGGAATTAATAAATGCTTATGAGATACAACAGCGAGTTGTTAAGCTTACAATTTCAAGAGGGCACAGTAGACTTGAGTTCCCGGCTCGAACGGATGATAGGTGCTTACAAGTCAATTGGTTCCGCAGTACAATGACTTGTAAGTGCCAATTCAATGAGTTCAAAACGATGAGTCACTTGTATTAATTACCAGATACATGGATTTTATGCACTAGACAGGCCACCTGAGGCAACCAATATTTATGGGGGACATGGGGAATAATTTCATGTACGTAGCTTGAAAATTTCTGGAACGAAAATCGTGTCAAGCTTAGGGTAATCGTCTCAAGTTTGGGGTAATCGTCTTGAGTACCTATCAGGATTTAGTTCAGGGCATAATCTGGTTAATAAAAAATGTGGATTAATTGCAGTCCAGAGTATTATTGACCTTCAAATAGAAATCTTATTGATAAAGTAAGATTACAATATACAGATTGGATAATTTTATCAAATTACTACAAGGTGATCACATCTGATTATTATATCGATGATGAAATATCAAATTAAATCATAAATTACATCAAAGACTTTATGTCACTGACAAATTGTTTACTGGAATCATCCAAGAATGCATAATAGTTATGAAACAATCTGCTGCTGTTGAAATTTATGAAAGGTTTAGGCGACATGCTCGTAATAAAGCTGGATCGTTACTTCTCCTCCAACACCAAATAAAAATTGACTTTACACTTAAATTACGACTGAATGTAAAGATATTTCAATTTACATCTACATCAGTAATCCAAATTTATGAGGACAATGAAGCGTGTCATGTTGACCCACTCGGATCACCTGCTCATTGCAAGCACAAGCTGTCATCGTCAGCTTACATTTCTCTTCTTAACGAGAATGCGGTCTGATAGAAATTATCTAGGCTTACCAAATACTGTGATTGTGATACAAATGCCAAGAAATATACTGATTTCCATAGCACTGTGAATCTTGGTACTAATTAACTAGATGGTTTTCCGAAGGAATTCCTATTGCTTGTTACACGCTTATGTTGAATCGTTCTACGTACAACATGGGATTATGTTGATCGTTCTACGTTCAACATGGGATTATGTCGATCAGTATTACTTACAACATCAGAAACTTATCCAAATTTGTGTGTGGGGTTTATGCTGTTGAGAGATATTGTTTCCTTTTTCCGTTTCGATGACTTTTGGTGCAGCGAAAGGCAATCACTGTTGGATGGAACCAAGAAATCTAATAATATAATAAATACAGTTAAAATAATAGTGATAACATGGTGATATTAGCTTTGATTATGCTAAGACATATAGGCTTGTCGTGTGCCCTTGAGCACCACCTTGCACCCTAGCTGATTTAGACATCTGGTTGCGGGTTTGGAAACTCCAACTCGCTGCTCTAGTCTTAGTAATCACACCCACTGGGCCAATCAGAGCTCCAAAAAGCTGTATGTTAACATCCAGTACTAAATATAATCAGCGAAAATTCAAGTTTACTATGCGCGAACACATTTAGAAGTGAAAAATTAATAAAACAATATCGACGTATAAACTCTTCATAATTTGCAAGAGGCTAGTATGTTTGATGTAACTGATGCATATATTTCAAATTTTAACTCACGCCGATCGAATAAAATATTGAACGCGTGCGTGAACTTTGATCATTCACTTTTGAACTTAATATTGCAAGTTTAATTGCCTAGTAATTGGTGAGGATAGGGTTGTCTTTTAATGGGTATTATTTATTTTGATTGTTCGCAATCACCATTAGAAACGTCACAATTTCTGCGTACTGATGCCGTCATTAAGCAGCTATCATAAGTCTTTCGTCAGAACAAATCAGCCCTCAACAGCAAAAACCTTTGTCGAATAACACAAATGTTACAAAGTTCAACACAAACGCTTTCTTAAAACTTTTATGATTATGATTTACATTAATTTTATCTTATAACTAGGATATGTACATTGATTGTCTGGCAATTCTGCGACAGGGTTGGATTATGCATGCTATTCCATATAGTTTGGAGTGACCAACTCCTCCAGATGACCGAAGTGAGAAGAGTAGAGTTTATAGGTCAGATATTTCAAGGGAAGTTCGAATAGGAATAGTCTCGAGAAAGCCGCGTCTAGAGAGTCAGCTGTATGGGTTAACACAATACGCAATCATGAATTATAGAATCAATGAGCAGGTATAATGCCAAGAACTTCAATTGAACAGAAATGAATCTTTATGCATCTCTGAATCTTAGAGATTCGTTGTTAAAATATACGAGATGCGGTGCTGGAAGAAAGGTCGAGGGATTTCAGTTTGGGAGAGTGGAAAAAGGGCTAACAAAAACGCGCATTTTATAAATTTTTCTATTAAGATTAAATGCTCGCAAAAGCCACTATTTAATTATTGCAATTATTGCATTTACTATTTTATATGGGATAATTTGTACTGGGAAGTTACTGGTCGACAGAAAAACTTGAACACTGAAGCTTTAATTTAGATTTTGTCCACAATGCATTAAATGGAGGTAATGCTTCTGCCGCGTTCCGCTCTGAATGACTGATGTGTCATCACATATCTAATGGACTATTCTCTTTTTTAATGGACTATTCTTTAGCCAACAGGAACACTGATCCTAAATAAGCCATCCGAACGACTAATTCCTCGCCAGTCATGTAATTATGAATAAATATTCATCGAAATTTTGTTAAAACGTTCGAGCTATGCGCTTAGTAAGGCCCCAGGAAGACACCAAATAAGGCCTCGAGACAGAAGGTAGAGCAGACTCAGAGAAATTGAAGCTCAGTTACCAACAAGATAAGAAATACATTATAAATCGACTAAGAACGTCAAAAGTAAATCATATGGGCTTACTTAGACCCATTTAAAAAAAATGTTTATTAAATGTAATCTTGTGCAAAGAAATGTGAGGGACATTGTCCAAAAAACGATGCCCCCCACTGTATGACCAAATGAGTTACTGCATTTGACCTGACGGAAGTGGGTACGTATGACCCATTATAGGCCAAACTGTTGAGATTTTTCATATTTTTTTTAATCAACCCCCATTTTCTTGATGGATCAACGTTTGAAATCTCAGTGCAGTTCTTAATTTCGAGATGGCATCAAGCGGGCCTTATCTCTGCCGCGGAGAGGGGATCCGAGCTACTTATAAAGATATAAGACTTCAAAATAACGTTGATTAAACGTTATTTCAGCAAAATCTATACTCACAATTATGGTTGTTCAACGTCTATTGCCTGGTGGACAATTCAGTCCAATTCAGTTCTCCAAGCTCGTCAAGCAATTAAGTTAGACTTACGAACCCTCTTGTCTAGCTGATCGCGTTAGTACGAGGTGTGCGCTCATCTTATCATGCGCTATCAGGATCTCCATTAAAATATTTTGTGAATCTTGATCTTAATAACAGCGTCTGCGGCCGCTTATATAGCTACCTGCTGTAAATAGCAGCCCAACAAGCGAGACATTTGAAGCCCGCTTGATGCCAATAGCAGATGTCATTACAACAATCTCCCTATCAATTCATTGATTTAGCATCCATGAAAATACATAATTAAAGAATCCATTACTTGAAAGAAACAACATATCTTGACATAACATACATGATTCCCTGAAGATTATTGCTTCATCGTTTATGTAAATAATCAGTACAAGTAAAGATTATAATGAAACTGTGCTTAGATCAGAGCACGAGGAGTGATTGCAAAGGTCGCGAGAATATCACAGCGAAAAGAGCACTTTGAGAGGGAGTAGAGGGGAGAGGAGTAGCACTTACATACCAACACTTAATGCTATGCGACTTACTGCTATGATTGTGCCTTACATTACATTTATTATTAATCATTATCATGATACATATGATCATATGATACGATGCTACCATTCGTTGCCTGAACGTAATCATATCTCGCGTCAAGGAGGTGCTATAGGGAATACAGGGGTTGAAATCAACGAATTAAAATAAAATTGCACGGAATATACAATTATACATATTGCAGTAAAATGTAGCCAATTTATTAAATAAATGGACCTGCATTGTCTTTAATGTTGTGGTGTAAGATATCTAGGGTGCCGTGTGTGGCCATTAGTTACAATACATCTTGTCATTGGCTTATTTCTTTGTGCATTCAACGTAAATGAAGCCCATTTCATTATTACAAATTGTTAAGCAGTATAAATTGTAAAGAGATAACGTAAAACAAATCTGCTCAGTTCCTTACACAGCCAAGCCTTACCCACATCGTAGCCTATGACACATTCCAAGTTCTAGGCATGAGCAACCCACACATGAGGTATTTTGTTAACAATAAGAGCCTCTGATTTAGTTTAAGCTTTATTTTAGGGAATTATTACTTCTTTTCTGTTGGCAGCGACATTGGTTAACACACTGTAAAGGATAGTCGTATTGCAACGCTGCATAGTCCACTCATCGGAGACTTCTGCAAGTTGAGAAGTTGGAAGTTCGAAAAAAATGAATTATTTTTTAGGAAATGAGCAAAATCGTGTCAATGTAATATTCAAATTTATTATTGCTGATGACCCTGGACACAAAAATGAAGCAACAGTTCACAAGTCGCAGCAGAAAGTAAATCGTTATCTGAAAAAAACTTGCAGTAGGCGGCGATCACAAGTTATGCAGGCAGTTTTATTGTTGCTTATTGTTTGTATAAATTAGCGCCGGAACCGTCCAAACCTTGCTTCAGGCTATAACTTTAACTTGACTTAACTTATTTTTATTTTCTATCGCTGTCTTTTTCACCGCATGTTTAGTTATGCAAGTCTTTTAATTATGTTCATATATAGACTAGCACCCTTCATAAAGATTCTTTATGAAGATTGGCTAGCACTCTTCACGAAGTATTCAGCATGGTATTGAACTTCTTCAGCATATGAAAATATTTCAATATCAATATATTGAAGATATAATTTAAAATTTACATTCTTTATCAAGGTTGTCAAACTTAAATTAGAATTTGATTATAAAATGTTTACATTCATTAAACGCTTAAAGACCCATCATGAATAACCTAAATTGTAAGAATTATCAAGTAAAATTAGAAATCATTCTTCAGTTATCTGAAATTTTAACATTTTAACTTACTTAACCCGGAGACACTAACTCTTCGAACACTTTTAACTTAACCGGACAGTACTGGGAGACAGACGCGCAAGCTGGCTGCAAAGAGCGTCTACTCAGTTTGGGCAAATTTCTCCACGATTTACATGTTGCCGAGTTAGTCAATATTCATTAGGCTTAATCTTATACGAAACTAACATGCGTTGTTTAACGAAATATTTTAAAAAGAATTCTTTGGTGCATTTAGAAAATTTAAGTTGGTACGTTATCTTAATCTGGTTCTTAGAGCTTAAGCTAATCATTTCTTACTAGACTAACATCTTCATACGTAGATTAAGCAGAATCACCAACCATTAACTTAATATTATTGTTTTACAAAGCTCTTAGTTATTATTGAACAGGAGGTTGACTAAGGCCGAAAGCGTTCAGGACTACGTTGACGACCGTGATCGTAAATAGCATGACACCTATGATGTTGTTAAGGATGTTTGCGGCGAACTGTTGATCAAGTTTGTTGATGTTCAGAGCTCCAATGATCAGAAACAAAATACCCACCAGCACCTGCGGCGGGTAAACACAATTTCAGTAACTAGTTATTCAGAAATTTATTGTCAACACAAATTACAAGCTTGCTAATGTAAAAGCATTTGGGTATGCAGGTGATTACGTGCACTAAGTTTCACTCAAAACTTTGCTTTGAAAAGCTGACACATTTCACACAATATAAATGCTACCTAGCATAACCGACAAAAATTTAAAATTTATTTTCTTAAAATACAGTTAAAAATCGCTTGTTTATTTAGTTGCATTCCGCCTAACCGCATAACCACTACCGAGTCCTAGTTTGATAGCATCGTTAGAGAGAATCATAAAGCTGAGACCAGCCGACACTATATTCAATATGTACGCGGGCACGACCACGCTTTTCTTGTTGATGTCCAGTATGGTAAGCACTCCACATACGATGGCCAGAAGAACCTACAGAGCAGATACGGCCAGGGTTAGACATGTCAAGTTCTGTGACTGCTGGAGCACATATACAAGTCCAAGCTATTTGACTCTAGTTAAATTTAATGCTACTATTGAACATATCACGGGCTGATTTATAATATTCCTACAGGCGATCAATGAGATTTCGAGATTTGGGTGAGAGACTCGTTAATATCCGCTGTAATGCGGTTTTGCTTGTCATTTTGCGGTTACCAATGAACTTTTACATAAGCGCCTGAATTCACGTTGAATGATTTGTTTTGGGTCTTGTTTCACACAGAATTTTATCTTTCGTATTTAATAAATTGCATTTAAGCCGATATTCAGTGGAACCCCTCGATGTTTACTTGCTCTAAAATGGCAATTGCGAAACAGCAAACAGGTCTACGCGTTAATGACTGGAGAGTCCAAAGAGAAATTGGTCGGATACACCCCGAACGCCGTCAGTATTATGTTCAGGATCGCAATAATGTAGACGGCGAAGAGGTTGAAATAGCTCAAGAGTTCCGCGGAGATCTTGTACTCAACCCTCTCTAGGCAACAGTCGTGAAGCATGTTCAGAGTGAGGCTGAGGCACGCCACCAGCAACTGCCCAGGACAAGACGCTGCCTTACTACAGGGTGATGGCCAGGCTTTAGCTGCCATCAGCTGCCACGGTAAAGGCTAGCGGGACTAAAGGGTAATGACCATTCTTTTACCTTGGACAACGGCGGTCAACAGCTGTCCTGAGCAAAACTTTCGGAGCTAGAGAGGAATGATTATTCGTTGACATCGGCCTATGGCCGCCATCAGCTGCTCAGGACAAAATGACGCTGAACTTTTTGAAAGGGAATGACCATTCGTTTGCATAGGACAAAGGCGGCCTTCAGCTGCCTACGGTAAAACTACGCGCATCTAAAAAGTGATGACTATTCGTTTGCATGGGGAAAAAAGAGACCATCAGTTGCTACGGAAAAGGCTATGCGGGACTCAAGGGTAATGACAATCCATTCACCTTAGACAAAGGCGACCATCACCTGCCCAGGACAAAACTAAACAGACGTAGAGGGTAGTAATCTTTCCTTTACGCCCCACAATGTTCACCTTCAGTTGCCAACGACAGATCTGGGGCTCGCTGGTGGTGATTCTCTTCAAGTTATTAAGTAACTATTACTGCCAGTATATGCATATTAAGGAACATCGTACTTTTTTACTGTATTCCCTTTTCATTACGTTGAACTATAACCGCGAGAAGCTGGCTAGTACAAAACTCCGCCTATCATGACATGATTATTCACCTTTAAAACCACTTCTAAAGTGAGCCACACCAAGTCATTCCTAACGGAATTTATATGTATGCCGTAATGGAATAATTTTTGCAGTGTAAATCTCGTTTATGAGACGAAAAAATGCAATAATGAGGATTTTGAAAATCTAGCGCGAATAAGCAACAACGCAGGGAAAAAGTTGAATAACGGAAGCTATAATTGCTTGCACAAAGCAGATGTTCAGCAGAAGCGTGTGCGAAGTTCACTATCTCTGCGGGTACACCACACTTACAATATTGCCAGAGTATTCGGATGTTGTCCACGTGGATACCCAATACTTGTAATATTGTCTGAGGATATTATCACTACAAAAATCAAGCAAAATTATTGTCATTAAAATAGATCTAGTGTAAGACGCCACGAGTTTTGCTTATGATGGTCACCCAGGTGACCCAGAGAGGCACTTTAGATCTCACCTGCAGGACCAGCGAGGTGACGATGAGGCCGACCATGAGCTCACCTGCAGGACCAGCGAGGTGACGATGAGGCCGACCATGAGCTCACCTGCAGGACCAGCGAGGTGACGATGAGGCCGACCATGAGCTGGTAGTTGTCGTGCTTGTCGCCGAGGTTGAGAACGTATCGCAGCTGCGAGGCGTTGGCTGTCAGGAGGGCGATGTCGAGCATGCCCTGCGCGATGGTCTTGCGCGTCGCGTACGTGTTCGGGTTGAGGGTCTTGCGCCCCTGTCGGACACAGGCACGTTAGTGAGGAGGTTACGACCCCTGTTATTACTTACACAAACCCCTGTTATTACTTACACAAAATGGCAGTATTGAGGACAAATAGGTGCTATTGTTGTGGATTAGAGTTTTTAAAGAAAAATTAAGGTGGGTTAGAGGTATTAGAGAATAGGAGAAAGTATTTCTTTTATGAATGAGCTCAAGTTTGGGGGGTTAAAGCTTTGCCCGGCGTCGGTCCTTATCACGTTAACGGCAATAAATATAGGTACCGAAGAAAAGGAAACTGTGTTTGATTGACGCTTGAGCCTCGAGTCGCAAATTAAAGAACAATTTTTATACCAGATCAGTGAACTAAAAATTTAAAAGCAAAGTAAACATCAAATAAATTCACTATATCTTCATTTAAAATGTTTCAGAGACGAAACGTTTCCATCATACTATAAACATCTTCATCATTAGTTAAAAAAATATTATAGTATGTAAGTGAAAGCATAGCAGCAGTAAAAATCTAAATATACAAGAAATAGAATAGAATAATAATAAACCAATTAGTCATCGTTTAGTTACATCAATCACTAGGCTTCGCTAAAAGTAACGTTTTTTCGTATCCATGCATCGTGTTCTACGGGAGAGGCAACTTGAGTTTGGCCCTAAAATTTACGAAAAGCGTTATATTTACGATGACCCTCATCTACACGCGTACCCTCATATTTTTGAGGACCCTCATATCTTGGAGGACCCTCATATCTATGAGGACCCTCATATCTATGAGGACCATCATATCTATGAGGACCCTCATATCTATGAGGACCCTCATATCTATGAGGACCCTCATATCTTTGAGGACCCTCATATCTTGGAGACCCTTTACTAGGGGACATCACGGGAAGCCTTGGACCCTCTGCCTTAAAGGGGCCCGAGCGCCTGGGCCACGGGACATCAATCGATGACGCTATTCATGCGGCCTGCGGCAGTGCTCCATGCTCCAGAGGGAGAATACATGTGGCCTGTCAGGCCTGCAGCAGTGCTCCATGCTTCAGAAGGAGGATCCATTTGGCCTGCCTGGCCTGCAGCAGTGCTCCATGCTCCAGAGGGAGGATCCATTTGGCCTGTCAGGCCTGCAACAGTGCTCCATGCTCCAGAGGGATGATACATGTGGGCTGTCAGGCCTGCAGCAGTGCTCCATGCTCCAGAAGGAGGATCCATGTGGCCTGTCAGGCCTGCAGCAGTGCTCCATGCTCCAGAGGGATGATACATGTGACCTGCCTGGCCTGCAGCAGTGCTCCATGCTCCAGAGGGAGGATACATGTGGCCTGTCAGGCCTTCAGCAGTGCTCCATGCTCCAGAAGGAGGATCTATTTGGCCTGCCTGGCCTGCAGCAGTGCTCCATGCTCCAGAGGGATGATACATGTGGCCTGCCAGGCCTGCAGTAGTGCTCCATGCTCCAGAGGGATGATACATGTGGCCTGCCAGGCCTAGAGCACCAATGATCTCGCGAGATGTGCCACCAAAAGGGCTTAGGTATTAATCAGTGAATGTTCATGCACTGGCTTTAATAAAATGCAGGTATAAGAATGAAAAGACTCAAATCATTCTGCTGGTGGGAAAATTAGAATTGTCTCTGGTGGAGCGTTCAGAGCGGCTTTAATGAAGTAAGTCAGGCTGGCACAGCTGACGCAGTCTTTATGAGCCAGTAGAGCACAGCTGTTACGGCCTGCAACGGCCTGCTTAGCATTACTGTAACGGCTGGCGAAGAGTTAGCTACACATTGCTGGTACGAACTGCAACGGCTTGCTTGGTTCGGTTGTCGCGGCCTGTAAAACATTGATGCACATAGATGTAACTGCCTGCAACGGCCTGCCTAGCCCACCTATTAAGGCTTACAAGGGCTTTTTTTTTAACATTGCTGTGATAACGGACAACGCTTTGCTTCACATAGCTGCTACAACCAGCGACAGCTTAGTTGCATGTCACAGCTGTTACACAGTCCGTAACGGCGATGCAGTGTCGGTTGGGCCAGCAATTGCGGTTACAACGTACGTCAGGCGGTTGGAGGACGTCCGAGGACAGTTCCTTGTTGTCATTTAATGTATTTTTAATGGATCGTTACCTGAAACTCGAATGTGGAGAAATACCAATTTAAATTAAATTGTGGAGACGTAAGGGTTTTACTTCTGGTTTTCGTTGAAATTCTTGAAGTAAAAGATATTTCTTGGGGACATTCGTGCCAAAGAACGTCCATTGGCCCAGCGTTGGTCAAATGCAACCTTCTGCTAATAATCATGCAATATCTTCTTAAACACACGATTTGAGGTCATAAGTTAAGTAGACGCCATGACCTCGTTAACTCCTAATTAGACAGCAGGGAGCTGCCGTGCTGAACGGCATGAGGTGGGTTATTTCATAGGTCAGTATGACGATCTTTATAGAAGTCATTTAAATGCTGCACTTTACGAATTTTAGATCATATTTTCCACACGAAAAATGGCGACAAAAAGACAGTTACTCTAATTGCAAGCGCTTTTGGGTTGTTGAAGGGGTTAAATTATGCAACCCGTTTCAATATCCATTGAAAAAACCATGCAGCTGAGTGTATGAAGTTTCAATGTTGATTGTAGCATCATGATCAAAATTTATTCATGCATGAAATTCAAATACTGAAACTGAATCCATATTACCCATGATTTTACAAAATCCATCATCATACAAGGGGAAAGAAAATACTGTATTTGTCAAATCTATTCCATATTCTTACATAACTTCTATTCGAATATAATTCTTGTTTCTATGTAGACTGAGCAAGAAGGCCATTTGGCTTGCGGTTGCCCTGATTCAACACAAGAAAATAATTCAAGCAGCCATCGCACGAGCAACAATTTCTGAGCGAGAAATTCAGGATGTCATGCGTGTAATGGCGTCGCTCAGCTCCACCAGCGGCCTTGTGTATAATGACCATCAGGTTCCCTTGGACGCCTCACGGTCGTCCGGCGATAATTCGACCAAAATTCTTGGTTGTGTTGTAGGACACGTACGAGGGGGGGGGGGGGGACTTCCGTGGAGTTCCGTCCCCCTTGTAATGGGGGGCAGCGGGTGGCCTTCAGACCTTGGGGGGTGTTCTTGGTGGTGGTTTGTGTGGTGGTGGTTTGTGTGGTGGTGGTTTGTGTGGTGGTGGTTTGTGTGGTGGTGGCTTGTGAGGTGGTGGTTTGTGTGGAGGTGGTTTGTGTGGTGGTGACTTAGGTGATGGTAATTTGGTTGGGTGATCCTCCCCTTGCCGAGGAAAAGACCCTACAGACCGCGTGGCCTCCGGGACTTATAGGCGAGATGGACAGACCGAGACGAGGGAAGATAAGGATAGAACGAATGGAAAACCAACGGAGGACACGGACGGAGAGAGGAGCTGGGAAGTGGACAAAGGACAAAAGGAAATAATTTTGTTGGTGGAATACTTGAGAGATAATGACGAAAGGCAGAGATGAGTGAGTATATTTAAGAGTAACTGAGAGTGAGTCGAGTCGGTGTTAAAGGAGCTACAGATCGTGTGGGAACAACGGGTGAGGAACGGAGACAGATTAAATAGAGAGATTGACGAGAATATTCCGACAAGCAATGACGGAGGAGAATTTACTGAGTGGAGAGGGTAATGGGGGAAGGAAAGAAAAAATATGAATATCAAATCCGAAGGAAAGAAGTTCCATCTCTATAATTCTGTCATGATGAAGAAGGAATGAGTGATGATGGGGGTGAGAGGAGGAATGAGGCAAATAGCCAGCGGGGTAGTGCAGGGATTTGGGGAAGAGAGGAAAGGGGCAAGGAAGGGAAGGAGTGGGGAGTGGAGGGGTGGAGTGACGCACCTGCGTATATTGATTAGCCAGAGACACCTGAGTGGCTGCCCCGGGCTAGAGGTTCCCTTTAATGAACCCAGAATGACGGCCACAAACTCTGCGGGGTTTGCACATCGCCACACACGCCACAGAGTTTGTATTTCGCCACACACGCCGTGGAGCTGGCACTCAGCCACACACAACACAACGATTGTACTGCGCTGCGTACGACGAGGAGCTTGCAATCCGCCGTACGCCACATCCTAGTGTCAAGTTGAAATTGAATCCCGCTACACCTTGACCCAATAGGAATAGTGATGCTAATGCAACTTATACACGCGTCACAGACATTGCGAATGAGGTATGATACATCACCAGTGGCATGGTTTAGCATTGATCAGATTATTAGTTTAATTACATGTAATTTAAAATAATGAAGAGGGATTTGTCTTTTATTTGTCGATTCAATGTTTTGATGCCTGCCTGTGAATTTTAGATTATTTAGTTACAGTACTTTTGTTCTTGGATGACTGACGATGGAGCGGGACTCTGAAACAATTTTTACGGTGAGTTTTTGTGCCATTTCTTTTCTTTTTAATTCCCTTTATATTGGCGAACAAGCGATCTTAGTTCTTCAATTAATGAAGGCAATTATCACCAAACACAGATGTGGTAGTCTTTGGTGACGAGCCAACGCTCGGTCGTGCGAGACGCGCGCTGTGCCGATCAAAAAAGGTTAGGTTAGGTTAAACTTACGTCGAGACGCGATGCTGAGAAATGCATATTAGAGGCAGCGGATTATAATGGTAAGTTGATTATATTGATTATAATGTTAAGTTGAGGTAAGATGGACTATAATTATTAGTTGTATCTTATGGCCACGCATTATGCGGTCAAGGTTAGGAAATAAAGTTTTCTTTTGGAATGTTCTTCTTGAAATATTGACCGATTACGTGAAATTGTAATCCTGCATATATTTTGGATTGTATTTCTGTTGCATATATAATTTGTTTTTTCCTCTATTTGCTTTCAGAAATCAATTGTAGTGCGAGTATGTATAAAACAACAGATATCAGTGCAAGCCATTCTACATCACAAGATATTTGACGTCGTCGCCTCATGAGATCGATGAGACATGAAAATCTTCAGGATATTCTCTCCCTGAAATGCTGGAGAGTGGATACGTTGCAATGTTTCATCAAGGTACAAATGCCTTAAAACATGAATGTTAGTGCAACATTACATGAATGTTGCACTTCCTGTACAAGTAACTTGATCAGTTTGATCGTCAATTATTGTGCCACTCGTGTCATTTGTTCATTATCTTCTCAATTATTAATTTATTTCAGACTTTTGATGTTACATTTCTTCCTGCGCCAGCTCGATAAGTTGGGTTGAATGGCTGAGATCGTATCATGGATACGGTCAACGAACTCACATCCCCTATGAGGAATCACAGCACAAGTTATGGCCGACAGATCACCGGCCCCTCATTGACCGCCTGTAACACGGCTATAACGTTCTACTATAACATTGTTATGTTGGCTTTAATACGCCGGCAATTTATTCTTCGTCACGGCCCCATAACACGAGATGCGTTCTCGGTTCTCCCGCAACCGGCGTTCGAGGTTAGGTTTGAAGATGATGACGTCATCGTAGGAGGCTTGCTTACATGGAGGATACGTGGCATACGTTGGGCCACCTGCCGTGGCACGTGTTGCATGTGCCAATAATTAATAAATGAATAATTTATATGCTGTTTCCATTGCGTAGACTGCTTTGTTCTTTTCTGTTTGACGTTTATATTTCAGTACATAACACCATGATGTAAATTTTACAATTCGTTTCTCATTTAGCTTGACCATAAACTTTTTGCGACGCAAGTTTTCCTGTCTGGTCAATAACTAAATACCTTGTATGGATCTGCAATAATCCATCTTTCGAGTGACGTCATTGCTTTGAGCTATGAGTGAACTGCGACTACTGTTCTCTACCATTCTTATTGTCTATATATAAAGAGACGTTAAATAATGTCCAGTTCATAATTAAACAGATCAAACAGCTTAACTCACGACAAATTTTCATCTCATTCCATGATGTAATAATGAATAATTATCGCCTCAAATGCACTTCATCCAGCTACTGAACCTGAGGTGACCAGGCAGATCGTTAACGGTTCCAGTCGTCCTCGTCATCGACGAGCTCATCGTTGTGAGGCGTGTTTACTCGTCGTCATGGCAACTCCAGCCGCCTCGTACAGCTTGTAAGGGGCTAGGCACCCTTCCTGGAATGCCTGGAATATTATCCAGGGCCGTACCTATGGCTATGGTAATATCGTCGTGATCATGGAATTCCTGGATTACAATCCCTGATGTCATCCATGGCAGTATCGTCGTGAGTCTGGAACACCAGGAATATATTCCTGGGCCGCATCTATAGTAACATTGCTGTGAGCCTGGAAGGCTGGGGAATACCAGCTATATAATAGATTTAAGTATATATTAAGAAATTGATTTTAAATAAAAATGAATTAGAGTCATAGAGCAAATTTAAATGAATTAGAAGTGAAGGTGCTCATTTTCAGGCGATAAACGTAAAACCCATAACAATGGAAGGTGTTGTGCGCTACGGCCGTAGCGAAGAAGATAGGCTTGCCCAGAAGATAGGCTTGCGAAGAATTGTTTGCGATAACTGAATATAATGACGGCGTATCAACTGGCATCCTCATCCGAGAATCACATATTTTACGTTAAATTAAGAAACGTATGATAAATGTAACGGTGGAGAGTTTTTCGAACGTTTCTAGTACATTCGAAAGCAAAATGCGACTATGAAAGCCTTGAAGTAATCATGTGCTGCTGCCTGGTAGCACGTGTGCGTGACACGTAATCGCTGCAATCAATCGACACGCACGCAATCAACTCCCATGCAATCAATGCGCACGAAATCAACACGCAAAGAAGTTCATCCATGGATAACTGCATTTCTTTCTAATCTTATGTGTAAATATAAATTTTAGGATGACTAAAGTCGACTCTCATTTTCCATGGGAAAAAATTCGTGCTGTAAAGGTGCTTGTTGCAACATGGATGAAGCAAAGTTTACTCTGAATATCCATTCATTCCACCGGAGAGAACGAACTGACTTCCAATTTCCGTGCAAACTTTCACTCGGCATTCACTCGCTGCACCTCCCTTCACTTTCTCGTGAACATCCATTCGTTCACTTTCATGCGCTGCTTCACTTTGTTATTGCCTTTGTATTTGTACCGCGACTTTTCCCTGAATGCTTTGGCATTGAAACTGCAATGTTTTGACGGCTGAGTTTAATAATGTTTCATTTGTATTCAGTAAGCAGTTTGTAGAACGTTATTGAGTTACTTTGGAATTGTGGTATTTGTTCCATTGCAGATCGAGTGCACAAAGAGAAGTTGGAGAATAAATTAAGTTTTTTAGCAATGTACGGTATGTAATAGTTGTTCCATTTATCAGTAATTATTTTTTTTGTTATTATTGTGATGCATAATATCATTTTATTGTAACTTCATTATCATCATCAAGTTGAGGCACATTGATTTTATTAACATCTCTACAGGAAACTAAACTTCATGTCTATACACGCTGCTATGAAGTCTGAGCTGCAAGTGCCGTATCATTCCCCCCTAAATACTCCCCACTCCTCCCCTCTCTTCTCGCTCACACAGCCCACCTCCCCATTATCTTCTTTCTTGTCACTCACTTAACCCACTTCCCCATTCCCCACCTTTTTCGTCACTCACATACCTACCTCCCCATTCCCCCACTTTCTTGTCACTCACTCACCCAACATCTCTGCTCCCCATCCACCCCTTCCTTCCCCCCGTTTTTAACGTCAATTGACCAGCCACTAAATGACCGTTGTTTGTTTACTCTTCGTTCCGCCTTAGTAACGCGCTATGCAAGGACGACGTCAACACACGCATCGTCAGCCGTGCTCATGCAGCGTCACGGTCATGTGCGTGGTGTGGCGAAGGAGAAGTTACGGGTTCACGGCACCTATTGTAATGGGTGTGACTTAGGTGACCGAAAATTGGAGTTCTCGTCACTTAGTTATGGGTGCGACTCATGCCGACGAATATATGCAGGTTCACTTCACCCATAGCTTTGGGTGCGACTCATGCCCACGAATGTACAACCATCAATGAAGCACTGGCTTGCAGGTTATAACTCATTCCTATGAAGTTCGAAATTTCAACGATGATGGGTAAAATTCCAGATTGAAGCTTGTAAGAATTGCTTACTGCAGAACTATCATCCACGTACTTTTTCTTCAATCATCGATATATTGACCAGGATATTAAACTGGTCAATATACGTGAGGCATCACAGATGCCACAGTCACAAGAGGCATCACAGATGCCACAGTCACATGAGGCGTCACAGATGCCACAGTCACATGAGGCGTCACAGATGCCACAGTCACATGAGGCGTCACAGATGCCACAGTCACAAGAGGCATCACAGATGCCACAGTCACACGAGGCATCACAGATGCCACAGTCACACGAGGCATCACATATGCCACAGTCACAAGAGGCATCACAGATGCCACAGTCACACGAGGCATCACATATGCCACAGTCACAAGAGGCATCACAGATGCCACAGTCACAGGAGGTGTCACAGATGCCACAGTCACACGAGGCGTCACCGCTCGCTAATGCATCAAAAGGCACATGATATAACAGCAATTGTTGTATAGCTTTATTAACACTACATGGCTCATTGTACATTACTTCTACACTTATATTTTGCAACATGACAGCACCTAATTTTTAAATATTCGTTACCATCTGAATCCGAACCAAGCTGTCAAGTCCCCACCAATTAAATCACTTTGAAATAATATTTATTCAATGTTGATTAGTGGAAAAATCGTCCAATTCAACGTTGATAGCTGGAAGAGCAGCAATAGTAAAAATGAATTATAAGTATGATTAAACTAATGTAATTGTTCCAATGTCCGTACAAGCCCTGTTGGTATCATTGCAGGGCGTGAGATGTAAGTTAGAAAACACAGAAAAGTTATGAGTCGTGAACAACTGTCATAAATAAGTAATAACATTGCAATTGGCAACCTCGAGTGCCAATATATCCGTGACATTAGGCAGATAACAATAACACAACTACATATATTTATTCATGGGTACATTTACGTAACATGAATTCAACTACGTATACTACTAGTATTTACCCAACTGCTTCCACATACTCACGCACTTGTCTAGGCAGAATAAACTCGTACAACTCCACTTACCAGATCGTCCACCGGTTCGATGGACATCTACCTGCTCTACTCACCAGATCGTCCACCGGTTCGATGGACATCTACCTGCTCTACTCACCAGATCGTCTCCCTACTTACGAGGTCGTACGCCGGTTCGATGGACATCTACCTCCCCTACTTACGAGGTCGTCCGCCGGTTCGATGGTCATCTACCTCCCCTACTCACGAGGTCGTCCGCTGGTTCGATGGACATCTACCAGCTCTACTCACTGAATCGTCCGCCGGTTCGATGGACATCTACCTCCCCTACTTACGAGGTCGTCCACCGGTTCAATGGACATCTACCTCCCCTACTTACGAGGTCGTCCGCCGGTTCGATGGACATCTTGGCGAAGGTGCTGGCGTCGAGGCTGTGTTCGAAGACGCGCGCGCGGTTGCCGCTGGACGCGGGCGCGGAGTACGAGACGCCCGGCACGGTGTAGACCGGCGCGAACGGCGACTGATTCATGCGCAGCGATGCGCCAAAAATACGCGCACGCCAACGATGGATATTTTTGGCTAATACTCAATGAATACAAGAGGTGTGAGATTCTAGTCGACAGATTAAGGAAATTGTCAGATTAAAGAAAATAACAACTAAATAATGTGAATTATTTAGTAGTTATGGGAGTAATTAAGGCAGATATAATGAATTTCGATTTAATTTTTCCGACATTGATAGCCAAAGCAATTCATAGATCGAAGCCGCGAGAACAAAGCGAGCGGTGTGCGTGAAATAACGGATGTCACGGCAGAGACTGCGACGATCGCACGCCAGCCTAACACAGGCTTTAATAATTTATTAGGAGCAACAGAAGAAATGAGTTACACTTAAAATAACGCCAGAATTGCTGAACGTAACACACACGATGTCGCAGGTAAAGGTGTGAGGCACAACCAAATCCTCAAGAGGGTTCACGGGACGAGCTTAAGGAAGAAGGAGCAACAAAATGTAAGGGTGAGCGAAGGAAAGCAGGAGCGACGCACAACCGCACGCAATGACGCCTGAGCGACGAATGCCGTGGCGCACCTGCGAGCGATGCAGCAGGTGAGTGTAGCAGGTGAGTGTAGCAGGTGAGTGTAGCAGGTGAGTGTAGCAGGTGAGTGTAGCAGGTGAATGTAACATTTCTCGTGGTTGCCATCTACAGTCGCTGGAAAATTGTGGATGATTACTTTAAACTCATAGCCTTATTTCATCGCTTCAAACCGATACCCATATTTTATTACTAAAAACTCATACCCATATTTTATTACTAAAAACTCATACCAATATTTCATCACAAACTCTTAACTAATTTTTCCATCTAATGTCAGCATAGCCGATGCCCTGCACGTAGATCATGGGCGGCTTATGGGTGGCCAGTGACGCAACAGCCATCTACTGATCAACAGAAAATGTGCATGGAAAAATCTACGGAAATAAGTGTCATATTTCACTACTGCAAAATGAACTCGTTAATTAAATTATTTGATCAATGGTTCTTTTATTGATGTTTGAGTAAGTTAAATGGAGGCTGCAGCACTGAACTTATGGCATTTTTATGGATTCAATACATGGCTACAAGAATGTATATAAGAGACTTTACAACTAATCGAATAATTATAAAATATGTAAATTCTGTAATGACGAAAATGTAAATGTAAATGAATATATCTTTTATATAAAGGAATAAAAGGCATAAATTCTTTTGTTGCAACTAATTAAAAACTGTACAATGGATGTGAAGATTCAATACATATTTTTCTAATCGTAAATTGCAATTAATTTAATAAAAAATTGATCTATTCGTGCATGGTTGTGTACGGCGTGGCAGGATCCAAACGTGTGCTGCTCAGCAAAGCATCCTATGTTGTAGGAAGCAGTGTACTAATATTCATGTGCACATTGTACTGTAGCATGTTCATGAGCACATTGTACTGTAGCATGTTCATGAGCACATTGTACTATAGCATGTTCATGAGCACATTGTACTGTAGCATGTTCATGAGCACATTGTACTTTAGCATGTTCATGAGCACATTGTACTATAGCATGTTCACGTGCACATTGTACTTCGGCATGTTCCGGTGTCACGTACACCGTGCAGAATGGCATGATCACAAGCACTGCAGCGCGACATACACTGCGCCGACTTGCATGATATGATGTATTGCTGAATGTTTCAAATACTGATTGCCATTGCTATACATTCCTATAAATTCAGTTATTCTTCGTGGAGTTGATGAAAGAGATGGCATTGATAACCGCCAACTGTACTAGAACGCACTAGAGTGCTATTAACTGTACTAGAATGTACTAATAAACCCTCGATTTTACTATAATGTGCCATCTTTCAATTAACTATCATAGAATCTAAAATCTTGCTATTACCTGCCATAAAATGAAATAACAATTGAAATTAAGTAAACTATAAATTATAATAGATGCACTATGAAATAACCATAATAGATGCACTAGAAATTACAATAATAGATGGTATTGGTTGGTATTTGGTGTCCAGCGATGCACTAGCAATTATCATAATAGATGCACAGAAATAACCATAATAGAAGCTTTAGAATAGACCATCATGTCATTATGTAGGCGCACCAGAGAGTTCCATCGTGGCATCAGCTGCACTAGAATCTAGATTGTGCCGCCCTGCCCTCAACTGCATGTGGTAAAATGTACAACATAGCAACTCAACTGAGCTAGAATGTACCAAGGAGCATCCTAAATGTGCTGGTATGTAGCACGGAGCATCCTGCACCCTAGCAAAACACCCTAGCAAAAGCTAGAGGAGTGCGTGACCCTGCATTAGGACCGCCGATAGGACTCGGGGGAGCATGTAAATCCGCAGCTCTATGTCCGCTTCGGTGCATAGTTCGAAGAGCAGCCTCTGGGCATTTCGGCCAAAACTTTTCATACTCTCAGGTTAGTTCAAAGTCGGAAAGGAGATTCTGACCAGAAACTGATTTCGATCGGTTGGCCACGCAGACTCAGATCAATTTTGCGCCGAATGTAGTTACGCACCGTTACATCCCAGCATAGACGACTAATGGCTAAAATACTCCCCACAATATATTAGCATGTACCACGATGACCGCAATATACTAAAATGCACTACATTGTACCACAATGCACCGCAATGCACCACGTTAAACCACAATGCCCTACAATGCACCAGCAGGCGAGGTCCTCGTATCGGCTGGGGGGCGTCGCCGCGATGACCTCCCTGCATCCGGTGTCCTCCTTCTCTCCCCTCTAACCTCCTCTTCCCTATCTCCTACTTGTCTTCATTTTCTTCATTCACTCCTCCTTCTCTTCTTCACCAATCCTTCTCTTCTTCACCCAACATTCTCTTCTTCACCCATCCTTCTCTTCTTCACCCATCCTACTATTCCCTCGCCTTTCTTTCTCTTGCCCCACAACACCTTCTCTCCCCTCACACCTTCTTCTCTTCTTTCTTTCGTACACTCTACGTCTGATGAGAATTATCGCCGGGTTATCGATGGCCATATATAACCGGTAACTTGGCGATCATTTTATACAGAGTACAAGTTTCAAAGAAAATTAAACTAATAGGGCAGCGGACAATAAGTGGCATTTGATTGTCTTGTACTGCGTTAGTTCAATAATTAATTTTGACCGTTTTCAAACATTTTTTGTTCATAAAATGTTGGCAAGCTGCATTAAATTTACAATAATCTTGAATAGCTTGTTAGCGTTTGACCTCATCGACGAAATCATCCAGAATCAATTGTTCTGTATTTTATTTAATTTTCTTATTTGAATGTTTATTGCAACCAATTTGTAATCAAAATTATGCGCGAATGGGTCTAATTTTCATTGAAAGTAAATAGACGAAAAGAAATACGCTATTGGTCTTTTTCGTGGCAGACCGTGTGGAAGCTACGACACTGGTTGCTCGTTCAATTCAATTCAAGGATGCGCAGCAGACGACAGCTGGGCGTAAGTATTTGACTAGCTAAATTATAATTACTTGTATCTAATGGTATATGCCATACTTAAGTGGCTCGTTGAGCCTCCTCCAAACAGGGTCATGCGCAATACAGGTCACGCCAAGGGGGCGGTCCCGAGGCAGGCGCTGCTTGCAACTGCAGGCACCCGCATCCTCAGTGCGTGCCTGGACGCCGTCGGGGTTGGAGCTCGTCTTCCGGCTCTGTATTTATTATAGACGTTACACTCTCGAGTCTCGTGATTAAAACAGACAGTAAACTTTTCTTGAATTAATTTGTTACGAAATGTCGTAGCATATAAGCCATGAGATCTGAGTCCCTAATGAATTAAATATCAGCCGGAATTTATGCAAATTTCGGTAAATGCTGATGTTAGGGCATCGAAAATTCTGATTAAATTTTTGCATTCATTAATCTGGCCAAGTGGACACTCAAAATGGTCGCAATGATCATAAATATGACCACGAGTAAATTAATATGACCAGGGGCCAATAATATGGCCAGATGGACAATTAATATGGCCACGTCTGAGTCCTTAACTTACGACCATAGTAGAGTTATACCGCTGTAGGATTTCGGATGAACTTGGAACCAACGGAACTTGTACTAATGTTGCAATTGCGATCAACATTGAACCTATGATTCTACGCAATCATCATAGAATTCATGACCATCACAATTTACGCAAGTCGTACGTCTGACGATCCTTATAGTTCATAAAATTTAGTCGGCAATTACGCTCACGTCAGTTTTTTGTTGTTTTCAATAAAATTCTCGCAACGCGAATGGAAATTGCATTGGACTCTACTTGATAAATTTCTGACCGCTGCATAGCTGACCAGGCATTTAATGCAAGCGTTTTTTACGTTGTGGTTGCCCCTAATTGTTTTCTATTTATTTACAAATTTTAGCTCAAAGCACATAGAAGTGAAGCATGTTCGGCATGGGTAGAAGACCTTCCTTTAAGTCACTCATAATCATTTATATTTTAACTCGACATTTTATACCCTTTTCTTTTAGAATTTTCAAAACAGAGCAGCTGTTTCAATCGCAACCATAAAATCAAACCAGTAGAAGGAATTTTTCCAGTAAACAACGTTGCGTATGGTAGGCAGGTAGCGTGGTTTGTGGTATCCCACCGTGTTGTATGGTGGAGTATCGGCGCACCATGGCCGGCCTCACGACCATGATTTGGCTCTGGCAGCTCCTGGTGCTGCTGCTAGCAGCGGTGCTCAGAGCTGAACCGGAGGCTGGCGAACCAAAGACTTCTGTGTTCAGGAGGAACATCTATGACAACACCGAGTGAGTACAGCCTCATGTTGTTCGCAGTACCCATGAACCGGAGAGGTGAAGTGGGTGGAAAAAAATCTGTATGACGAACAATTATAAAGTGATAGAGACTATATCTCCTTGATAAGGTTATATTTGTTAAGTGATTAAATCGGGGGTTTTAATTAAGTTAGGTTTGAGATTCTTCTCTATTATTATTATACTTTTATTATATCGGCAATCTCTTTAAATTCGTCAGGTTGGGTCCGCAGTGGTCAGTAACGGCACGTGAATAGGTTCTCGTATGAAAAGGTTTCGGCAAAATATAGTACAAAGAGAGGGTTGTAATGAAACAATGATACATTTCACATTAAATTGAAAAAATTCAAGTTCACATCCTACGTTAACAAAAATCTCTAGTACTTGAAAAATGTAATCCGAACACAATCAAAAGTCCAAAACCTATCAGTTTACATCATTAAAATCATCTAATGTTACCGGAAAAAACCTGCTGAAGCATTGCAGTTCCGTTGAGCCGTACGACTGTTGTAAACGACCGTAACTCACGCACACGTTGCGGCTGTATGTTCAGCGGCCGTACCGCTGCTGTACTCTCGCGTTCGCTGTCACAGTTGCTCTTTCTTCATGGTCGTATTTCTCGTGCTATAGTGATGTCTCACCGCCGGTCTAACCGTAGAATTTATGATGTGACCGTACTTCGGAATAGTGGCGTAGTCTTCATCGTCGATGATTTTATTCCAAGCTCGTTGCCGTACTGCGGTTGAAGATGACTGTGACCGTACCGCTTCTTCTTGATGGAAATTGTGACCGTATCGTACTAATGATCGTACCGACGATAACTCCCGGTGTAGAACTCGAACTTAAATCTTCTGATGGCGTGCGTTATAATCGTTGTACAACTCGTGGCCCCTCGCATTATCTCACGGCTGAGTCGCAGCCGTAGTGTTGATGTTGATTTTCTTGACCTGCTCACCGGACTCTTGGCTGCTTCGATAAGTCTAGGTTTCTCGTGACCGTCAACCGTCAATGTTCGAAAATGGTAACACCACCGGCCTCACGGCCGCAGCCGTTACGTCCGCTGAATGCAGACCGTACGTGCGTGACGGTCACCTCCGTAGAACCTACAACCCGTGGCGCCAATTTTGAGGTCCTTATATAGGGAGCCGTCGCCCACAGTTAAGCCTATTCCCTCGAAGTGACGCCGCATTCCTCGAATGGAATGTCCCTCGCGCTGAGCTGGCAACGTTCAATGTAAACTAAACTCCTTCCCACGCCTTACACACTTGCTCTCTCGTTTCGACCCGCTTTCTTAGCATTCTTAACATCTACCCATAATACATGTTCAATATTACCTACTTTATTCAAAGGTTATATATGCTCATTGCGTAAAAGTGGAAAATTTTAAAATTAATTGTTGACGGAAGAGCGATAGTGAATAGTATTTTTAGGAATTACTCACCCATGAGTGTTATAATTTTTTCTTTTGTCATTATTATCATTTCATTCAGTTGCGGTTAATTTTTCATCTCCCTACTGATCGAAGCGATAAAAAAGATCAAGCACATATTTTTCAAACAAATTGATTATGAGAAATTTTCCAGATTGCTGCCACGCATTTCCACTCGAAAGGGACAGTTTTTCACTGTGCCGTTTTATGAAATCGAATATGAAATTAGGAGAAAAAGCTTTCAAATTTTAAAGTAATATTTACTTAATTCAAATCTTATGAGCTATAATTTTATTTTATAGTAAAACAGGATTTTATGGTACTGTCTTTACGCGTAAAATTATTGATGATCAGCTGAGGAGACAGTAAATTTATTGTGAAGGAGAATGATTAGCAGCGCAGGGCAGTTGAGCAAGGTGCTTAACTGCTCCGGTTGAATTTTAGTTAAGTGCATAAACTGAATTAGTGTTAACTACACAGATTGAATAACTATTAACTGCTCGGATTGAAATATACTTAATTGCAGAGATTGACCACAGTTAACTGCACATATTGTATTATGGTCCACTGCGCCGATTCAATTATTGATAACTATACATATTGAATTTTGGTTAACCGAACAGACTACATTAAAATTACCTTCACAGATTGAATTATTTTTAATTGCGCCGATTAAAAAATAGTTCTGAGCGATTGAAAATTTTGTACTAGACGAACCTAACAGGTCAGGTACATTACGAATTACCCGACGAAGGTAAGAAGCGTTTTTTAAAATGGCGCCTTCGTGAGCAGCACTCGATGTTTAACTATTGCGATATTTTTTACTTCTTCCCTAAATGTTATTTTCGAAACACTTATTTTATGTGAGTTCAACCACCAGAATTTTAATAGCATTTGCTTTCGTTTATTTGCACTGGCCTAAACCATAACAACTATTGTCTATGATAAAGATAAAGAATTTTTAATTATTGAAATTTAATCAATAATCAAACATATTATAACTCTTTCAGGAATAATCCGCGCTCTCACTTCTCCGACAATTACGGAAGGTTTCGCAGGCAGTTCCCTGGAGCCGCAGACGCGTGAGTTCCAACAGAAACGATGCTAAATTAAATAATAATTTGGAAATTTACTGCCATCTGCTTCCTACTCAAATTATCATCAAAAATGAAATGAACCCATATTAAACTAATCTCATTTAGAATTTTTGATATTTATCATATATGCGTCTGAAGAGACCGCTGTTTCAGTACCACAATCATTAACAGATGTTAACAGATTTACTATAATCATCACAAAACTATTTTAACCATGCCTACGAATATCGTTCAGCTCTGGAAGCTCAGCTTCCGGATTTTCATCGCTACGCGGATCGGGATCATCGTTCGGGCCGGGAAGAAAAGGCGGTTCGCGGAATTCGCCGAACCGAGCGAGCTTACCGTTCCCTGGTCTCGGAGGTCCAGACGCTTTCCTCACGGCTGAGACTACCGAAGCACCTCTTGAAGACGACTCTTCCCTCGGCTTCAGAGGAAGTGGAGGTTTTCCAGGCTTCCCGAACAACAGGGAACGAGGGATTGGCGGTGGCAGTAGTTTTGGACAACCATCGAAAGGAGGGTCCCGCGGGCGAGGTGGTTCCCAACCTGAAGGTTCTTCCAGCGCATTTAGCTTCCCAGGTGCTTCTGGAGCCAACCCTTTCGCTGCTCCATCTTCTTCATTCAACTCTCTTTCTAGCCGTGGATCTTTCAAAACAGGCACCAGCGCTTTAAATGCCGCGCCGTCATTTTCTGGAGCTCTAAATACGCCTAATTTGCAACAAGGTTCTAGTGACAACGATGGCTTCCCAATACCCTCGGGTTTCGCTACGAACGGTGGTTTCCCGCAGCCTCTTGGCTCGCCGTTTGGTGGTTCTTTCAGTGCTCCCGTCAACAGCAGGTACCCATCATCAAACTCTGGAAATTCTTTCCTATCAGGAAGTGATGCTTTTCCACAACCAGGAGGCTCCCTCTCTTTTCCTTCACCCGGATCTTCAAACTCTTTTCCTGGAGTCGGTGGAGGAAGCTCTTCTTTTCCATCGCTTGGAGGATCTTCTGGATCGTCGTTTCCATCTCCAATAGGAGGATCTGGATCGCCCTTTTCGCCACAAGGAGGTCTTCCTTCTGGGTCATCATTTGGACAACCGGGTGGACCACCTGCTTTTGGACAACCAGGGAGTCCTCAGGGGTCATTTTTCCCACCGCCTTCCTTCAGAGGCTCTGGCTCTTCAGCCTCTTTCCCCGGTCTGCCGTTTTCAGGGGCTAGTCTGTCCGGAGGCAGCAGCTTGCCTATCGACGCTAACCTGATTGCAGCCCTGAAGGGAAATCCAGAGTTTTCAAATCTAGGCCTCAATCTCGATGAATTGATGGGCATTGAACCTACAACGACAAAGTGAGCTTGAATTGTTGTCATTCTAATTCTTTTGCCAAGATTGATCATTTTTCAATAATTATTTAAATATTTTCACGTCTCATTGATTATTTGTCTACGCAGTTATTCAGATCTGCTTGGTTTTACACTTCATTAGACTATTATAAGTTTTATTTTTTATTTTGATGATAAGGCAGAACTTGAAGGATGAGTCCGAATGATGGATGCCAATCAATAACATAACGATTTATTCGATATAATCGCAAAAACGCAAATATTTCTAAAAAATTTGTAGACCACCACTGCGCGTGCCCTCTGACGAAGATAGGGATAAGATCTTCAGCGGAGGCTTAGCTGGTGGACCCACACGTGGCCAACCACAGCCTCAGCTTCTGCCCCAGCCTCCGCCCCAATCTCTTCCCCAACCTCTGCCCCAGCCTCTGCCGCAGCCTCAGGCTCAGTCTTCAAAGGGCCCTGCAGCACGAACCCCTTCTTTCAATGGCGGTAAGTTGTTAATTAGCGCTGCGCTAATCTGCCACTTGATTACCTCATTGTTTACTGCGTTGATTTGCGGCTAGACTACTACATAATTTACTGCTACGCAGCTCAATTACAACTTAATTTGAGTTTTGTGATGGCATTTTAGGCTGCGAGACGGAGCCTGAGGCGCCCCTGAACGGCGTGATCCAGTGCAGCTCCTTCGCCGGCTGCCGGGCGCGGTGCGAGCGCGGCTACCGCTTCCCTCTGGGGGAGGCGCGCGTCTTTGTCGCCTGCGAGGACGGCGCGTGGCAAGTGCGGGGGGCGTCGTACCAGACGCTGCCTCCGTGTGAACGTGAGTGACGTGACGCTGTCTCCGTGTGAACGTGAGTGACGTGACGCTGCCTCCGTGTGAACGTGAGTGACGTGACGTGTGAACGTGAGTGGTGACGTGACGCTGCCTCCGTGTGAACGTGAGTGGTGACGTGACGCTGCTTCCGAGTAAACCATTTCTGATGGTACAATTTCAGAAGAATGATCTCAGGTGGCATCAGTCGCTCTAATTCATTTAAATTAATGACAATTCTCATGCGAACGTGCGGGACTCTTTCATAGTACGCTGAGTGCGAAATTTGATAATTGTACTTTAGCTTAATCATTTTATCTATAATCAAATTTAAATTCATAAATTCGAAATTTTTTTATCCAGCTGGCGTAATTTTTTGTAAACACTACATTTTTCATTGTGATGTTGGCTAATTCTGGACATAAAAAAACATTAAAATGTAAGAGAGAATTTGCATTTTAATAATTGTAGCAATCAAATTCGATGATGTCAGGCAAAAAGTATAAAATTATCCATGAACATGAATGGGGCCAGCGGAGTGTGAGCCAGCATGTCAGAACGAGGGCATCTGCCTGCGCCCCAACGAGTGCAGTTGTCCCGCTAACTGGGAAGGCCCCGCGTGTGAGACGCCCAAGGCCAGGGCCCCAGTGAGCGAGTTCGTCGAGTGCTCCAGCAAGCCTCCGACTCCCATGAACAGTCGCATCTTCTGCTCCAGGGAGTGAGTCGATGTTCGCCTCTGTTCCTGTTGATGGTCAATGGTTTCGATGCATATTATGAATGATGGTCCATAATTTCCATTAAGAAAAAGAATAAAAATATTTTCACTGATAAATGTTGACACTTTTTGCTTGCGATGAATAATGAATTATTTTAATATCAGCGAATAATTGAATATACATACATAGATCAATTTTCTTTAGGATTAGCGACGATAAATTTTCCTCCCGATGAGCATTAAGAAATTTATTCACTTCTGCATAAATGTTGAAAATTACTGTTTTTCAGAGAATGCGTGGCCAAGTGTCACGAAAAGTACCAGTTTGCGGAGGGAGTGACACGACTTTTCTTCGACTGCATCAGCGGCAGTTGGCAGATACGCGGCGCGCAGTGGAAGACTGTGCCGGACTGCAAACGTGAGTTGCGCAACTGCCACCGTATGATAAAAAAATCGTTACTAGTTTGCTACTTCGGCAGCCAATCACTGACGGATTTTCAACACACAAATCACAGACGAGAAATTGTCGTTTCGTGTACTTAGGCCACTATCTTTACAAGAGCAGTTTGAAGTAAGTAATGACAGAATAAGAACTGAGTTTTGTTATGAAGTATTTTTGAAAATTTGTAACTCAGAACGAAACTTCAATAAACTCGATTGAAAATCAATTTTTTGATAATTCTGCATGTGAAATAGCGAAAAATTTCATAAAGATCTGAATATTAGTGAACTTGAACTAATGAATAAAATTTGACACAGCGATCTGTGACCCTGAGTGCCTGAACGGTGGCGTCTGCCTCGCCCCAGACATCTGCGAGTGTCCTGCGGAGTATCGTGGCGACCAGTGCCAGTATCGTGAGTACAATATCGTGGCGACCAGTGCCAGTATCGTGAGTACAATATCGTGGCGACCAGCGCCAATATCTTGAATGCAAAAATTGCTGAATCTGATCTAAGACAAATAACCTTAATTTCAAGATAAATAAACCGTTGATGTATGAGTTGTTTTCTCTCAGCAATATCGAACTGCGACGCCAAGAAGCTCGGTTTCAACGGCGGCTACAACTGCACCGGCGAGGGCATGGACTTTGGCTGCAAGCTCTGGTGCCCTCAGGGCATCGACTTCAAGTTCCCCGCCGCAGAACTCTACGCATGCGACTACGCCACGAGTCGCTGGTCACCGCTACCTATACCAGAGTGTGATTATGGTGAGTGTGGAGGTAGGTAGGTTCTGATAGGGTACTATAATGGTGGTATTACGATTAGGGCTCTATATTGGTGGTGCGCTATTTGGGTATCAGTAATACTGTACAGCAGTAGAGTATATGTAGTACTCTACTTGTGATTCCTTTTTGTTGTACTTTACTTCTGGTGAGGCTAGTGAGAGGCTGGTGAGTGAGGCTGGTGAGTGAGGCTGGTGAGTGAGGCTGGTGGGTGAGGCTGGTGAGTGAGGCTGGTGAGTGAGGCTGGTGAGTGAGGCTGGTGAGTGAGGCTGATGAGTGAGGCAGATGAGTTTGGCTTTTTGACACGATTCGCCGCTAAATTATTTCTCAGATTTACATTTTCCTGTACCACCTTGAAGCCCTCACACACTTTTACCAAGTAATTATAATAATTTGCATAATTGAAGTTTACTAATTAAAACCCCGTCGACAGAGTCGGCCTTCGGAAGTTTTAAGGAAGGCTCGCTGAGTTTCGGGGAGACTTCTTTAGTGGACGTCGTGGAGGCGGAGGCGCTGGGGTCTTTCGTGGAAGCGAAGCCCGTACGACGGCGACCGGGGACTTGCATTACGTGGTCTGGCGCCCACTACAAGTCCTTTGATGGACGTGTGTACAGGTGGGTTATGATGTGTACAGGTGTGTTGTGTGCAGGTGTGTTGTGTGCAGGTGTGTTATGATGTGTACAGGTGTGTTATGATGTGTACAGGTGTGTTATAATGTGTACAGGTGGGTTATGATGTGTACAGGTGGTTATGATGTGTACAGGTGTGTTATAATGTGTACAGGTGGTTATGATGTGTACAGGGGAGTTATAATGTGTTCAGGTGCGTTGTGTACAGGTGTGTTGTGATGTGTACAGGTGTGTTTGTGTGTTGTGTACAGGTGTGTTGTGTTCAGGTGTGTTGTGTTCAGGTGTGTTGTGTACAGGTGTGTTGTGTACAGGTGTGTTGTGTACAGGTGTGCTGTGTACAGGTGTGTTGTGTACAGGTGTGCTGTGCAGAGTGCCCCAGCAGGTGTGCTGTTGGTGTATTCACCTCAGGGATGCGCAGGGTTTTGTTGTCACCCCCAGATTTCTTCGACTAGTGATATACGTGATATCAGGATATACGCGGCTGAATATTACTACAAACTTAGCATTGGACTCGCGCAGTCAGTTTAGGCATCAACCTCCAGGCAATCATTTTCTCCTAATCTATTTGCTCACATATCAATCAATTAAGCAATCATTAGAAGGTCATGTGCTGCATTTTACTTCTCTTCGCCATTCATATATCTTGGAGTTTTGTATAAATGCAGTATTACTTTACAGATTTAGTTTGTTTATCGCAGTAATTGTATTAACCTACCTAGAATCATTGCCTCGAATAAATCCTTACAAGTCTTTTACAATAAATCCTCACAGCTTCACGAGCAACTGCCCGTACACGGTCCTCCAAGACGCGGCGCTCGGGACGTTCAGCCTGAACCTCCTGCCGGCCAAGGGCTGCAGGAGCGGCGAGGTGTGCAGCAAGTCCCTCAAGCTATTCCTCGAGGGCGACGAGTACACCCTCTCCAGGGCGCGTGAGTTCCCAGTAATGTTTGCAATATTTTTTGTTCTAGTGAGTCTCATTGTAATTCATCTTACTGCGATTCGAAAGTGTGTAGCAATAGGACACGTGCATACTAGAGACATTACATAATGCTTCAGTACATGAGCACTAGTGTGTTGCAAAGTAACTTGTTTGTTAGAGTCGGATTGAACCTTATTCTATTTTAATTATGTGCATTGCATTCCATTTGCGAATAAAATTCCTGGTGACGTGACAGCTGACGGGCGGCCGGCGCTCGTGTACCGAGACACGACTCTGGCCATCCCGGGCCACATGAATGGCCTTGTGTCGGAACGAGTGGCCCATTTCGTGGTCCTCAAACTGGCGGGCCTGGGCCTCACTGTCAAGTGGGATCTGGAGGTGAGATGCACTTTCGTCCCGGGAAACTTTGATATGAAATCTAATGCTCCCCTTTCAAGTGTGAATTTGAGGTGAAATGTATGACCATGCAGTGGGATCTTGAGATTGGGGATCAAGATTCCAAGGGCTCTCTGTCTAGAGCCCGTGTCCTGAAGCTTTCTAGCTCAAATGAAGCAAAATTAGAGGCTACAACGTATGAGGCTTCACTGCCTAAACTGTCTATACTTTAGGTTAAAGTCGGACTGGTGCATGGCCTGATCCTCGCTTTTGGTGGTACTTTGTGTAGAATAAGGTAAATCGGGATTCCATTCAAATTTGGGTAATTCAATGATGATCGTAATGAATCAAGCCAACGGCCCATTAGGAAATCAAATTTTACTTGACTGGCAGCTCTTGAGATAGCCGCTTCATGCGCAGTAAACTGTGATGGGCCTCTTTCAGATAAAGCATTTTATATTATTCTCAGCATAAGCTGGTCAGGAGATAAAATATTGCCCAGTTGTCACACGATCCTCTGATCCCATGCAAGAAGTTGAAGTCCATCTTATTGCGCCCAGCGCTGATAGCGCGCTATACTATGGCAGACATCACTTAGTTTATAATACTACAATGTTGCAATCTGTAGGATGTGCACTGTAGATCAAGATGTCGCCCATAACACACGGACAACATTTCTCTGATGAAGGATTAAATTGAGATCGGTTTTAGATTACACGTAGATGAACCATTTTCATTTATTGAATCGACGCTGTCATCTTGAATTATTATTTCATGTGAATATTTCTGTGATTAATTATTGGCCTTGATAGACTTTATTGTAACCGTTGTTTTTTGAGGACCCATTGATTGCATGGGATCATATCGACCACATAAATGAAACGTGTGATTTCAGAGTTTGACGGAATGACGGGTAAATTGTCAGGCGTAAACCTTATTTTTTATAACTTTCCAGGACTTGGTGGTGACTGAGGTAACGGAGATGCTCTGGAACAGGACTGCTGGGCTATGTGGACTGCTGGACGGCATACAGGGCAATGATTGGGCTTACGCCGATGGGTCAAGCGAGACCCAGATGACCACCTTCCTGAAGGCGTGGGAGGCCACAACGCTTGGAGGTGATGAGAATAATGAAAACATCCTGCATTATTATGTGGTCGATAAAACTGTTAAGGTTACTACGTATGTTACTACATTGTATGTAGTCACTTCCAAGAAATACATTCAACAACTTTGAAAAAAGCCTGAATATTGATCAAGCAGGCCGAACGTCCTCATACTGCAGCTGTTAATATGCTAGCTGCTCCTAATGCATTTACCCTGAACCCTCATCGTCATGAACATATGTTGGCGCTGCAGAATCCTGCTCTTCTCCGCCTGAAACACAAAGTCCATGCATCAACAATCAGGGTCTCCGCAGGAACGCCCAGCGCTTCTGCTCCGCCTTGACCCTCGACCCTCGTCTGGCGGACTGCAGGAAGGTGAGTTCGTATACGAGCGGTGGGGAGATTATTGGGCGGGAACTGGAGGAATAGGCTGGTGATGGGGATAAGAAAATGAGTATCGGTGGAATCTCATAAACCGTTCCATAGAAGACATGAAATAATGTTAAATATTTGGTCGTTGGCTTAATAACTGGAGCAATCGAAGAGTTGGATATCACATTATTTAGATGCTGCTGCCATCATTTTACATGTTTCATTCATTATAAATGAGTAAAGTTTGAGAAATGATCACTAAAAAAATTTATTGATGTTCACAAGCTGATTGACGTGACATCGTACGTGGAAGCCTGCAAGTGGGACTTCTGCAGATGCGAAGGCGAGGGCGAGACGTGCGCTTGTTCCTCCTACAGCGCCTTCGTCAGGGCCTGTACCGCAGAAGGCGGACGTGTGCCCGGGGGCTGGAGAACCGATGACCTTTGTCGTGAGTTGGAAGGAAATGAAGCCGTTTGAGATGAGCTCTTAAATATAATATCGTGAGTCCTGTTGCTTACGTGTGAGTCCTGTTGCTTGCGTGTGAGTCTTGTTGCTTGTGTGTGAGTCTTGTTGCTTGCGTGTGAGTCTTGTTGCTTGTGTGTGAGTCTTGTTGCTTGCGTGTGTGTCTTGTTGCTTGTGTGTGAGTCTTGTTGCTTGTGTGTGAGTCTTGTTGCTTGTGTGTGAGTCTTCTTGCTGCTTGTGTGTGTGTCTTGTTGCTTGTGTGTGAGTCTTGTTGCTTGTGTGTGAGTCTTCTTGCTGCTTGTGTGTGAGTCTTCTTGCTTGTGTGTGAGTCTTGTTGCTTGTGTGTGAGTCTTCTTGCTGCTTGTGTGTGAGTCTTCTTGCTGCTTGTGTGTGAGTCTTGTTGCTTGTGTGTGTCTTGTTGTTTGTGTGTGAGTCTTGTTGCTTGTCTATGAGTCTTGCTGCTCATGTGTCAGTCTTTTTGCTCGTATGAGTCTTTTTTGGCGTGGGCGAGTTTTGTTTTTTGCAGGCATTAGTAAGAGGGTCTAATTCCATAAAAAATTCGTCTCATCGGTCAAAATTTTTTGAAATTAAAAATGTATGAATTTTTAATTAAGTCAACACAGACGCGATGTTAAGCAATAATAAAAAAAACTGGAATAAAGTAGTGTCATACAGTACAGGCGTTACCCTAAAATGTAACAGTGCCTCGCAATTCTGACCATATATTGTATCACTTCTTCAACTTTTCGTCAAAAAAGGAGGTTGCGCGGGACAAGCGGTCTATCCAAGATTGAAAGTAGAAAAAATAACTATAATTGTAAATAAATCGTTGTATTCTTAAAGAAATTGACGAATAATTGAAAGTAATTTTTTCTCGTAAGAATTACGTAAATCGTCTTTGATTTCCACTTATTTGGGAACTGGAAATCGTACGGAAACCTAAAATTTCTATCAATGCAATATTTCTGTCAGCAATATTTTCAAACAAGTCCCTCAAATATTGTAATAGCGGATCATATCTGACAGCAATGGACTGCGGCTATGAGAAGGAATACCGACCGTGCATGGCGGCCATAGAGCCGCGCTGTGGACAGGCCGCCGAGGCCACCGAGCCCGAGTTCTGCGTGGAGGGCTGTGGTTGTCCATCAGGCACTGTGCTGATGGACAACAAGTGTATCCTTCCTCAGGACTGTCCATGCACTTATCATAACAAGACATATGGAACTGGCGACACTATACCCAATGACTGTAACACGTGGTGAGTAATCCACTATCACGCATGGTGAGTCGTACACTGTAAGAGACGGTGAGTCGTGTACTGTAACACATCGCACGTGATTAAATAAACAAATAGCTGAATCCACTAGTGATCTGAGGAGACAGAGGCTAGTAGATTTACACAAGAAAACCGAAATCAGAATGCAGGACTCGCACAGGATGGAAGAACAACTGCTGAGGAGCGCGCGGTTGAGGTCATCAGTGAGAACCCAAGTATTTTTTCAAATACGCCCAGTCCACGGTTGAAATAAAGGCGCCAGTGGGCCCACAGAAAAATTACGACGTCCTCATTGGAATGACCAGGGCATGTGAGAGTTACTGTGAGCGCAATTTGTATCAGTGTTCAGTAACCCTAGCTTCTCTAGACAGGAGAATGAAATAAAAGTCCTCCAAGGGCTGGAGAACATCGAGTTTGGACCAGAAGACACGGATAGACGCATCAAAAGAACTGGCGAGGTTATCGCCACCAGGACCAGATGGACTTCCGGCAGTATTGCCAATAATTGTTTCGGAGCATTGATAAAGCCGCTCAAAATGTTCTTGAAAACCTCGTTGATGGAGAGAATTCTTACTGAAGGCCTCAAAGTGGGACTGATAACGCCAATCCACAAAGGAGGTCCGAGAAACAGACCTCAAAATTATTGACCTTTGATCTTGAACTCATATGTGATCAAGGTTCTTCTGAAGGTAGTGGCTAGGAGGCTTGTCCTGTACATGGGAGGGGCCGAACTGTATAATAATATACAACATGGCTTTTGGCGAAAATGTTCCTGTTTATCGTCGTTATTGGAGCACCATCACCGCCTTGTGAACCTAATGGAGGAGGGAGCAGGCGTAGACAGTGGTATTCTTAGACTTTGCTAAAGCCTTTGAGAAAGTTGGCCGTGGAGTACTCTTCAGAAAGCTAAGGCTATTAGGGGTAGGAGCAAGCGGTTAGGGTGATCCACAACTTACTTACAGATAGAGTACAAGCTATCGCAATTGGAAACTTGAAATCGATAAAAGTTAGGGTGAAAAGCGGTGTACCACGTACAGGGCTCAGTGCTTGGATCGGTCATATTCCTCATTCATATAGCCGACATCGCCTTAGAATTTACCCACTCATCTACATCGTCATTTATGAACGACACAAGAGTGCTGATGAGGATCACAGACCACCTAGACTGCGAGAGGTTACTTACAGGATGACTTGTCGACAATCTACGATTGGGCCCTAGTGAATAATATGCTATTCAACGGGACAAAGTTCGAAGTAATGAGCTACAGAGCTGGCACAGAAGCCGGGATGCTGCATCGGTACTTGGCATCGGACCGCACAGAAATTGAGGAGAAGCTACTTATTCGAGATCTTGAAGTGTTGATGAGTACCGAAGATCACATTCAATGAGTACCGAAGACCACGTTCAATGACCACATCGAGGTACTATATAGTTGCTCGAGGGAGACAAAGGATGGGGTGAATCTGGCGGACATTTCGAACGAGAGAAGCAGCGCCAATGATTACACTCTTCGGAGCCCTAGTACTCCCCAATCTTGAATACTGCTGTCAGCTTTGTGTTCCGCTATATTCTATATAGCTATACAATTTGACTCTATCAATTGACTTTCGCTTTAAAATATCTTAAAACAATATTGCATATTAAAAATTAAAGTCAAGTTTTAATTTTGAAACGACTTCAAATATTTGCAGTACCAGGCATTAAACACATGAATACACATCCTTTGATGCATAATTATTTATTTAAAATAAGAAGAATAACACTGATTACAAGGATGTGTTATTACTGAACTATAATATAATAAAATATTGAATACAACTTGTGAATCCTCTCACTGTATTATCCTAAAACATGTCTCAATATCTTCCCGATGAGCCCTACCCTCTATTAATCAACCCTCGAATTCATTTATTATCTTTCATTTTCTTGCGCACGCGACACGCAGCACCTGCGTGGGCGGCGTGTGGCAGTGCACTGAGGTGAAGTGCGGCTCGCGCTGTGCGGCAGTGGGCGACCCGCACTACACCACCTTCGACGGCCGCCGCTACGACTTCATGGGCAAGTGCTCCTACTACCTCGTCAGGGGCGCCGACTACAGCGTCGTCGCTGAGAACACACCCTGCGCCGGGGCAATCTCCGAGGTGGGGGGATCCTCTGAAATTAAAACCTTGCATTTAATCGCAGTTGGGACAGAGATTTCCAGTTGATGAATTATTAATGCTAATTCATTGGAAGCGAGTTGTGATAAAGGCCATTATATTCAATATTATGATTCAGATTACAGTTTAATTTAAAGTGGAACGAGCTGTGTATTCACACATTAACTAACAGCTCCGAATTGAAGTTTGAAAAACGTTATTTCTTAAGATTGTTAAAATCTTTTTACTTCGCTCAAATGAGCATTTTAAATATTTCTTCTCATATTTAGTGCCTGTTCGATGAACTTGCATTCAATTTGGTCGCATTGAAAAATTAGTAGGGCAGCTCTAAAATACATTAATCATACAAACAAGCGATAAACGTACTTCCTTTAGCTATGTGACGTTTTATCTATAGTTGTAAGACAGCTTAAGAAAGAGTGAAGTTTTTGAGAAGGGTTAAAATGAATTGAAAGCTATATAGAAAGCTTAAAGTAGAGTTGAAGTTGTGGAGAAAGCTTGAATTGGGTTGTAAGTTGCGGAGAAAACTTGAGCTGAAGTTACAGTTGTGGCTTAAGCTCAACAGTATTTAAATAAAATAACATCATTTTCTTCAAGCTGAGCAGCTTCCTACATAGTGTGGAGCAACACAATTTCCTTTAATCGTAAAGGAAAATTAAGAGAAAAAGAAGTTATGTTGGTGCTTCATATTATGTTAACTAAATAATGTGGAAATTCATGTTTGAAATAGACACGAAAAATTAATGGATATTTGAACACATATTTCCATGCTTCGAGAGCTACGACGAAGCCAGGCTGATGTTTGTCATTTTTGTCCATGAATTATTCAGATTATTTCTATTAAATAATGTCACAACTAGGCGATGAACTTCCCCGCGTCGGTGGTGTCGACGTTCCCCTCGTGCACCAAGTCCGTGACCGTCACGTCAGGCTCGACCGTCGTCAAGCTCAAGCAGGGCAGGGAAGTCCTCGTCAACGGCGTCGAGACGAAGCTGCTCCCTCTCTGGGTCTCCGACATCTACATCAAGAAGGCATCGAACCTCTTCGTCGTGGGTGAGTTGCCATGCTATTCCTACGCAACCAATTAAAGCTTGGAGAACCTTCTATTTAAAAAAAACTGTGTTCACTGCAGTCATCGTTCGTTCCTTGCACTAAAGACATACGAGAAGTTTGAATAAGTGAAAATGTCCTTGATTACTTCTGTTTAGTCTGTTTCCGATGCAATAGAAATGTTTAGAGTTTCATGTGTTTTCGTGGCTCCGATGAAGTAGAAAGGCGATGAAGTAATGAGCTTCATGTTTTCGTGACTCTGATGAAGTAGAAACGCCTAGATTTTCATGTTTTCGTGTCTCCGATGCAGTGGAAATGCCGAACGGGCTGGACGTCTGGTGGGATGGACAGACCCGTGCGTACGTGGACGCGCCGGCGGCCATGAGAGGGCAAGTGTCGGGACTCTGCGGCACCTTCACCGACAACCAAAAAGACGACTTCCTCACTCCTGAGGGCGACGTCGAGCAGAACCACGTCGCCTTCGCCAACAAGTGGAAAATTTCCGAGGTATCTCATGCTGAGGCCATCAATACTAAATCATTTGGACAGGAAGTCTTAGTATAAGGAGCATGGCTTCTTTATTGTATGTGGTATAATACGACCGCCAACACATTAATTGTGTGATTAATTCCAAATTGATTGAGCACATTAATTGAATTAATCTGGAAGGCAGGTTATAGACGCGTGACATCTGTGGCTTGATAGTCGACACATACACAGACAAAAAAAAAAGAATTTAATTCATTACATATTTACCAAAATGTTTTAATGATATAAAATTTTTACCAATTAAAATTATTTATTAATTTGAAACAAATGACAGCGGTGCGAGGACATGCCGATGCTGGACGAAGCTCATCCATGCGACCGACACGTCCAGAACAAAGACGCCGCCGTCAAGTACTGCGCTAAGATCAAGTCTAACATCTTTGCCGGTCAGTCCCTTATCTTTGACGGTTAGTCCTCTATCTCTACCGGTCTGTCCTCCTATCTTTTCCGGCCAGTCCCCTATCTCTGCCGGTCAGTCCCCCTATCTTTGCCGGTCAGTCCCCCTATCTTTGCCAGTCAATCCCTCTATCTTTGCCGGTCAGTCCCCCTATCTTTGCCGGTCAGTCACCTATCTTTGCTGGTCAGTCCTCTATCTCTGCAGGTCAGTCCCCCTATATCTTTTCCGGTCAGTCCCGCTATCTTTGCCGGTCATTCCATCTATCTTTGCTGATCAGTCCCCTTTCTTTACCGGTCAATCCCCTATCTTTGCCGGTCAGTACCCTAAGTCAGTCAGTCCCCGAAACCAAGTTCTCTGTTCAGTAATTAATTCAGTCGTCCAATGCGCTGCCTGGTAATTAATTCAGCCGACCGCACTCACTCATGCGTTGTACGATTTCTAGAATATTATCAGATCTGTTTCTAGGGCAGGCAAATGAGAAATCAAAAGCTTGCTTTACTTGCTTCTATGTAAAAACCATTAGTAGAATTTCTGTGGTATCGAGGGAACTCGGCAGACTTCATGTATTATTTGGTACATGTTTATTCTCCTATTATTGTGACGAAGCTAGTATTTAGGAGGCTAAACAATATGGTATTCCAACCTCACGTATCATGCATCGCCAAAAAATACATATATTGTTATTTCTTCCTGCTCGTTGTGATTTACTGTTACCGTTAACCCTCTATGGAATATACAGTAAACTAACTACCAATCCCTTCATATGATAGGCATAATTTCTCTTTTTGATTCTATGTACGCATTCTCTATGAATAGTATTTTTTAATCATCAGTTCCTGCAAAAGTTTCCCAAGTTACAAGATCCAATTCGTGAGCGTAAGCAATATTCTGTCCCTGCTCAGACTGCCACCTGCACGTTGACCCCGAGCCGTACCACAGCGACTGCCTGTACGACCTCTGCTCCTGTGAGCAGGACCTCAGCGACTGCCTCTGCCCCATCCTCGCCGCCTACAGCGTCGAGTGCGCCAGGAAGGGCGTCCTGCTCGACTGGCGAGGGCATGTGCGGCAGTGTGGTGAGTGGGTGGTGAGTGGTGGTGAGTGGGTGGTGAGTGGTGGTGAGTGGGTGGTGAGTGGTGGTGAGTGGGTGGTGAGTGGTGGTGAGTGTGTGTTAAGTGAGTGGTGAATGGGTGGTGAGTTGGTGACAGGGTGGTGAGTTGGTCACAGGGCGGTGAGTTGGTGACAGGGCGGTGAGTGAGAGACAATGCGGTTACCACCACCGTGTGTGTGGTGAGCGTGTAACAATTGACTCAATCGTGTTGATGTTTCGATTGTGTCTCGAAAAAATAAGTCAGCGCCAAGTCTCTAAAAATCACGGATTGTTTACTTTTAAATTCTCAATGGTATAGTCGTTCATACCAGCAAGCAGGGCGAAGTTAATTTTATGCATCCCGCCCAGGCGTTCACTGCACGGGAGGTCAACAGTACCAAGTGTGCGGAGATTCGTGCACGCATTCGTGCTACGACCTGGCCACGAACCCTGGCTGTAAGAGGAAGTGCGTGGAGGGCTGCAACTGCCCCGAGGGCTTCACTCTGGACGCCTCGGGCATCTGCGTGCCCATGAGCCAGTGCCCCTGCGTGTACCTGGGCAAGGAGTACAAGGCGGGGTACGAGATGATGCAGCCTGACGCAGAGGGCAAGCGCAGCGTCTGGTGAGTTCTGTGTCGGCACTTCAGGGTACTAAAGGATACTAGAGGGTGCTGGTATCCTATCTAGAACTTACTTGGTGAAGCGAAAGTTGTCACTATTACATCGTTGGTACCGTGAACGTGAATGCGAATACTGCGTTAGTGCAATTTGTATTGACGTTGAAAAATAACTGATGTTAGTGTGGTACTATCATAGAAAAATTTATGATGGTACTGATTCTTAGAGTTGGAATTGAGTGAGTATTAGAGTGCCGTCTGTTACGACTAATACTGTTCCTTTCCCCACCATGACTCAGCGAATGCATTATGGCGCAATGGGATTGTCACGAGCCCACCCAGAACGAGCTGGAGTCGGAGAAGTTCTTCGAGCTGCCACAAGTTGGCTGTTCGGAGTCTGATAACCTAGTCTACACCGAGTGCATGCCAGACGAAGAGGCTACATGCAAGGTGATTTTAACGCCAGTGAAAAACCAAACATTGATCGTAAACTTTGAATCAATCTCACCTACCCACTTGGATCAAATTAAAAAAATGTGCAGTTGACTAATGAGAGGTCATTTCAAATAATTTGAGTGATGGGTTTCAGGGGTTTGAATCGACGATGGGTTTGAATCGACATGTGGTATTAATTTTGAACTTTACTATCAAAGCCTCATCACTTAAGTGCATCTAATTCGCTCTCATCACTCACTCACATTTGGAACTGATTAAACTGATCCAGCACTCGTCACTCGCATCATTCACACGCATAAATGATTGCAGATTTCCTTAAATTCAAATCTGAAATCAAGGTAATATAGTCGAAAAAATGTTTTAATTACCGCAGACGATGCACTTTGTTGAGAGCGAGCACGTGTCTGACACGTGTAAGGCAGGCTGCAGGTGTTCCCCGGGACACGTACGGGACACGGACACGGGTGCGTGTGTCCCCCAACACGCATGTCCCTGTCATCACGGTGGTCGCTCGTATGCAGAAAATCAAACCATCGTCGAAGAATGCAACACATGGTAAGCCTTCCATCAATGGGAAGACCGGATACCCTCACACGCTACGTATAAAATTTTTTATGCATATATGATTTTATTTGTATATTTTATAAGACATAGTCGAAGGAACCGTATATTCCATTCCGTCATACACGGAAAATTAAATATCGTGTTCATTGTCACTATAATTTCAAAAGTTTGCAAACCAAATTACTCAGTCGAGACTTTACGAATTACGTTCATTACGTATTCATCCATCCGTATACTTAATCACATGCTTCACTTAGTTAGTTCTTTTTTGATGGTCCCCTTATTCGTGCATTTTACCAAATTTCTTCTCGCCCGTCTCTCCACCACGTTTATTCCTCTTTTTTTCCCTCACACTCATTTTACTTGCTCACAAAGCAATCTTCTTTCACCCCTCCTCGCGTGCAGCACGTGCTTTTCCTCACTCTTCGTAACTCCTTCTAATACCATCTTCCTTCACCCGCCCCTCGTGCAGCACGTGCACGGCTGGAGAGTGGGTATGCGGCACACAGGAGTGCCCTCAGATCTGCACCGCTTGGGGCGACTCGCACTACAAGACGTTCGACGGGCGCCTCTACGAGTTCCATGGCACGTGCGACTACATGTTGGCTAAGGCCAAGGCCAAGGGCCCCGATAGCTTCCAAGTGTCTATCCAGGTGAGGCCAAGGCCAAGGGACCCGATAGCTTCCATGTATCCCTCCAGCTAAGGCCATGGCCAAGGACTCGATAGTTTCCAAGTATCTGTCTTGGTGAGCCCGAGGGCCACGACAGCTTTCGAGTATCCATCCAGGTTAGGCCAAAGCCAAGGGCTCAAACAGCTTACACTTGTCTATCCATGTGAGGCCAAGGCCAAGGCTCCGACAGCTTCCAAGTGTCCATCCAGGTGAGGCCAAGGCCAAAGGCCACGACAGCTTCCAAGTGTCCATCCAGGTAAAGCAAAGGCCAAGGTCTCCGACAGCTTCTAAGTTTCCATCCAAGTAAGGCCATGGCCAAGGGTCGCGACAACTTCGATGTGTCCATTCAGGTAAGGCCAAATACTTTGACACTGGTAGCCTCCAAGTCTATGTGAGGTGAGGCCATAAACAAAGGCCAGAACATGCTCAAGTTTTTATTAAGAAGAGGCCAAAATTCCATTCAGGTCTTAAAGCGTACGAGAGAAAGAGAAATCTTTTCTTCTGATATGCAGCATTCATTTGCTCGAAGGGCAATCCTTGAACATGGTGAAATAATTTTTGTTGATAACGATGGTATGAAACATATTTTTCGTATTTAAAACAATTTTTTGAATGTTAAATAACTACCATGTTGAAGTATTAGTTTCAAAGTCATATTTTCAAAATGTTAATGAACCTGTTTCAATATGATCAATGTTAATGTTGGGATAGTCATTAAATGATCTACTGATTATTGAAGTAGCCAGTTTCCCTAATTCATCAATATTTGACTCAATCATTTATATTTTTATCTGTAATGCCTTTCAGATTTTCATTGGAGAAAAAATTTGGGGCTTTTCTAGGAAAATATGAGAAGCGCGGTCCTAGCTTGGCTTGTTACTACATCCCGAATAATCATCGCAACTCAATTACCTGTCCATGATTTTTAAAACGTTTTATTAGCAATAAATCTTTATAGGTATGGCCTCTGTACAAATTATTTAACCAATGTAAATAATGAAACAGAATGTGCCGTGCGGCACCAACGGCGTGACCTGCGCCAAGTCCATCACGCTGAGGGTGGGTGGGGCGGACAACCAGGAGGTCGTCGAGTTCTCCAGGGACAAGCCCCTGCCAACCAAGTGAGGGCCGTGGGTCTTACATTAGGATTTTAGTTTATTTTGGGGCTGATTTGATTTACATGTATTGATCATATGGAGGATTGGTAAAATTACTGCATTTGCTAAATACTAAAAATTGAAAGGTTAGAAATACATCGTCCTTTAGCTGCAAAAAACAGCAGTTGATTTTCTAATGTTTTCACTTATTTTAATTTGAAAGCACTTATTATTAATTTGGAGTCTTGTAGGTACTAGATTAATTTATTAGTAATCTACTTTTCACACTAATGAAGTTTCTTAGCACCTTCACCCCTAATAACTAACGTAAGATAATCCTCACGAACAGCTCGCTGAGCCGCACGATTATTCGTGAGGCGGGCGTGTTCGTGTTCGCCGAGGTGCCCGACATGGGCCTCACCCTGCAGTGGGACCGGGGCACCCGCGCTTACCTAACACTCAGCACCCGCTGGCGCAACATGGTGGGTGCACCATAACCCACTTAATTGGGTCACTGAGATACAACGACGTGAATTATTTAGATATCTACTTATGCATTTTATAATTGCTAATGCTTACCAATAAAATGATATCTTACTGTGCATTATATAGCACAACAATGTTGTAAATTGAGCGTTGAGGCACTTGGTGTGAATTCATTGGTTAAATAGAGCGTTTATGGTGCAGGTGAAAGGCCTGTGCGGCAACTACAACGGCGACGACCAGGACGATTTCCAGACGCCGTCTGGCGGCACCGCCGAGACGTCGGCGCGAATATTCGGCGACTCCTGGCGACTGCAGAACTACTGCCCTGAGAGCTCCTTGATTGAGGTGCGGTACTGCCTAGAGAGCTCCTTGATTGAGGTGCCGTGCTGCCCTGAGAGCTCCTTGATTGTGGTGCTTGGTACCTCCCAGGTTCAAGAAAGTATTTGATCCGACTAATCGGTCTTAAAATCTTATTGCGAAAGACATAATAATTACTTTCAAGGTTAACAATCCAAAGATAGGTTGTGGGAGTGCAGATATCGGTTCTCACATGTTGATTGTTCTTCTATGGGTCGGCGTTATATGGGGGCAGGCATTCCTACCCAATATTATTAAAAGTACTGAACAATTGCTGGTTCGCTAGTCATGCCCTTTACTTTGACGAAAAGTTTACTAACAATAGAGAAATTAGACATGTTTATTATTATAATTATTATTATTATTAGACATATTTGACCGAACCTTCATTGTACGTTGCTTTATCTTAAGGTGTAACAATAACTCTAATGTCACCACCCCCCAGGACACTTGCGCCCTGCACCCCCACCGCAAGGTCTGGGCCACGGAGAAGTGCGCGCTGCTCAAGAGCGCAGTCTTCGCTCCATGCCACTCAGAGGTCCCCGTCGACGCCTACATCTCCAGGTCCTGCGACTAGTGACTAGCTTTGGGACTTGTGTAACTAGTGACCAGTGTGACTTGTGATTAATTATTTGTGACTTGCAAGTCAAGACTTTAGTAAGATTTGACTTGTGTGATCCGTATTCAATAAATTGTGACTAATGGCTTGTATTACTTGGGTAATTACAGCCTGGCATCTTGTAACGCGTGTTACTGCTGAGTAATGTGCCTCTTGACTAATTACTTGAGACTCGTGTTACTTATGACCGGCGTCTTGTGAGTTAAAATTTGATGTTCCTTGCCATTTCGCTCTGGACTTCGACTGTGGTGACTTCGTTCCGAATTTTTAGTCACTAATTCACTTCCAAAAGCCAAACGTTGTCCTTAGCTTAGTGAACCTAATTAATACGAAAATAAGTAAAAAATTCAATTGCCCTATCGAAAACTTTATTCATTACTTCTATCTAACTACCATTCATTGTTATTCACAGCGCAGAAATGGGCCCAATATTTTGGAACATTTTGCATAACAAATATCTTATGATTTACTTACCGCAAGGTGAAAATCTCGCTATAAGCGTGTCCCTGGCGTTCGCCAATGGGATCAAATTGTAAGAAATTGCAAGAATTTTTTTAAGAACATCACGAATGAGATTTTGCAATGACGTCGCACAGATGTCAGTTCGACACGTGTGGCTGCGACACGGGCGGTGACTGTGAGTGTTTGTGTACGGCCCTGGCAGCGTACGCACACGAGTGCAACATACACGGCGTGTACGTCAGGTGGAGGACTGAACAGCTGTGTCGTGAGTAGTAATTCATTTATTAATTAGAAGTTAAGATGGTAATTTTAGGTGCTAATTAATTATGTTATGAAAAAGTCAATGTTAGGCGTAGATTTGTTGGTCTTTACTGTCATTGTTTGCAAAACAATAATTTTTAGATTACCTAATAAATGATCTAAGTAATTGCCTCCTTATTTCTTGTAAAATAATCATTCGTATGACTTTTAAATCATATTTCACCTTCGATATTTGCATCAAGAGAATAACAAAACTATGACAGTAATATTTATTTCCACGTGAAGCGATGCAGTGCGACGAGACATGCGAGCACTACGAGCCCTGCATCCCTACGTGCGGCACGTCTACGTGCGACACGCTGCTGGCGCCCACGTCGCCTACGTGCGTGGACGCGACGTGCGTCGAGGGCTGCGCCAGGGACGTGTGCCCACCCGGCCACGTGCACAAGAGCGCGTCGGATAAGTCGTGCGTGCCTGCCGTGGACTGCGACAAGAAGTGCCTTGAAGAGGAGGGCAAAGTCTTCATGGAGGGCGACGTGATGAGCGAGGATGACTGCCACCGATGGTGAGTGGAGGGGTGGAGGAGGGCAAGGTCTTCATGGAGGGCGACGTGATGAGCTAGGACGACTGCCACCGATGGTGAGTGTTCGGCGGGAGGGGTGGAGGAGGAGGGGAAGAGGGAAAATAGTAGGAGTGAAGAGGGGATGGAGGGGGAGGAAGGATGTGGAGGGTAAAGAGAGATGGGAAGGAAAGAGAAATAAAAGGGAATAGGAGTGAAAGGATGGGAGGGGATGAACGGGAAGAAATATAAAAGAGAAGTATAGAAAGGGAAGTGAAGTAAGCGAGGAAGGTTAGAACAAGATGAAGCATGTGGGAAGTTTGAACCCAATATCTTTTGCCGCTTATATAAAGCTGCATTATAACTTTCATAATATAACATGCGAAACTATAAAACATTGACGTTGCTTCAGTAATATTATTGGTTTCTACAAAATAAAATAATAGGTAAAAATATAAATAATTATAATAGTTTATGTTCCTAATTTCATTCTAGCTTCTGTACCCGGAAGAAGAAGGTGTGTCGAGGCACTCCTTGCACCACTCCTCACTCCAGCACCACTGTGGTGTTCACCACGTCACCCATGGTGAATGAAACCTCCACCAGCCTTCATCTGGACGATGTCACCACCATCACCCCACCACCCACCACCCGATGTAGGAGCGGCTGGACCGTCTGGATTAACCGAGACCTTCCCATTGCCTTCAAGAAAAATACGGACCATGAATCTCTACCGGAGAGAATAGTCATGGTGCGCTAAACATTAATTCAACTCGTCTAAAATATATCAAGCAAAGTCATGAATTCCATCAAATGAAACTTTAATGTCTACGTTTCAGTTTTTAATCTCTTCTGTCTGATTCAAAGCGACCATCCAATGACATATAGAAAATTGGATTTGAATTTTCACAAGAAAGAATCGTCTTCTATCAAATTCTAGTTACGTTAATTAATAAAGTCATGAATATTTCATATTTTTAAACATGATTCATTTTTTATCAGATGTCGAATTAAATCTCATGATAATTTTTATGGCTATAATTTTAACCTATCGACCCAATAATTTAAATTGTTCACGTAATGTATATCTTACATTATTTCCAGTTCGTCTGATTACGCAAATTACAATGATTCTAGGAGGTAATCGACGATATTGTATATGCATTAGCGATGAATATTCATGCCGTGCCGTTTGAATATTTCCTCCACTATTTCTCTCACTGAATCCTGCTCAGACGAACCCAGAAAAAGGCTACTGCGAGAAGGACATGGTCACCGACATCCGATGTCGCAAGGTGGGCACCCACGAGTCCTGGGACAGAACAGGACAGCCCGTGACCTGCACCCTAGAGGACGGGCTCCTGTGTAGGGGCAGGCAGGGCAAGGGCGCTGGGCCTAGGGACACCTGCCACGACTACGAGATCTCCTTGCTGTGTGACTGTGGTGAGTACCCAGTGAAAATTTACAGGCGCGCCAGCTTCTGATTTGGACTACCAGAAGCTGACGCGACTCTAAATTTTGTTAGGGTATCCACTGGGTACAAACTTACGCCCGTTAGATAACAGATGTTTGCTTCATAGCTAGGTAAATCTCTTGCTTACATGTTACTTAGGAGTCAATAAATTCAACCTTGTCACTGGGCTTACCATGAAAGTTTTCGCATTCACTTATTGTTAATAGATGGTCTTATTACTTGCCTCCATATTTGTTGGAACCTAATCATACGCATGTCTTTTCAATCCTCTTTCTCCATCAATATTTACATCAAGAGAATAAGAAGAGCTGTCAGTTTGAAGTACAACTTTTGCTTTGGTATTATTGATAATCAATTGACTACAATAACTTACGTTCGTCCCGCTTTACTATGTCAGGTAAACAAGTTCCTTCGACTACGATCATAGCAGAGCCCGTGACCGCTCCACCTTTGGTTCTTCCGTCAACGTAAGTTTCCACAAAATCTCCGATTTTCGACGTTAATTGAAGGAATTTTGAACAAAATTCGGTCACTTACTTCAAGTTTTGGTAAACTAATGTTAGCGTTGATTAAGTTGAAAGTGTAATAGGTATCCGTATACGTATCAGGTCCATTATCGGTTGAGACTTTATCATCTACTAGTAATAGACGAGTACTGACGGTTTTATAAAATGGAATTCGAGGATCAAATGTAGAATTAAAATATTGAAATGAAATCACTGTTAGGCAGTGCAGTTCTTTGATTTCTATAATTATAGCTCTGAGAGGAACAAGAGACGTTCAAAGATCAGCATAAAGAGAATGTGGGGACAAACGAGGCTTGGGATTAAAGATATAAATTACTCGATTCTAACTCGCGATCGCGGATGCAGCATAAATACAGCTCATGATTGGACGCTGTAGTTTTTCTATTGAAGCAGTCAAAGATTATCTGCTTATCAAAATTATTGTCCTTTTTGGTACATTAAATTTATTGGACGGAAACAGTAACGGGCAATGTGCCTCTTTTCATTAACTTCGACCACTTCTAGTTAACAGCGATGCACGTGTAGTGTAAAAAATGCATATTTGATGAATTGTAACCACCCTAGGGAACCGCCGTTCATCCCTGTACCAATGGACTGCGTGGAGGAGTGGACCCCATGGATGAACCAACATCAGCCTAACGAGTTCGGCGAGTTCGAGACCCTGGATGCCATCCGGGAAGTTGAGTCCTTCTGTCCCCGCCACTACATCAAGAGCGTTGAGTGCAGGAACGCCGACCAGTCACGGCTGTTCAATTTCGTCAAGTGCGACATCAATGGAGCGACTTGCAGGAATAACGGTCAGTTTCATGAGATGTATTCTTTTAGTAGTCATTGATTTAGGACAGACGAATCACAATTTTTAAGCGGTTTCATAGGAACCATTTTAGTGACTTGACAGGAATGCAATTATTGAAGAAATGGATGAAATACGTTATGCAGAAAAGTTTCTACCACTAAATGCGGATTGAGAAGCAAGCTGCCTGCTAATAATTCAGCAGACTGATTAACTAACCGAATATTTTATAATTTACTGAGCAATAACTGAAATATTTGCTTCATAAATTCGAGGTTATAGAAGTCAGCGTGTTGTCATATTAATCCGGTATCCCAATCCATGGCAACAGGTGAAGGTAGCTTGAAGTACTGCTTTGACGTGGAGGTGCGGGTTCTGTGTCAGTGCCAGTGCCAGGATGGTCTTGGAATGGAGTCTGGCACCATTCCTGACAGTGCCATAACCTCGAGTGCCAGCCTCATTCCTGGCATGCAGGACACGGCATATCGGGCCAGGCTCAACTCAAGGAACCGGGATGTTCTGAACGATGAAAGATTTCCTGTGGGCGCGTGGACTGTTCCAACTGTAGGACCTGTAGACGAGCAGTGGCTGCAAGTGAGCACGAGATAAATTTATGACCTGTTATTGAACTCTGACGAGTTGTATCACAAACGTTTAATCAGGATAGTAAATTTTACGAAACTTTGATTGACTGCCCAGCTTCTCTTTACCTTTGAATTAATCTACGAGCGTTTGATAATGTCGTATTTGTCAGTAAATACTTATTTTGTCTACTGTCGATTCTTGAGTGTGTAACGCTAGACAGCTGGGGTTAAAAATAAAAAAGTTTCTTCCTCTAATTCCTAGTTTCTTCCTCTAGTCTCATTATCTCATTTAATCCAGGTTGATCTTGGTGAGCGCAAGGAGGTGACGGGGGTGGTAACCCAGGGCTCCCCATCTGGCCGGCTCTTCGTCTCGCGGTTTGCAGTGCAGGTCTCGTCTGACGGCTCCTCCTGGACTGAAATAAGGGACCTTAATGCCGACCATGCTAAGGTGGAGTGATCTCCCAACTTTATTGAACCTTTAACCAATAACTTGATACTAAAAGTCTACAACCCAAACAAAATTTAGAGGCATACGTAACCCTGCATTAGGGCCGCCTAGGACTCGGGGAGCACGTGGAGCACGGCTCAAGATCCAAAGAGCTACCGGCCAACCCACGTCATACTCCCATGCGACTATAAAGTCAATCGGAGATTCTGACCAGAAACTGATTCTGATTCTGGGCCAAGCAGACCCAGAAAAACTTTGCGCCCAGTGTAGCGACTATTCGGTCGAAGCCTAGGCGGTCCCCGAATTTTGTTATGGACTATAAATTTTTTATCTTACTACTATTGCCTAAAGATTTATATGATTTATAAACATTTGCAGCAATAATCTGTATTAAATAGCATTACTAGTCGAGAATTTACTGATTGAATTTTCGTTTCTAGTTCAGAGTCTAATAATTCAAATAGTCTGTGTTAGAAAATCATGATAATAAAATGTCAGTCTTAACAAATAAAAAGCAACTAATTTTGTTCCCGGCAGATTTTCGTCGGCAACACAGACGGCAGTTCGGCGGTGACTAACTTGTTCCCGGCGCCCGCGATGGTGCGCTTCGTAAGGGTCGTGCCCCTGCCGGGGGGCCTCGGACCCGCGGGCGGCGCCCTCAGGATCGAATTAAAAGGATGCGATATGCCAGGTGATATATATTTACTCGTAATGCCTTGAATAAACATAGGTCTTTTAATTACATCTATTAAGATGAATAAAATCTACATTATTTCAAATAGCAGAAATATAATTTACTGCTTCCATTGTTTGTAACATGAATAACACTATTCAGTATTCTCGTAATATTTTCATATTATTTTTGTATTGATTGTTTCAACTCTATTATTAAAATTTAGGCATATAGCTGTATTCTACAGTAATAAATGAAATTGACATCCGAATATCAAAAGTTAAATTACCGATCAATGAGCAGAAGAAGTGGAGCTGTCGACGCTCCCTCCCTTCGCTACGACGGTGCCTCCACTCCTACACGTGACCGTGCCTAGAGAACCTGTGTGTACGGACGGGTGGACCCCGTGGATGAACTCGCACACACCCATGCCGGGTGACTGGGTGAGTGAGATACGAGCATTGCATTAGGTATGTGACAAGGCGGGGCTGGGTGAGCAAGATACGAGCATTGTATTAGGTATGTGACAAGGCGGGGGCTGGCTGAGCAAGATACGAGCATTGTATTAGGTATGTGACAAGGCGGGGGCTGTAGGCTCCTGATCGTGAGTTGGGGTCGTGTGGTGAAGGCTCCTGATCGTGAGTTGGGGTCGTGTGGTGCAGGTTCTTGATCGTGAGTTGGGGTCGTGTGGTGCAGGTCGTTGATCGTGAGTTGGGGTCGTGTGGTGCAGGCCGTTGATCGTGAGTTGGAGTCGTGTGATGCAGGTCGTTGGCGTTAGTTGGACTTGTGTAGTCGAGACCGTAATAATTGTAAGTAGACGAATTGTAAATATAATAATCGTCTAATGATCGTGATGGTGAGTAGAATCCATGAATTAGAGTTTGAAGATCGTGAGTGAGTCGTGATGAAGAGTTGTTAAGCTGCACAGATGTGGTGGGGATGGTGAGGGAGGAGGGGACAGATGTAGTTTGGATTGTGAGGTGTAGTAGAGTAGGTGAAAAAGTGGTATCGTGAAAAAGTGGTAATCGAAAGTAGAATTCGTTTAGTAGATATCAATGAGTTTGAACTAACACTTCGTAGAATATATATCATTGATCGAAATTTTCTTTTTTGCATTAGATGTTATACCCTTGAATTTGATAAGTTTATCACTCACGATTACTCTTGTGAAGATATCGCGGACCTCCAGCTGTCTCAGACACGCGGTTAAGGGTATCTAGACATTCTTCAATTTCTTTCTTCGCATTCGTACATATTTTATTCTATTTAATTTTCCATCTATTTTATTTTATTCTTCATGCAACACATTTCATCGTCCAGACTGCTACGACTACGAGATCAGATTCAACTGTGACTGCGGACTGACAACCCCCTATACGGAGCCCAGCACCCGCCCCCCATGGGGCCCGACCGCCCCCGCCCTCACCGCCACCACGCTGCCAGACGTGGAACTCATCGGCGAGATCTGCAACCCAAGCCTGCCTGCTAAAATACACGAAACGTCGTGTCAAAAGTTCTATGAGGTGTGTTTTGATTAATATTTGATTAAGTATGATTCAATTTTATTTATATAATGATAGAAATTCGGTTATGCCTCGTAATATTTTCAAATTATTCACTGATGAAAAAAATTACTCATACTCGTAGTTTAAAAGCTTCCGTCGTATCGTCAAGTTATCTTAATACTTTAATTTTCTGAAACGAAAACCGGCGAAATGATTGAAATTTGTGAGCCACGTAGTGTTCCAATGAATATAATAATTCAATGATTGACTATATCAACACCTGACCTAACCTTCTGGGGCAAAATACTTTGATATTAATAAATTCTCATCTATGAGAATCGATGCCAAAGACAAACATTCTATTCTTATAATCAATTATAATATTTTTCATGATCAAATTGATTTTTCCTTGATAAGTTTAATGCCAGTTACGGTTAAAAATAATAATCGAGCATAAATAATAGAGTGTTGAAGAGATTGTGTGCCTGGTTATCTGCGATTTCGACCAGATTTCATTATCAGTTGAGGGTTTCGAACCTCCAACTCATCGCTTTAATCTTGTTGATCTTAACCTCTCAGCCACCCCGGGATTAAGTATAAGATAGTAATTAATCAGTTTGTCATTGTGTGCGACTTTTACTTCCTTCTTATCGCAACGGCATGCAATATTCTTTTGGTCTCTGAAGAAAACCTGTGGACTATGTCTGCAAATTTACGACCTCTAATTATTCAAAGCTCAACGCGATGGCATCCTTCATGATCACCCGTTGGTGTCTTGGTCCTCACCCATAGCCTGAAGCAAAATCCTCCCTGCCCCCAGTGCTCTCTCATGGGACTCTTGGGTACCTCACCCATAGCCTGACGCATGTTCCCCCTTCACTCAGTGCTCCCCCATGGGTCTCTTGGGTACCTCACCCACAGCCTGACGCATGTTCCCCCTTCACCCAGTGTTCCCCCATGGGTGGGTCTCGCGGGTACCTGGTTGAGAAAGTATGCGGGCCCGGGACACTCTTCAACCCCACCTCGATGACGTGCGACTGGCCCGCTGCTGTGGAGCTCGTCAGGCCAGAGTGCAGGGACATGCCAGGTATTTTGTTCTAAAAAATTACTGAAAAAGTTATCATGAAATGGTTAGCGTGTACAACTGGATGATATTAAAATAGTTTTACATTTTGTCAGTTGTCTCGATAAATTTCGACATTTAACGAATGATTCATTCATGAAAGAACGGATAAACCAATTTAGGTCTAATGACCTTTAAATAAGCAGAACTGATCGCCTGGCTGCGCATTAGGATTGGGCCTTCCGTTACGTAATTGCATGCTTTTAGGCGCGTTAATATTGATATACCGTCAGGCCTATAACAATTTGCAGATAATTTCTTAGATGTACCTCAGCATTATCTTCATTATAATTACATTTGTTATCGTGGTGATTGTTTTTATAGTGCCAGTGCCCCCTGAGGTTGATGGCTCGGGCCTGCCGCCCCCACCGTGGGGACCGGGGACCACGCCCCCCACACCCCCCTGTGAGGACACATGGACTGAGTGGTTCAACGTGTCCCACCCGAGGTGCCTCAAGATCCTCATTTTTATTTATATATTTTGCGAAAAATAAGTTTCATAAAAATAATGGAGTGACCAAATAAATTAAAAATATATAAAGTTACTGTCATAATTATGATTATGAATAACATTTGACAAGGTTTATGAACAATGATTGAAACATTAAATCACTAAAAAAAATCAACATAATTCGCAGACTAAGTTAATTTTGCAGAAAATATTCGCATACCAATCAGTATTTCTAATAAATTACAGTTTAATTTAGTCTGGATTATTACAGGCCGACAATAAATTCATGAGAGTTAAAAGCATGTCTTTGTTGAAGTTCAATAATTATAATTTTATAATTATTTTAAAATCTTATTTTAGTGACGATGGCGGAGACTACGAGACGTACGAGGCCATCAAGCTGCAGCATCCTGACGTGTGTGACGTCACGCACGTCGTCAATACAGAGTGTCACTTCAGCGTCGTCACGACGAGGTGAACACGTCAGGCTAGTCACAACGAGGTGAACACGTCAGGCTAGTCACGACGAGGTGAACACGTCTGACTTGTCATGACGAGGTGAACACGTCAGGCTAGTCACGACGAGGTGAACACGTCAGGCTAGTTACGACGAGGTGAACACGTCAGGCTAGTCACGACGAGGTGAACACGTCTGGCTAGTCATGACGAGGTGAACATGTCTGGCTAGTCATGACGAGGAGAACACGTCAGGCTAGTCATGACGAGGTGAACACGTCCTGTTAGTCACGTAACCGTGTCATCGCAGGACAACGTTAAAATGAACCTTAATAGGAAGAACATGAATCGCATTTTACACGCGAATAAACGCGCATAGTGCCGTTAATGAATGAGAACTCCTGTTGTAAGTCATTCACTGTAGTTTGTGAATGACGACTGAAAATATTACAGTTATTTACGTGTTCTGTTTAATGTTATGTCTATTAAGCTAAGATATATTATTTAATGCTATTATTACATTACTATGTCAAATGAACTACTAAATAAAGAAGTAATTGTACGGCTTGCAGCGGCCCCAGCCGGGGCCGTAAAGGTGGCCGTAAAGGGGCTCGTCAGCCGACACAAATTGGCCGTTATACGACCACTGTGCTGGACGTTTCCGAGTCTACGGACAGCAACGTCCGGTGTGACCGTTACGGGCTACAGTGCAGTAACGCAGATCAGAATAACGGTCAGGACTGCAACGACTACGCCGTGCGCTTCCTGTGCGCTTGCGGTAAGCCTCAGTCATGCTTAATTATAAAGCAAACTTCCTTATGATAATATTTAAATATTTTGACGAGTTTTATCGAATTAAAGCTCCGTGTGTAAATATGCATTAATTGTATTCTTTTCCAACCCCTTGTCTAATGGCAGCGAATAAATAACATGGCATTTAGCGTATCCTTACCTTAAATAAACAAAAAATAATACTAGGCTCCACTTCAACGTTCCTTAAAGTTCATTGAGGATATGCGTTTAAAAAATTGTTATGAGTTAGTAATCGATTGTTTTTCAAGCTGAACCCACGAATCACAGACAAGAAATAGACTACTACATGTACTTACACTGTTACGTGCTACGCGCAGAAAAAGATTAATGATGTCCACAATACTCTGTATCTTAATTTAATGAATATTTATCACTGACTTGCATAACTCCAGACGCGGTTAAACTTCAGAGCACGCCAGCCTTGCCCCCCTACACCGACTCCCGATACTCCTCAGCTACCCCCGACGAGCACATGTACAATGGTGAGACATGTACAATGGTGAGACATGTACAATGGTGAGACATGTACAATGGTGAGACATGTACAATGGTGAGACATGTACAATGGTGAGACATGTTAATGTAACAACAGTTAATACAGCATTGGAACGGGTAATACCGCAGTGCAGCAGTAATAAAGTAATATAGCAGTGCAGCAGTGATATAGCAGTGCAGTAGTTCACTTATTCACTTTTTTTAAATTTATCGTAGTAGTTATATGTAACCTATATATCTCCGGAAATATATCTAGCTTTCCTTTTAAGGGACTCCCTGATGTCAACGCTTATGTATAAGGTTAAATTTTTGGAAAAGTTGTTGAGGAGCATTGATTTTGTATTTTTTTTTACTTATTATGAACAAATAAATGAAGCTCAGCAGCCGATAGGATGGTATTTAAATATTTGGAGCATTCACCGTAGAGTATATGCATAAGGTGGAAGAATTTGTACGCGCCACAATGTACACGTCTCTTCGCACATACAGTGCACATATGCGCCTAAATGCAAGATCTTTTCATCGTATACCAATAAGTCGGGCCTATAAAAACTTATAACTTTCAATTATGATGTGTGGCGCCTGCGATTTACAACAACCAAACCCATTAACATCAATCCTGTTTCAATAAAGTTAATAGGTAATTAATGATAATTTTAGCCTAATTGAATTATATCTATTTCGCTTTGTTATATCAGACATTTGCAGTAACGATAGAAACAGGTTTGTGTTCGCTGACATTTCAAATGAACAGGTCTAAAAGAAAATTTGTTTAAGCTCTGCAATTCCAAGTCAAACACTAATAGCGAGAGGACATTCTTCGTCTAGTGCTCTCTACTCGCATGCCTTGTAAGATAGCTTATCTTACGGTTAGTTGTAAGACATTTTGAAGGCGTAAGTGAGAAATTATTCGCCCTTTTTTGAAAGAATTTCGTATTAATTTTGTGTGAATTTATTTTATATACCTTCTGGCTAAAACTATCTAACGTGAAGGCTCACGATTAAACACTCAACATAATAAACTCACCAATATACATTGAATATATAAACTCAGTAATAAACATGAAAGCTCAAACGTAAACACATCATATTCCTAGTCTGTAGTGATATAATGTCTCACTGCAGACTGGTGCCCGCCGGGCAAGTCGATGAAGGAGCGAGCCATACCCTGCGCGCGCGTGTGTCTCTACCAGCGCAGGGTGCTGGCCCAGACTGGGCACTGCCTTGTGAGTGCCCACACTTCGTGCCTTCACTGCCCACACTTCGTCTTTGAATTAATGAATTTAACATTGATACAATATCTTTAAAAATGTATATGAAAAGGTCTTCGAAAAAAGCTATATCTTTGGTTTAATTATCTGTTGTTTCGAAAGATCGATCGATTTTGGTGAACTTGCAAGTATTTCAATGATAATTGAAATTGATGTTATGATAGTCTAAACATAGGCGATGGTCATATAAGTTTCTGCTTTCAACCAGCAAGATCACGTGCCCAGTTCAGAAAAGAAACTATGAAGGAAAAATTCTCAGGCTATGAACATACGGTTGTATATAATATATGCATTGCTGGGGCTGTCAGGATATGTAATAATATTCATTTTCAATGAAATTTATGGCAAGTCATTCCAGTCTATTCTTGCAAGCAGTTTATTATCAGATATTGGAGCTTTTTTGACAGTAGTTTATTATCAGCTGTTAGAATTCTGTCCTAATTTTGAATATTTCTTTATCATATCCAATTTCTTTATCAAATCAACTTGGGTTAGACGACGTGGCTGTGATGGTCAAAATTAGGGAATTGTTTTGTATTATGGAGAAGTAATGTAATATGCATTTCGATGAAATTAAGTAAATACACATGAGAAAACATTTAGAAAATACATATTAGGAAACGAGACGGATCTTTAAAGAAGACTTACAATAAAATATATACTGGAATTTTTGCAGCGAAATTTAATCTTTTCTTCCCACTTAGTTTTTCACTTAATCTTTATTAACAAATTTTAGTACTCCGAAATAAATTTTTTAGTACTCCGAAATAAATTTGCATTCTTAGTTCCGTTAAATGGAATTATTCCCGCAGAGCCCGGGTGACTACGCACCAGCCTGCGCAGACGACGAGACAGGCGTCGTGTGCCCCCCAGGCATGCTGCTCAGGGACAAGGCGAACTGCGTGGCCATCTTCGACTGCAACTGCTACCTCCCTAACGGCGTCGCCGCGCCGGTGCGTTAACTCTTGCAAGTCTCCTTTAGTTTGATAAATCTTAGCAACTTTCTGAGCTAAGTCGAAGCTTTATTGTACATTATAATGAATGGAATCATTTAGTTTTAGTACTATCTTTGTATTTTATTCAAATTTGTGAAAAGTAGAGAAATATTGAAGGTAGAATTTTGAAAATTAAACTTTAGAATTTTAATGACTCGTAAACGCTCTTATTTTGTCTACACTTCTCCATTGTTTGTGATAGGCACAGTTACAAAATTATGTTGTCATAATTACTAACTAATACATTATGAGCAAAACAATGCTTCTTATAATTACAATATGTTGAGTTCATGTTTGTATGTGAACATGAAGCCCGGAAAGACGTTCCTGGTCTCTGACTGCGAGGTCTGCATGTGTGCTAACAACGAACTCAAGTGCGAGACTTCGGCTTGCGCCACCACACCCACACCTTCAACCTTGCCTTCTCTTGATTTCAAGGTGAAATAAATTGTGATTATTTTGAAATACACGTGACCATCACAGGCCTCACGTATTGTCTAATTCTCTTCATCAGTGATGGACTAGCTTCATTTTGTGAAACATTCACAGAGTTGGCAGTGATATAATGTTTCAACTATCGAAAATATACTATAAATTATTCATTTATAGTTATCATTTTCCAGCTTAGGAATGTCGTCTGCTCAATACTTTTTATTTGAAGGATTACAAGCAGTTGTTCATCATGGTTTTTAATTAATTTATTTAATTTAATAATTGCTCCGAGATTTTGCAATAAAATTGAATTGAGTGTTTTTGAATCACGATACATTGATTTGATCACGAAATAAATATTTCGTGGTTCAAATATTGAATTACCATAATTGTTTTTTTTTTCAAATATTCAAATTTCAACGATGACGAAGTCAAATTACATCCATCTTTATTTTTACATTAGTTCGACTCCTGATCTGATATTTTTTTGCACGATGGATGTTTTTACAATAGTTCATAGTAGAGTTCATTTTCTGCCTATCCAGTAGAGAACGATTTTATGGTTAACTTCGAAAGAGTTCAAAGTACCTTGTCAGCAACCCATGTTTTCTATTTCTGATTTACTTCACCCGATAAAAAATGACTATTGGGCTCCGTAACATTTTAAATTTATCTAAAAAGTGACGAGTAATTTATATGAAATTTCGAGAAAGTATTTACTCTATTGTTTTGATCATAGTGCTCATCCAAAATCACCTAGCAGAGGCCTACGACGGATGCCCACGAAATAGCGTCATGTCATGTAATAACTTTTCTTCTATGATCATCATATAAGCATGAGTTGAAATCAAATTATCTCTATGTGATGCCTTAAGAATAATAATATCAAGAATATTCTTAAGCCCATAAAATAACAGAGAATGCGAACATAAGATGATACGAACGTATAATATTTCATGCGGATGTCAGAAGTTCGAGTGCAACAAATGGAGTCCTTGGCTGGACGAGCACAAGCCGAACGGCGAAGGAGAAATAGAAAGCCTTCTGCAGCTCCGGAGAAAATACCCTGAGCTCTGCGAAGCACCCGTGTCAGCTGAATGCGTCACTGTGGCGGGTGAGTGTATCACTGTAGCGGGTGAGTGCGTCACTGTGGCGGGTGAGTGCATCACAGTGGCGAGTGAATGTTTCACTGTTGCGGGGGTGAGTGCGTAACTGTCACGGCTGAGTACGTCGTTGTTGCGGGTCAGTGAGTCACTGTTGCGGGTGATTGCGTCTCTATGACGGATGAAGGCGTCACAGTGAAGGGCGGGTGCGTTTCTGTAGTGGAAAAGTGAGTCAATGCGGCGTGTCAGTGCGTCACGGAAGAGGAAATTACGTCACTGTGGTGGGCGAGTGCGTCACTGTGCCGGTTGAGTGCGTCACTGTTGCGGGTGAGTGCATCACAGTGGCGAGTGAGTGTGTCACTGTGTCGCGTGAGTGAGTCACTGTGACGGGAAAATGAGTCAATTTTACGGATAAGTGCATCATTGTTGCGGGTGATTGCAAGACTGTGTCCGGAGGGTGAATCATGTACTGATTGTTCGTAAGGTCATGGATATGTGAACAAATTCCTAAGCCAACATAGGTTGATTGTTAACCATGTCAGGTGATGCTTTTGATACCAACGCTCGGTAGTGAGGCCCAGAATTAAGCAGTAGTGCTTTTGCGTACGTGACCGAGAGTGGTTGAGTCCACGAGATATATTTCAGAGATGGTAGTATGAAACATATATTAAATATTTATAAATGCGAATGAGACTGAGTAATCCAACTTAAAAAAGTCTGAGTTCACTAAGAGTTTTATGTTCAATGAAAAATGTTGGCACTGGTTTCGTTTTGTTATCACATATTAACTGCTTTATTATCAGTGGAATTAAGGATAACGGGATTTTAAAGTTCCATAAATTAACTATCGGGAAATGCTGGGCTAATCAGCTAGTAACTTCTAATGACTGCAATTGGAGCCAAAATTTTTCAAAAAGTGTTAGTTAGTTTTGGATCACACACGGCAAACTAGACTTGCTCACCGCAAAGCTCTTTTCTTTCTCTTGAAGCCTCACGCTTCATGCGCTATCAGCGGCGCTCCTGAATACCGAATGCATTTTTGTGGATTCATTTACATGCGGGAATTATTGGATGCCTTCTGAGGTTGACAGCTGAGGATGAACCGAATCGAAAATTTCAATTGCTTATCTGCAAGCAAATTGAAAGGCTTGAATAATGTGATATCCACGCTGAAAGATTGGTTATCCCTACATTCTGAGGCTAAAATGAACATATGGAAGAATTATAATATTTCCTTAATACTTGCCATAACATATGAATACAGCATCAAATTAATTTTCTTCGACAAACCGCGTAGGAACGAGTATTATGATTCTACTTTTGATAATATTTGAATGTTGAAGCTTTTATCATAAGCAGCGGCGAATATATGAAGGGTTACAACCAAATATTTGACCCGTGCTGGCAGATGGTCGGAGCGTCGCGGCCTCTGGTCAAGACGTGTCGTGCACTGCTGCTGGGGGTCTGCTCTGCCGCAACCTCCTCAACCCTGGGGGATGCCGGGCAAGTTATTTGGCTAGCGTTCTGTGCCGTGTAAATAATTAACGCGTTGACTACGAAGTGTTACATATGCGTACCACGAAATATATTTCTCCAGGACGTAGTGGTACATAATTAAGGGTTGCCAAAAATCGGACAAATGCGAGAACAAAAAAGGCCAAACAGGCCAATAACTCAATATATACTAGTTTATTTCTAGGTTCCGCAATATAAATTCCATTTATTTTCTTTTTGCTGTATTTAAAATTTAATAAGGAATTAAGCACCCCTATCATAAATTTTAGCCGGCCAACGCAATTGAGAAAAACTAAATCACGGAATTTGTCCGGAAAAAATGACCGTCTGGCAACCCTGTTTAAAAACAGTACAAAAAATGAAATAATAGTACAAGATGAAGCAATCGTAGTCAACGTGTTAAGTAAAATAATTAAGTGTCGTGTACCGCTGCTGGGGGTCTGCTCTGCCGCAACTTCCTCAACCCTGGGGGATGCCGGGCAAGTTATTTGGCCAGCGTTCTGCTTGCCAAAGCGAACCTGACTGATGAACGTAATAAATGACGAAGAAGCCACTTGTCACGGCTCTGAATAATTCAACAGCAGGAATAAGCACTGAATAAAATTGTTTTCATATTGAAATTTGTGTCATCGGCTTTTTATCATTACAAAATAACATATACATAAGAAAAAGTTTAATGAGAGTGAGTTTAATAGCACTTGTTTCCAGAAGATTCGAAGGCTCAATAAATGCCCAATGCAACGAATGCTTAGTAAATAACCTCCTTCCAGGACTACAAAGTTCGTTTCTACTGCCCCTGCCTCGAGGAGGACAGAATCTTGTTGGACTCCACTACCACGACCACAGGTGCTCCATCACACTTCAACTCATTCTTCACTTCCTAACTCATCACTCCACCTCTCTTCACCTTCCTAAAGCGAATTCGCTCTATAGTTTATCATCGCTCCTGTCAGTTCAAAGTATATCAGTTCATCACCTGTTACGAGACATCAACTAACTCTCTCCTGCCCTACCTCACTCTACCTCCCTCCACCTCCCCTCACCTCACTCTACTCCACTCCACCTCACCGCACCTCACTCTACTCCACTCCATCTCACCTCGCCTCACTCAACTCCACTCTACCTCTCCTCACTCTGCTCCACTCCACCTCACCTCACCTCACTCTACTCCACTCCACCTCACCGCACCTCACTCTACTCCACTCCATCTCACCTCGCCTCACTCTACTTCACTCCACCTCCCCTCACCTCACTCTACTTCACTCCACCTCCCCTCACCTCACTCTACTTCACTCCACCTCCCATCACCTCACTCTACTTCACTTCATCTCCCATCAACTCACTCTACTTCACTCCACCTCCCATCACCTCACTCTACTTCACTTCATCTCCCATCAACTCACTCTACTTCACTCCACCTCCTATCACCTCACTCTACTTCACTCCACCTCCCATCACCTCACTCTACTTCACTCCACTTCCCATCACCTCACTCTTCCTCACTCCGCCTCCCCTCACCTCACGCTTCCTCACTCCACCGCCCCTTACCTCACGCTCCCTCACTCCACCGCCCCTCACCTCACTCTCCTTCACTCCGCCTCACTCTCGCAAAGCTCGCCTCAGTCCGAGACAGTCTCTTTCATCGCGTTATTTGCAAGTAGCGGCTAATATAACGGAGACGTTAGACGTCGGTTGTCGTAACTAACGAAGCGACGTGACGCTTCTGCGTCATTAAAAATATTGATAATTAGCATATTACAATATTTGCTGGTATACAAAAATCATCGGTAAATAACAATCATTAGTATATAATCATCATTGTTACACAATAATCATTAGTAGAATATAATCATTGCACAGGAATTCTGACTGCCGGTCTACTCTATATCATAAATTTTTTCATGCCTCAAATTCGACTGTACAACTAGTCATAAAATTTTCTGAAATACATATATTAAACTAATAATTCACTCTCCACCATTCCCCATTATCCGGTGTATTTCTCCTCCCTAATATCCATTGGATGCCATGCAGCCCTTGTCCCGACGACGCCCCCTCTGCCCCCTCTGGAGGGCTGCTACCAGCCCTTCTGGACGGAGTGGTTCAACACGACGCACCCCGCCGACGCTGACGGCGACTACGAGCTGCTCGACGACATCGCTGCCGCTGGCGCCCCCATCTGCCCCAAGGCTTACATCCTCGAGATCGAGTGTGTCTACAACAAGGAAATTGTCGTGTGAGTGTAAAGGTGTATGAGGGTACAAGTAGCGTGTGAGTGTACAGCGTATCAGAGTACAAGTACCGCGGGGATATTTGACTACAATCGAATTATCGTGAAATGCCATTGGACTAAAAATATTTGTCAAAATTTGATTCATTGTTTTTTTAAGCCTTAGCTCAGCAAGAAATTATAATATTTTGTTGATTCATTTAATTCATCTTATGTTTGCATGTCAGGGGCGGCGCCCAATCGTCGAAGGGCGGCAGAGGCGGCCAAGCAGGGGCGCGCAAAGGGCGGCCACAGAAGCTCACGGCTGTGAGGTAAACTCATTGATGTTTAAAAGAGAATTTTGATGAAAAGTTAAGTTGTTTCTCAATTTATTATTGCTACGCAGAAGATGAAAACTATGATCTCGTAGTTGCATGCTTTACTGTAATGTTCAAGTGACTCTCTATAGTTAATACGTCATAAAGACTTTAGGTTTAAAGGGGTAATGAGTATAATTAATTTTCCTATTTTACGTGCACCTTTTGTTTCTGTATCAATGTTTTAGATAATATTATATTATTATTCATTATAATTATATTATTATGAGTATTATATTCGACCCGAACGCGTATGCGAATAAGTAGAAAATTAAATTTTCATATTATTTTCTGGTTGCAAAGTGCGCTTGAATATTGCAGGTACGAAGAGACGGACTACACAGCCTCAGACGACGTGTACGTGTTGTGTGCACGTGACGTGGGCCTGACCTGCAGCAACCTGCAGCAACCTACACGTGGCCGTTGCCATGACTACAGCATCCGCGTCTACTGCTCCTGTGGTACTGTAGATACACCCGCGTACGGAAGATACACTGGCGTACAGTAGATACACTGGTGTACAGTAGATACACTGGCGTACAGTAGATACACTGGTGTACTGTAGATACACTGGCGTACAGCAGATACACTGGTGTACAGTAGATACACTGGTGTACTGTAGATACACTGGTGTACTGTAGATACACTGGTGTACTGTAGATACACTGGCGTACAGTAGATACACTTGCGTGCAGTAGATACACTTGCGTGCAGTAGATACTCCACTAGTGTGCTATACAATAGATACTTCACTAGCGTCACGATGCACCATAATGGCGCTCATCGAATATTGATGTCATGTACAACATTGTCGCCATCTATGTGACAATATTATTCAATTGTGTGAAATTGTGGTTCACATTAAATCAATGCTCATTATCCGCTTCATATATCTTGGATTCTAGAATACTGTATAAATTGTTGCTGCATTGCTTCTTTTGTAATATAGTGCCCTATAATTTATAAGGATCCTATAACGGGTGAAAAAAAGTATTGTCGGAAAATATAAGGGTCCAGTAACCGAGAAAAACAAAATTAAATTCACGTAATAGTGGGTGAAGCAATTTGCTATTTGAAAGCTATCATTTGCTGAAGATATTTTATCAAAAAAGCATGGTTCTACGGTAATGTCTCACTGATGATATTAGTTATAGTAATTAAGTTTATCGTAAATCATTTCCATTTGTGTTTTTTAGACCCCGTCCCTCAGCCATCGGTGCCTTACACCCACCCCCCCATCATCACGACCCCCTCGACCCCCTACCCAGGATGGCCAGCTGTTGGTCCAAGTGAGGGGAGCCTTCCTGCTGATCACTTGAATTTTTTATTAAGCCTCCATGAATACTGAATATCCTTCAAAAAATATTATTCAGAGTTGAAATTTGTTCTGGATTCTGTATTTCTATTCCGTAAAGCTATCAAGGATCAAAATTAAATGATACAGGTCCTAGAAAACGATTGAAAATTATGGGTTTATTGTTATAAAATATGGTGTGGTGACCAGGCTGTCCCGAGGGGCGCGTGGCGATGGACTGCGCGGCGCCGTGCGACCGCGTGTGTATGTTCTTTGAGGGCTTCCTGCACGACGCCGGCCACTGCTTCGTGAGCGCATAAAGTTTAATATATTTTATTTTAAATATACACTGTTCGAAAAAACGGTAGGAAAACGGTCTCACCGGAGTTCTAGTGGCCGGCCAACACGTGAAAATAAACCATTTACCAGTTTTTTAGATGTTGAACGGGTTTCCAGAGTTAAATTTAAATAAAAACGGCCAAACGGTGTTCCATTTCACGCGTCGGCCGGCCACTAGAACGCCGGTGAGACCGTTTAACGGTGATTTTTCTTACAGTGTACAATTATTTTCGTGGTGCCTTTCTCTGCTAAATTATTATCTGAGATGAGGCGATTATTTAAGCTTTGGTTGTGCACGCTACTTTAACTCTTGCATTGTTAGACGAATTTTTTTGGAGCTTTCGTTCGTTTATCCATACTAAGATGTGGTGGGGTGTGTGTATCACGAATAGTATCTACTTCTCATCCTTTCCTGATCTTTTGATCTTCAATAGAATGTCTTTCACCTCAGTCTTCCTGACAATTACGATATTACCTCACTGAATAATATTACTTAAATGGCGGGTATCCTTGATTTTTCGTTCTTTGTATTTGAAGTAATTCATCTTTCCTGTGCACGAAAAATGTCAATAAGCACTAAGTCAACTAATTATTCTCACATCGTTGGTCAGGTTGACAGCGACTGCGCCCCAGCCTGCGCTGATCCTGCACGCCGGACGGCCTGCCCTACCGACCTGTATCTGCAGGATAACTCGACCTGCGTCGCCTCTGAAGACTGCACCTGCAGGCTGCCAGACGGACTACCTCTGCCAGTATGTTTGTGATGGAGATACACTGTTTTTTTTCAGTGTTTGAATGCATAGACGACGTCTGTTCACTTTACCCAAGTCAGTCAGTGCCCAGGCGACGTGTATTGACTTTACCCAAGTCAGTCAGTGCTCAGGCGACGTATGTTGACTTTACCCAAGTCAGTCAGTGCTCAGGCGACGTGTATTGACTTTACCCAAGTCAGTCAGTGCCCAGGCGACGTGTGTTGCCTTTACCCATGACAATTGATTTGGCAATCATGTATATTTGCTGCCCACATCAGTTCAAGTCATACTAGTCCTGAATGGCCAATTGTGCAGCGGCTATTAGCGTTTGATAAGAAGTAGTTAAGTTGTTTCCATCAGTGTATTGCACTTGACGTAAATATTTTACTTTGGAGTAAAATATTTTTGATCTGTTGGACTAACTTAATTAACTTGAATTTAAGATTCAAGTATGTTATTCATAGTGATCAAGTTCTACCTGAATTGCATCATAGTAAAAACACGACTAGAGCTATTAATTTCATTAATAATTTATAGTCAAAACAATAAATGAGAATTATTTTGTTTTAAAGTTCATCACTAAATTAAGAAAGAACAAAAATTGGAGAATCTGTATGGGATGTACATCTCACACAGGCTGGGCGTGAATACGAAGTATCGAAGTGTGAGAAGTGTAGGTGTGTTAACAACCACCTGGAGTGTGTGACGAACCCTACCTGCGTGTCGGTGGAACCACCCATCGGCGTCACTACTTTGCCACCATTAGAGATCACCGTGGGCACCACAACCACCACTACCAGGACGCCACCCAAACCACCTGTACCCATCAGGTGACATATACCGGTGCCAGTAACTCTATACTCGTCATATTATTCTCTGGAATAGCGTATTCTGTGGAAGATAACTGGAAAGTTTCTGAACAGGTTGAATAATATCTTTAGCAGTTTGATTTGAGCTTGTAATTAACTTAACACCACGAAAAGTTGAAATAAAATTTGTTTCACTGCGTTGGCAAGATTGTGTAACTGGAATTTTAATTAAGTTACAATGAATTTCCATCCAGAACGGTTTCGAATTTATTTCTTGGGTTCCAAAAAATTCTCAGGAGCCGATTGACTGTTATATTGATACGCTGATGATGACGTTTAGTGATAGCAAGTGTTCGTGCTAAAAAAACTAGCATGATTGGTTTCCCGTGATCATAAATGTTACATTGCAATTAAAACTTTACCGACACTCCAGAAACGCGATAGATGATGGGCAAAATGTTGATTAGCTTCACTTATAAAAATTCGCTTGAATTTTAAAGAAGTTTTAGCGAATGAATGCCGCGGTATTGCCACAGTTAATTACGTTCTCTAAAAATCAAATGTTTTAGTTACGCTTGAAATGAGTTAGTCAAGATGCACAATGACAAACACGTAAAGCCTTTTGTTACGCATGCAATAAGTAAATCAAAAAAGTTATACACGCTGTTAAGCCTTTAGTTACGCAAAAATAAGGTAAGAAATATAACGACCTACTATAAAATGATTGGTCGCAAAGGTGCAACGAATGGACGCCGTGGCTGAACATGAAGCGTAGCGCGGACGGCGACTTCCAGCGCATCGCTGAGCTGCGGCAGCGGGACGAGTTCCGGGACCTGTGCGCCGCCCCCGCCAACGTCTCGTGTCGGGACGCTAACGGTCCGTGAAACACGGCAATAAAACTCCTTGTACGCGTGTGTGTGAACACGTCGGTACGATGGGTTCATCGGTGTATTTACCAATTATTAAAAAAAAGTTTAGGTCTTGCGTGGCTGCTAGTGGCTGAAGCCAAACATAAATTGGGGTATAAACATTTGGTTAGCTTGTGCCCGGCAGTGCGTTGTGCTTGACAGATGTTCTGAAGTGCGAAGATTATGGTATACTAATATACTTGTGTATTTCATACTAACCGTAATAGATCTATTAGTATTGCGAGTTTTTAATTCGCGGTAGTAATTTTCTCTTAAAGAAAGATACATTAAAGTGGGTCTCCATTTCATAAAATGCCCATTTTTTCATGTTGGTCTTGTCTTATTCTATAGAAGAATTCAATTACCTCCTAGTTTGGACCTTACTGTATTTTTATATGTTAATTAAGCATTTACATCATTCATGAAGGTGTACATAATCGCGTAGCCTCTAATTAAATGTGACTCCTGGAGGAAGAGGGGAGATTTCTTCACACAGCTTTCCAGTTTACAAATTGCAAGCAAATCAAATGGATAAATAAGTATCGGCATGATTCCATGCGCTGTGAGGGATTAAATATCAAATGACACAACTAAATTGAAAATATCGACCGGATTAAAAATATATATTTGATTTAAGTTCAAAAAACATTATAGCATTGATTTGGTTATCATTTTAGAAAAACTAATTGATTAATTATAATGTATTTATCACACAACAAACTGATCTATCAATTTTGTATTATAGTAATATTTACCCTGGTGCTGACTTTGAATATAATTTTAGCCAAGCTACCAGCGGATCAGCTAGGCCAGGTGCTGACATGCGACACGACGGACGGCCTCGTGTGTCGCAACGCTGACAACTCGCAGCCCTGCTACGACTATGAGGTCGCCTTCTTCTGCGCCTGCGACCACACCCCTCCCTCAGGGGTGTCCACCCCCAGGCCACGCGGTGAGAAGGATGCGTGGTATCCTTATCCTTGGTATCCTTAGTATGTGTATCGGACATAGCAGTCCGTAACACGGTAGTTCCAGAAATAAAAAGTAAGGGGTAGTTCGCCTACAAGGGTAGTTCGCCTCAGGTAGTTCCAGAAAATTGTGAGAGGTAAGAGGCGTCTAAGTTCTTTCAGATGATGTAATTATGAGTAATAGCTGATGTATGAGTGATAGTCTATACATGGTACGGTTTGCATAAAGCAATATTTGCAATAATGTAAAATGTCATTATAACACATAGCATATGAAATAACCGAGAAATAAAATGGAAATTGTGAAAAACTTCCGAAATATCAAGTCGACAAAAAATATCTTATGAGCAAATGGTTTAGTTTAATGAAAGAGTGGACAATACGGTTTTAGAATTATTCAAACTATCGTTATTGTCCTTATATGCAAAAAAAAATCTATTAGACATTCATAGACATGTTTTTACTGAAAAAATCAAGAAAGAAATTAATGACTGGCCTCCTTAATTTTTTGTTTTCTTGCATTTGAAGTACATAATTTATCTTCCCTGTGCAAAAGGAGAGGCCTGGCGATAGGCATAAATATATATAAGTGAGAAATTAATTTCCTTCATTTATAACGCATAAGTTTGATACTAAAATAAATTTCCTTCATTTATAGCGCATAAGTTTGATACTAAAAGCAAGATTTATACGGAAAATATAGCCGGTGTCATGACAACTCCGGCGCCGTGTAACGCCTGGTCGCCGTGGATCAACGAGCAGAAGCCGTGGCTGGGCGGCGGCGACGTGGAGCGCAAGACGCTGGCGCAGCTCAGGGAGGAGTTCTCTTTCTGTCTCGAGGTGAAGAATCTACACATTTTATGAGTGCTGCTCGGAGAACGCAACTTATACTGGTTTATTGTATTGTATTTATTATTGATACAGAGTTAAAATTTATTACATAACTTGTTGATGTTTGGGTGCGAGGTAAATTCATTTTAATAATTGGAAGTGGGAAAAATTAATCATTGCTTTGCGCAAATATCAATATTTTCCAAATTGCCCTTAGGACAATTTTTTAAAATTGCTTTTGAAAAAATTGTTTTTTAAATGTTCTATGCTTATAAGATTGTAGGGAAACATTCATCTTCATAACAGTCACTCAAGTTTTGGTTCAAAACATTAACAACTATTGGAAGAATATCTCGAGGCTCCACTTACAACGACTCATACATTAAAAAAACAGTAATTTTTCATCTTAAGTAAATATAAAAATAATTCCCGAAAAATTCAATTCAACTCAATCATTGATACGCAACCGAAAAATCAAGTTAATAAACTAATTACTTCACGAAAATTTGTGCGTCCATTCTGTTTGTCTTGTGCGCATAACACAGAAGTGGTGTTGACATAATTAAAAATCACTCCCATGAAATTGAAACTCCCAAATACTCGAAAAATACCAGCTAATGTTGGGCTATGAGCAACGGAAGAGATATACATAGAGAAATTTCAAATAGTTGTTCATTGCTCATTTCCTGCTGACTTTCCTCTGATCGTTTGTGTCAGGGCGAGCTAGCGGACATCGAGTGCCACAACACCGCTAACGGCCTCTCGACCCCCGACCGAGACACCATCTGCGACCTGCGCTTTGGCTTCCAGTGCAAGAACGACAAGCAACCCAAGGGCGCCTGCTACGACCACAGGATCCGCTACTTCTGCTCTTGCGGTGAGGATAATCGTGTGAATTTGAGATGAATTTTGTTATGTCTCAGCATTTGTTGTTTGTATCATGCGCTTTTTGCGACAGGAATCATATATAAAAATTGTTCTACAAATTTTCTAATATTTTCGGTCATGTCCAGTTTTAATTTTCATTCACTCTATATTTTGGTTATAGAAAAAAATGTTCCCGCTACTGCTTCTAAAATTCAAGTTCTTTTATCGGTAGATGCATGTGTTTAAGTCGGACCAACCTACTACGTAAAAAATTTTATGCCTGCCTCATTTTTTGACACACAGACTCAACATTTTGTCCTTGTTTTCATCATTATGGACAGATTGAGAATTCAAGTTTTTTTTCAGAAACGACTCCAGCCACGTCCACCATTGTCATGGTGCCCATCACTCCTACGCCTGCCAGCGTCTGCTCTCCTGACGAGTGAGCATTGCTACAGAATGGTTTCACTTCTTGACGTGCTCAAGGAAAAATCCAATATTATACAATGAAGAAACAAGTGGACTGGTGTACCCTATTCGACGAGAAAATTTATTTTGAACCCTTATTTCAAACAAACTCAATTGAGACCGCTTGATTGCTTCCTTTGCAGCATTGCAGACTCTAGAAGAAATGTATAATTTATTTAAAAATTTATCCATGTTCACATAGCCTAGTGCAATCAACCAGAATTTAAACGGTTTGCAGAGTGAGTTATTTTAGATATTAATTGAGAACCTCTACTATAAATTACATGATTTACAGACAGATTAACCTTGAATGTTATAGATAATTAGATAATTACCTCACTTGGAACCGTGCCCCACAGCTACATAGAACTGATGCAGGAGGTGGAAGACTCGGCCCTGGCGGCGTCGTCCTCTGTCAACGCCTTGTTCGGGCCGCCCCAGGCCCGCCTCAGCAACCCGACCGCACTCGGTACTGGCAACGTCTCCAACTCCGGCAAAATCATTTGCTTAGCACAAGTATTATGTATAACTATTGTACTCAACCCATGTACTTCGGACAACTGTTGTTATTTCTTGTACTTTGAGCGACTCTTGTAACTCCACATTTATCCCAGTTCAATACGCTTACCCTCATGTAAGCCCCTTTATCACCATACTATTTGTACTACTAATATTGATTCTCGCCCCATAATTCCATCACATGTTCACCCGGTCACCCCTTCCATATCCCCCAGGTTGGTCACCCCGCACGGATATACCAAACCAGTACCTGCAAGTCACCCTGCCTGGTCCCCGCACCCTGTACGGGGTGATGGTGGCGGGCTCACCCAACGCACCCAACGCTGTCGAGGTCTTCACCCTGCAGGTCTCCGATGACGGTGGGTGAAGAAGAATCCTAGATGAAATTGTGGTCATGGATAACAAAATATTTGTATTTGCATGGAAAGTTGTTATTTTTCTAAAAAACTGAGAAAAAATTAAAGTAAGACTCACGTCATTCTAAGCAATAACGACGGTTGATGAATTCTGTCGTGTTTAACAAGTATTGTAAAAATTAATCGGGGTAATTCATAGAAAATTGATTGTTTCGGTCGTCATTTTATCTACATAGAAATTCCAACTATTGGTAATGATGAAATAATTCGTGCAGTCCAACTATTGTTAATGAGGAAATACGTATACTTCGTGCAGTGCCGCGAAATGACGACTGAGGTTTACGGTTTAAATTACGCGCGCGCACGAATTATTATGCGACGATGAATAAATGATTATGATACAAGATAATCATAACGCGGAGAATGTTGAGTAAACGTAATGAACAATTATTTGATTATAATGCATAATTATTTATTTCCTCTATTCGCTGCAGGGCTCATTTGGTCGACGGTCGTTGAAGATCCAGACGACCCTCAGTCCAGGGTGCTGGTGAGTGATGAGGGCTGGTGAGTGATGAGGGCTGGTGAGTGATGAGGGCTGGTGAGTAATGAATGAAGGGCTGAGGGTTGGATGAGAGTTATTAAAACAATAGTGTCATATTAAATACATGCATTATTTTAACTATTGACGATATATTGATATTGTACCACATTGTCAAATGGCAGCAGCTTCCCTGCCATCAAACCCTTCCGAACTTCCGAACTCTTCCTGCTTCCTTCCCATTTTCTATCGGCTGCAGTCAATGAGTCCTGCTAATTATAATGTTATTCAATCTTTAGAAACTAGTGGTTTTATACTGTTTATTAAACGGTACCGTTTAACCGTTTATAAAAAAGTTTTATAATGTGTACGCAGTACATGCGGGGCCCGACTCGGGGCAGCAGCCTGCCCGTGACCAGACTGCTGCCTCGGCCCGTGGAGACGAGGCTGGTGAGGCTCACGCCTCTGTCCTGGAACGTCAGGCCCGTCCTGAGGCTGGAACTTCATGTTATTGCGTATATTGTGATGATTAATGTTCCCGCTACCTAGTGTTGGAGGAGTGTGATGAGCCGATGGGTGTGGAGGCGGGGGAGTTCAGCACCCTACAGCTGAAGGTGTCGTCGGTCTTGGGGGACCAGCCATTCTACGGCGCCCAGAACGTGCGTCTCAACAGTCCCGCCCTGAGACTCGTGTCTGCTGGGGCGTGGGTCCCTGAAGCCAAGGAAGGACAGTTCATCCGCGTGAGGAAAAATAGGAACCTATTTGATCTGTTCATTCCGAAGCAAATTACATTTTCGGATTGAATTTTAATTAAAGTGTCTTTGTCCATATTCGGAAATACAACATTCGGCCCACTATTTATCTACGAATTGAATAGTAATTTTCATTCATGTAGAAGATTATATAAGGATTACTGCTAAATTTTTGGAGTGCATCCCATATATGCACGAACATGGAAGTAAATTATGTATTATCTCGGTTCGCGCAGTTCGACTTCTTGTCACCCAGCAAGCTGTCCGGCGTGGAGACCCAGGGCAGAGATGGTACGCCTGAGTGGGTTGAGACCTTCGAGGTCAGGTACTCTCCTGACGGCCTCAACTGGAACTCGCTCAAGGACCTCAGCACTGGCCAAGTTAAGGTGATTACTTCTATCGTGAAAATTATCTTTGTTCATCATTACATATCGGCAACTCATCCGTTCAATTTAGACCATGATATCAACGTAAGGTAAATTGAGGACTTAACTGCTTACGCAGTTAAACTTTTTGATTTCATCAAAACGTTGAATGCGCTCGTTATTAAAAGCCCTAACATTTATTATGACATTCACCTTCTGGTACATGTACATTCATGGTAGTTACCTATTAATCCACGGTCTTACTACAACGCTTCATGCTCAGGTGTTCATCGGCAACACCGACAACAACTCGCCGGTGTTCAACTCCTTCGGGAGGCTCCTGGAGACGCGGTACCTGGAGCTGCGCCCCCTCACTTGGCACGGCGCCCCCGCCCTCAGGGTCGAGGTTAAGGGCTGCTTCCACCCTTACTCCAGGAGTCGTGAGTGTCCATGCGGATAATTTCTATTTCTAGGCCAGTGTTTCGCATATTCGTTTTGGGAAGGATTTAATGCACGATTTTCGTTCCGTTTTCTTTATAAAATATGTTTCTGTAAACAAAACAATATACAGAGATTAAAATGGTTGCATAAAATTTGCATTGTATATATGGTATGACCGAGGAGTAAAATCATTTATTTCGAACATAAAATACGATAAAGTCAAGTATACATGGCCTCATGGATCTTCAGAATTAAAATACACGTACCAAACATTTCCTTCTGTTCACTCTAGAGCCAACACCTATACTGCAACTCTAGATGCTTATTAAATTGAAAACAAGTAAAGTATCGGTGACACGCATGCCTTAAGTGAACGAAATATAAAAGAAAAGTGCATTTGTGAACCAGGAATTTGACAGCCAGCATTCTTTTTCTTAGTTCCTGAATCATAGCGAATATGAGACCATAAAATGATTTACTTCAAAACTTTTTTGTCACCGATATAAAAAAAATATATAACCTGAACTCGAAAGCGAACAGCCGGGCACCGGAAAATATTTTTTGATGGAAAAAGCTCACAATATTTTATGTCGACTTCAATTGTTAAATCATAAATTAAACATCTTCAGCTAAAGAAACTACGACTGAAACCACCCCCGTGTACCCCACACCCCCACCACCCGCGTACTGCTCGGCATGCCCCCAGCTGCCCCCCACCTACTACTCGGCCTGCCTCCCCTGCCGCCCCAACCTCTTCTTCAACGGCAACGCCTGCGTGCCTGCAGCGCTCTGTCCCTGCTACAAGAACGGAGTCATGTGAGTCACTTGACCCACTTATGTGATAACAATGACATAAGCTATGCCTGCAGCGCTCTGTCCCTGCTACAAGAACGGCGTTATGTGAGTCACTTGACCCACTTATGTGATAACAATGATATAAGTTATGCCTACGACGCTGTGCCCCTGCTACAAGAACGGCGTTATGTGAGTCACTTGACCCACTTATGTGATAACAATGACATAAGCTATGCCTGCAACGCTCTGTCCCTGCTACAAGAACGGCGTTATGTGAGTCACTTGACCCACTTATGTGATAACAATGACATAAGTTATGCCTGCAACGCTCTGTCCCTGCTACAAGAACGGCGTTATGTGAGTCACTTGACCCACTTATGGGATAACAATGACATAAGTTATGCCCGCGACGCTGTGTCCCTGCTACAAGAACGGCGTTATGTGAGTCACTTGACCCACTTATGGGATAACAATGATATGAGTTATATGTTACACACGACATGTATCAGGACAACCAGGATGACATACGATTGTAATCAGCAATATTTTGTCATTTTCTTTCATTTTCCTGTACATGATAATTAATATAATAATTAATATATTAATAATTATTATTGTCAAGCGCTCTAACATATAGAGATATAATAAAATAAACTGGCATATCGTGCCTCTGGCTACGTTGATGACGCGTCACTAAGCACGAGTTTCAATACGCCATGTATTGACTAATACGCCGTGCAGGTACGCCATGTATTGACTAATACGCCGTGCAGGTACGCCAAGTATTAACTAATACGCCGTGCAGGTACGCCATGTATTGACTAATACGTCGTGCAGGTACGCCATGTATTGACTAATACGCCGTGCAGGTACGCCATGTATTGACTAATACGTCGTGCAGGTACGCCATGTATTGACTAATACGCATGCAGGTACGCCCAGTATTGACTAATACGCTGTGCAGGTACGCCATGTATTGACTAATACGCCGTGCAGGTACGAGGTGGGCGCAATATACGAGACGGTGCAGTGCGAGGAGTGTACGTGTGAGATGACCGGCGAGCATGCGTGTCACAAGAAGACCTGCCCGCCGTGCGTGCGGGTGAGGGCAAACTTAGCACTGAGCAACGACCATAGATTATCTTATTTTGAATAGAATATTGCTCGATAATTACGGATTAATTTCTCGAGAGGAATTGAAAACCGTTGATTAGAATTTATGGAAAATTTATTATATGACGAGTAAAAAACTGCATTGAATAATATGCTCTCAAAATAAAATATTCGCAAATTTTAAAGTTAATCAAAATATTTTCCTGAGAATGGATCTCTGAGTATAGTTTTTAGTGATCAGTTGGATAGAAGTAGATATTTCCTGCCGTTTGCTGCTAATATTTATTTCAGTACTAATATTTTTGCCTATACTGAAACCTTTGCCTATACTTATACCTTTTGCCTATTCATTTGACAGAAGTGAACGAGTTACTTTCACGTAGTACTATGGTATTATTATTATTATTATATTATAATTATTATTATTTTGTTATTTTATTATTATTATTATTAATATTAATATTATTATTAAAACATTATTTGAAGAGAATTACTTCAGATTTTAACGACCAGAAGCATGACTGTCGCTGTGTCCCGCAGGAGGGCGAGTACGGCGTCCTGACCGGCAACTGCGACTGCCTGTGCAAGCCGTGCAGTGACGGCACCAAGCTCTGCCCCTCCAGCAACTACTGCATCAATGACACGCAGTGGTGTGATGGTGTCGAGAACTGCCTTGATGATGAGCTAGACTGCCCTACTACTACCACAGCTGGTTAGTTACAAGTACTGCCCCACTACTACCACAGCTGGTTAGTTACAAGTACTGCCCCACTACTGCTACTGCTGGTTAGTTACAAGTACTGCCCCACTACTGCTACTGCTGGTTAGTTACATGTACTGCCCCACTACTGCTACTGCTGGTTAGTTACATGTACTGCCCCACTACTGCTACTGCTGGTTAGTTACATGTACTGCCTCACTACTGCTACTGCTGGTCAGTTACATGTATTGTCCTCTTCTATACTCTCAGAAAAATCAATGTGTTATATTGTCCGAATAGCAACACACATTTTACAAATCGCACTGATATGCTCTTTTTCATAGCTAAACTTGTTCAGTATAAATAACCTGTGCAACTGGCCAGATGAGTTATTTGTACCATTCATTTAATACGTTCTAAACTGATAAACATACATATATGTTCTGTTACAGCCCTTACAACGGGTCCGATAAATTAGATCTGACCTCTTGGGTTATTTCAAACAATTTTATTGAATACTTAAGCTAGTTCACCATATCTCAATATTCCTACAAATTATACTCTCCTGTTTTCGTATAATTTTTGGTCAACGTTCGTACACATTCTCCACTTAATAGTGAAGCTTAGCGCACCTGGTTTGATTTTTGTAGCATAATTGCAGTGTTGCAGGGGAAATTCTAAGTTTTAAGCAAACCTTTTGAATTTCTATCGTTTTTATTTCTCTCTCGTATGTTCTCGTTATTTATCTATTCCATTTATCTATCCCCTGCAGTCCCGGTGGTCCCTGGCTGTCCCACGCCATCATGTCCCGGGGACTGGCAGGTGGTGATCAAGAGGGACGGGGACGCGACGCGTTGTCCCGTGTACGACTGTGAGCCACCTGTCTTGACCACCCCAGCCAGCTGTCCTCCACCAGCCTGTCCTCTAGGATACGATATCCACCTGCGGCCACAGAAGGTGAGTCATGCCTGTCTGTCTGCTAATACTGACAACCATGCCTGCCCACAACCAAGCTTATCTTCTATACCTAGCAAAAAAGTTTGTCTCTACTACATATCAGCCAAAATTATCTCTAGGAATCAAACAAGCCCCTCCCTGCTACCTATCAACCAAGCCTCTCCCTCCTACATATCAACCGAGCCTCTCCCTCCTACATATCAACCAAGCCTCTCCCTCCTACATATCAACCAAACCTCTCCCTCCTACCTATTAACCGAGCCTCTCCCTCCTACATATCAACCAAGCCTCTCCCTCCTACATATCAACCAATTATCAACCAAGCCTCTCCCTCCTACCTATCAACCAAGCCTCTCCCTCCTACCTATCAACCAAGCCTCTCCCTCCTACCTATCAACCAAGCCTCTCCCTTCTACATATCAACCAAGCCTCTCCCTCCTACATATCAACCAAGCCTCTCCCTCCTACCTATGAACCAAGCCTCTCCCTCCTCATACTAGTCCAACACGACGACTCTCTCATCCCACCCACCAAGATGGCTAACAGTTCGTATGGTCCGTCAGCAGAAGGGCTTGTGTCCGATGTACGACTGCGTGCTGCCGTCCACGACGGCCGTGGCCTTCACGTGTCCGCCGCCGAGCTGTCCGTCGGGCTACGAGGTCGTGCAGCCTGACTACGGCTACTACGACCAGCAGCTCACGGACGCCGACGGCTGCACGCAGTACAAGTATGACCGTAGCGCGGAATTCGCATGTCAATAATTTCAACTTTATGACAACCTCAGCTGGTATTGAATTCAATCATTATTATTTTTATTAATAGTGTTATCTATATTATTATGAGTAATGTTAGCATTCATTAAAATATAGAAGTAATATTTGGGATAGTTAAACGTCCGTTGCTCATAGCTGAACTTGGCAGGGAGTTTAATTCATACAGAGATTGTTGTATTAATCGGGGCTGTTTGAATAAACTATATACTGTATGGATGAATGGGCAACATGAAATATCTGTGCATGGGTACAGTGCAGCACCATGCACTGTACCACTGAGTTACATCAAATACTCACCATCAAACAACACCAAAGTCACCAGCTGAAATCACTCCTCCCCTCTCCGGGAGAGAATCTTGATGAATTTTATCGATCACTAGCACTGGTATTGAAATACAGAACGCTGCTTTCGACTTCAATTGCATGTTGCCCGACATTAGTAGAACACTTTTGAGCTATAGATAAATTAATATACACCATATTTTTTGTGTGTATGGTAGTTGATGGATCATAATGTAACAATTATCATTAATATGATTGAATATGAATTAAATATATGAATTAAACTCCCTGCCAAGTTCAGCTATGAGCAACGGACGTTTAACTATTTCAAATATTACTTCTATATATTAATGAATTATTGGATCATAATGTAACAACATACACAATTATCATTATTAATTTGACCAGGTGCGCTACGTCTGCCCCGCCCACAGCCCCATGCCCCATGCCCCAGTGCCAGGACGGCTACGAGATAAACTTCGCCGACAACCGCGAGCTGCTCAAGCCCTGTCCCGCCGTGAGCTTTATGTTCAGTATTCTTATGCGTGACCGTCTCAAATCTATTATTTTTTGTCAATAACAGTGAAGAAAATTATTGTTGGGATGATGATTCTACCAGTAGAAAATCCCGCCAAGCATATAATGTTTAAATGACGTGAAAAGCCGATATTTCTACGTTATATACACGAAATAAATATTGTTTTTATTTCATTTGTATGGAAGGATGTTATTCTGCTGAGTATCATTGTTATGATAAAATTATCATCATTATGATACAATTATCTTTATTACGATAATACTATCATTATTATGATACAATTATCATTATTACGATACAATCATCATCATTATGATACAATTATCACTACTATAATACAACTATCATCATTACGATACAATCATGATCAGTTCGAGTGCATCCCGCTGGCGACGACAACGGTGTGCCCCCCCGTACGCTGCGCCCCCGGCCTGCGCACGATGTTCCTGAGCTCGGGAGGGGGCGGCTGCCCCCAGTACACATGTCTTAAGATCACCGACCCCCCCTACACCACCACCCCCATGCCCACCGTCGCCCCCTGCCCTGATGTGGGTACACCGGAGGGTGTGGTGGTCTGAAGGGCATACAGCTGGCGTAGAGGTCTGAGTGTCTAATGGTATGATGATACAGCTGACGTAGGGGGGTCTGAGGGTCTAATGGTATGATGATACAGCTGACGTAGGGGGGTCTGAGGGTCTAATGGTATAATGATACAGCAGACGTAGGGGGGTCTGAGGGTCTAATGGTATGATGATACAGCAGATGTAGGGGTCTGAGGGTCTAATGGTATGATGATACAGCAGATGTAGCGGCCTGAGGGTCTAATGGTATGATGATACAGCAGATGTAGGGGTCTGAGGGTCTAATGGTATCATGATAAGCAGACGTAGGGGTCTGAGGGTCTAATGGTATCATGATAAGCAGACGTAGGGGTCTGAGGGTCTAATGGTATCATGATAAGCAGACGTAGGGGTCTGAGGGTCTAATGGTATCATGATAAGCAGACGTAGGGGTCTGAGGGTCTAATGGTATCATGATAAGCAGACGTAGGGGTCTGAGGGTCTAATGGTATCATGATAAGCAGACGTAGGGGTCTGAGGGTCTAATGGTATCATGATAAGCAGACGTAGGGGTCTGAGGGTCTAATGGCATGATAATACCGCAGACGTAGGGGTCTGAGGGTCTAATGGTATGATAATACCACAAACGTAGGGGTCTGAGGGTCTAATGGTATGATAATACTGCAGACGTAGGGGTCTGAGGGTCTAATGGTATGATAATACTGCAGACGTACGTAGGGGTCTGAGGGTCTAATGGCATGAAGATCAGTCATATATAGCGAGCTGTTGGCTGCGATGATGTCGGATTTATACAATATAGGCATAGATGCCAAATGGTATGATAATGGTTAGGAGAACCGGTGATGTGAATATTCTAATGCTTAAATATTACAAAAATTCTTCAAATTGGAAATCTAATTAGAAATCAAATTATTAGAATTATTCAAATGCGTAAATATTGATCATACCTGAAAATAATCAAATTGCAATTGAGTCTCCACAATACCCAGTTATTGTCGTCAAGGTTGCATACATCAAATTAAACTTTCTCAATTTTTATTCAGTATCTTCTCAGTAATTACACTTTACTTCCCTTTCATTTCAGCGAAACTTAAACATACCTGAACTTTTGTCAGGTCGCACTGCCGGTGTGTGAACCTGGCGAGGAGTTCTACCAGAAGAACTACGACGACCCGTGCCCTGAGTTCGGCTGCAGTGAGTGCAATAGAACCTTTACTGGTGTGGTCGCGGATGACTGCCGTAGGAATAACATTAACATGAAGGCTGCAGTGAGTGCAATAGAACCTGAACTGGCGTGGTCACGGGTAACTGCCGTAGGAATAACATTAACGTGAAGGCTGCAGTGAGTGCAATAGAACCTGAACTGGCGTGGTCACGGGTAACTGCCGTAGGAATAACATTAACATGAAGGCTGCAGTGAGTGCAATAGAACCTTTACTGGCGTGGTCGCGGGTAACTGCCGTAGGAATAATGTTATCATTTATTTTGGACAAATTAACGAAGAGAAATTTCCTTTCTTGGGCCAATGCCTGGACGATATTATTTTTCTGGGCAAGGCATAAGTTAGCAAAATATGAATGAAATCTACAATACTATGACAGCGTTACGCCAACACGTCAATGACTCATGATCCGCATCGTATTTTGAACGTAAATGTAGTAATAAAAACCTGAAAAATAAATGTTATGTAAGAGAAACTAATCACGACATTTACAGTAACTCCAAAAAAATATGTATACTGAACTTTTAGTATTTAACTCAATAATAACATCAAGGTTAAAAATTAAGGCGAAAGTAAACCGAGATTTCTTGTGTAACTAAAAATCTCTAGTGAACTAGTGACCATCATCACGGGTAACGGCGAGGTAATGACTGAATTAAGCGGATTAATTAGTATCGCAATGGCAAAAATTCCTGTTTATGGCGACTTCATAAATCTTGATAGTATTGCAGCAAAAAACCGCACCCTTAACATTACAATTTAACATCAATAACTATTTTTAAGTTGTTCACCATTTCAAGCAAAAACTTTTTATAAAAGTTAGTAAAACTGTGAAACTATAGCGCCACGTATTCGTCTACGACCTAACCTGGTCATATTCCGCCATCTTTTTATGTCCCTCGAACTTTTGCCGACTCTTCCAACCTGCATAAAAAAATCCGCCCATGTTCCATTTTATTATTTTGGGAACAAAACTTGAATTGTAGTCCTGAAAAGGCTTTAATACTTTTGTGTTCAGAGCAACCGTTTACTTATTTTCCTAGTGCTATTGCTACCTATATTCTTCATATTATGTCTATATTCTTCATATTATGTCTATATTCTTCATATTATGTCTATATTTTTCGTATTATGTCTATATTCTTCATAATATGTCGGCAGGAGCTATGATCATTTCTTGTCAAGTTATGTGCCGTTGCAGTCAAGTTTACTCGGCAGCAACATAGACATACGGCGACAAGTCGATCTCTTAAATCCCTACAGACCTCACTACGGTGAAGTGAACGAGTGTTCATACCGTGGATAGTTGGTCCAGTAATTTTTTTTACATAAAAAGGATATTTTTTTTGCGGTCTTAAATTATATTTGGTTGGAGCGAACAGAGCTTGCTTCAAACTTATACTAATTTTGATCAAACCAAATACTTATTGGATCATCGTACTTAAGCAACTCAAATTTATTTATACATTCCTAAAATATCCGATTTTGCAATAGCTTTTAGAAATTGTCGCCATGGGTATTGAACTTCTCCTCCATTTCCATTTGGCAGATAAAAAACTAAAATGAAATTGTTAATCTGCTTTTGACTGCTCCCAGCAATACGTAAGTCCCAATTATATGTAGTTATAAGTCTAGTCAGTTCCTAGCTTCTCCAGCCATATATATATACCCTACTCATCGTTTGCAAGACGAAAGATCTTCTTCAAATAGAAGATGTTCATGTGTTGATCTTGATGGTCCATCGCCGAAACGAAACCAGGATTGCCAGTGCAAACACATCCACTTCTAACCGTTCTATCAGATCCTCGATGTCGCTTATAAAGAAGTACAACTTTTTATTTGCTTTGAAGATTACAAGGCAGCTCACCCCCTCTACAGCTCCCCGCCGCCACGGCGCATTTCTTCTGCAAACGAAATAATAGAAGTCGGAGATCAAGCGAGACATTCAGGTCGTATGGGACTGTGAAATTAGCACCAAACTTTGCAATAAAAGTTAGCTGCTTCTACCAGGAGTAGTTAAACTTTCAGATGAGCAACACTGAGTTTATCCCTTTGCTATGTTCGTTCACTGTAGAAATCCTTCTCCTTTTCTCGGGGCGTTAATGGCAAACACAATTATGTTGTTCTGAAGAATCGCGTTTGGGAATTAACTTGGTCCACGGTTTATTTTTTCACTTTTTTGTTTCATGATTTTAGTTTCCGGGAGTTGGGAAAACGAATAACAGTCCCTGTTACTTTCATTGGGACTTGAGGGTCCCGAATGTTTTGAGTGCCCTCTTGGTCCTCTCTGCTGCAGACTTTGGCACTTACTCAGGAATTGTTATTCTTTGACATTTGCTTCGCAGTTATTCATACTCCAGGGCATTACAATTCGCATAAGCTGCAGTCGCTGACATTTACAATACAGTTTGTAGACAAATTTCAACTTTAGGAAGTTGCATCTTGTGCGTCTCAGGAAGTGACATTAACTGTAGAGTTTCTAGATGTAGTATTTAACATCTCCGTAATTATGACCTTAAATTGGTCGTAATTGGGTTCCCTTAAGACAATGGAAACTCTAGCTCAAAATCAAATGCATGTAAATTAATTTTGAACATGATTTTCTTTGGGTTCCTTGATTCTTCGGCTTATTGACAGATCTCAGAACGCCATGATAATAAACTTAAAACAACAAGCACCACGTTTATGAACTTGAAACAAACGAGCAACACGAGTTTCAAGTTACGAAAAAGTAATATCATGAAAATTAACTTGAATTAAATAGGCATCAATATTAGATACTAAAATCGAACAAAAACCTTGCAAAGAGAAATGTTGATACTATTTTGACACTCGTTGTTGACACCTCCTCCACCCCTCCCAATAGAACCGATCGGAGGTCCTCCCCCCACCACCGGCGCCCCCCAGGTCACCGCCCCTGAGTGCCAGATGGACGGCAAGGCCTTCACCACCTTCGACGGCACCAGCTTCAAGCTGGACCCGTGCGACCACCTGCTGGCCCGGGACAAGACTGGGGACGAGTGGCGGGTCTCGGGTGAGTGGCGGTGATTGGCGGGTCACGGGTGAGTGGTGAGACTTGCGGGTTACGGGTGAGTGGTGAGACTTGCAGGTCACGGGTGAGTGGTGAGACTTGCGGGTCACGGGTGAGTGGTGAGACTAGCGGGTCGCTGGTAAGTAGTGGGGCTGGCGGGTCTCAGGTGGTGTGTTGGGTGTAAAAATACGTGTGGTGCTACTGCAGGTCATCTCAGTGAGTACCGTCACAGTGACACAGTTACCTCATCATCACCTTAATTGTCACCTCAATTGCCATAATTACAACTACACCGCCAGCAAATAGAATCGCTTTATGGTAACACAAATCCACAACACTGCACCGGTCATATGACTCCATTACCCCCCCACCCCCTAAGGTGCACCTGTAGTATATGACCCTATTACCCCGGCAGTGTAACGGTACTATGACGCCCCAATACCGGTAATATGACTCCATTACCCCCCCCCCCCCAGTGCACCGTAACTGCAGCGAGGAGGGATCGTGTTCACGGTACCTGAAGGTGCAGCAGCAGCAGCACCAGCTCGTCCTCAGCCCCGACCTCAACATTGAATGGGACTCGACCTCCTACTCGGTGTCGCAGGTCAGACTAATAATATACATAATCACTAATTTAAGGGATTACAACTAAGGGTATGGTGCGGAAAATTACGGAAAGTGATGTTTATTTTCGGTAGCATTACAAGTAAAATAACAAGAATAATAATAGTAGTAATAATTTACAGTCGTATAAATGATTTTGGATCTGAAGGAGAAATTCTTACAAGTGTTGGGTAAATGATTAGCTGTTCTCCCTAATGGTTCTATCGGAGGAATCTCCAGAGCTTCTTAATATTTAGGCTGCAATTCGGAGAAGAGCAATAGGCTTCATTTTCGATTTTAATTCTCAATGATTTAGGTTTAAATAATTTAGGTCTCTCATACATTAGTGAATTTCCCAGCCAACTGACGAATAACTTGCGTCCATGCATTGAATATGAGCCTCGCCCGAAGCGACCTCGTCGTGTTTCCTGTATTTTGGAGATGTGGGATAAACTAAAATCAAGAAATAGTTTGCTGTCTGTTATATTATTGGAACTCTGCTAACTCTCGGGTTAGGAATAATATGTATTTTCGCACACAAATATTAATTTTAAAAGTTACGGTAATTAACTTGACATAGCCATCAGCGTAATATTTTACGGCGATAATTATTTATGCGGGTTTTTATCTCACTTATTCTTGTTAAATGTTTTTGAGCTAGAAATTTTCATCACGAAAAATCAAAACAAAAATTAAATTGGCAAATGGATTTTTTTTCAGATGCAAAAGATCGGGAGTCAGTCGAAGACGTTCTCCATATCCAGACAAGGAGACTCTTTGTACCTACAGAGTCTATCAAATGCTTATTACGTTGTCTGGGACGTCAACATGAACGTCAAAATAGGGGTGAGTCAATATACGTCAAAATAGAGGAATGTCAAAATATGGGTACGTTAACATACGTCAAGATATGGTACGCCAACGTAAGTTAAAATATGGGTACGTCAACATACATCAAAATATGGTACGCCAACGTAAGTTAAAATTTGGGTACGTCAACATACGTCAAAATATGGGTACGTCAACATACGTCAAAATATGGTACACCAACGTAGGTTAAAATATGGGTATATGAACATACGTCAAAATATCTGTACGTCAACATACGTCAAAATATGGTACACCAACGTAGGTTAAAATATGGGTACGTCGTAAGTCGAACAATGGGTGTGTCAACTTCATCAGGTCAATAGTTCATTCTGTCAACGGATGAGCAGCCTTAATTCACACTCGATGATTCATTTATGTTGAGGATTCGATTTAAACTGTTCACTTTCGCTGTAGGTTTTAAATGTAAATCATAATGACAGAATTTTGAACCTAATTTTGATTAAATATCTAAAGGAATAGTACCGTTGGAATTATTTTTTGATGAATCGCATGTCTATTGAACAAGAACCTCTTGCCATGGCTGCAAAAATTCTACGGTTTTTGGACCTCAAATTTGGATGTCTCGCTTAGCAAATAGAAATGATTTGTTACATAAAATTCAGATTCTTTATATGAATGACCTGATATCAGTTAGTAAGTACTTAGAAATTAGTAAAAGTAACTTACTAATTAGTAACTTGCTAGTAAGAACTTAGAAATTTAAATGGCCATGCATAAGTTTAAATTAAAATATGTAATATTTTTTGTGATCCGTTCGATTCTCTCGGTCACTGTTCAGTTGGACAAGACCTTGCTGCACCGCGTGGACGGTTTGTGTGGCTTCTACACCGGCCAGCCAGGCGACGACAAGACGAAGCCGGACGGCAGCCTGGCGACCACCACTGATGAGTACGGCGACTCTTGGGCCATCGGCGACCGCGACTGCGAGGGTCGAAAGTGTTCGCCAGAGACCACGGCCAGCGCCTTCCAGCTCTGCAATGCCATCGAGTCTGTGGCGATACATTATTGAAAATTAACATCTGTTTAAGAAAAATAAAAATATTTTTCGTATGAGATATAATTAGATGTTTATTAGCACTGCCGCTAAAGGATTTTGCAACTACTTATTTGGTGAGGTCAGTTGTACTATCCTTGTGATGTAAAGCCATCATTGCTCTAGTGCAGTGCCTCTACCTATGCTGACCAAGAACTGGTCAGCGCTGTGCTCAGGCACAGTGTTGTGCAGCTTGCACCATAGTTTATGGTGAATCATGCTCATGGTTTGTCATATGCCATCACTTTTACAATATCCGGGCAATTCAATATCATGTATAGACATTCCACCCGTAAATGAGTAACAATGTGTGGTTCAACTCTGCAGTGTACGCAGAGGTAGGAATTTAATATAGCCGTTGTAATTGTAATTTTCTGTTCATGAAAATTTAATCAATTTAATTATCTGGCAGTGCCAAGCCGTTCTCAGAGTGCCACGCGCTGGTGCCACCGTCAGGGTTCATGCAAGGCTGTATCGAGCGAGCGTGCGCGTGTCTCTCTGAGGGCGGGAGTGAAGAGGAGTGCAAGTGTGCGGCGCTTGGCAGATACGTCGTCAAGTGTCTTGAGCTTGACTCAAGTATTCCATTGCAAGACTGGCGAGTTGTGGCCAAATGCTGTAAGTATTTGAATCCTATAATGCATTCCCGTGTGTACAAGTTGTCATGTTCAGTTGAGGTATTTCGGTACGGATTTTTTTCTTTCCGGGAATTAAGCTTTTTTCATTTTTCATTTAAGTTTCGTTGTTGGCTTTTTGGTTGACAATACTTCATGTTCAATAGTACTACATGAAAATTATTTCAGAGTTTTTCACTGATTCTCCAAGAAACGTATTCATATTACTGATTTCATGCTAGTACTGCAATCTTTTTGAAGTTCGCGGGAACATTTCAGTGTTTCTGCTCCAATAAGTTTCTCAAGTCTCCTTCATGTTCCTGTTTGCAGACAAGGCTTGCCCGACCGGTGAACGCTATTCCGACTGTCACGACAGCTGCGAGAAGACCTGCGACACATACGGCCACGCTTGTCCCGATGTTCAGTCCTCCAAATGTTCGTCCGGATGTTTCTGTGAGCCCGGAATGGTCCGTAAAGACGGCCGCTGCGTGCACCCGGACCTTTGCGGGGACTGCACCTGCGAAGGATACGGGGATCCTCACTACAAGTCCTTCGACCGGCACAACTTTACCTTCAACGGCGAGTGCTCCTATGTCGCTGCCAGACACAGGGATCCCAGAGGGAACCACAAGTTCCAGGTCAGCCATCGTGTGATCAATGCATTAAGATTTTATTTGTAATATACGGTATATAAATGAAAATATGCGTATTGTATACAATTTTATAATGCGAAGTCCTCTATGTCCAAGTTGCAGATTGTACGAATACAATCTATTCCCAGAAACATTAGTATTTTTACGACTTATCTTAAGATAATTTAGGATGAAGAGCGCTTGAAGGGGGAGTCTACTCAGTTATTCATCAATCGGAATTCTATACAGTTTTGACTATCTATTTCCAAACAGAAATGTGCAGATGCAGATCTACTTCCTGCAGAAATGTGTTCCGATGACGTTCTTCGTTTGCTTTTTTCGCGCGCTAATCTATTATCTTTATGCTTCACTTTATCTCTTTGCTGCATTCCCCGATGAGCTTGCCTGGTCCTAATAATCACTGACGATAGGAGAGCACCCAACACTGAACAATGATACCAATTAACTATAGCTTTACATCTAATTCGTTCAGGTGATCACCCACAACAAGCGGTGCAACCGCAACCCGGTCACCATGTGCACCGATGGGGTTAAGATCCTGCATGATGATAGCGAAGCCGAAGTGCGCCTCCTCCCCACGGGTGTCCTCATGACCCTCGTAGAGGGGGCCCCACTGGCGAGCTTCCCCTACAGGGATGTACACTTCGCAGTCGAGAGGCCCGACGACAAGCACGTGGCCATTGCTGTGCCCGCTATCTACTTGGTAGTTACGTACTCGGCTGAAAATTACGGCTTTACCCTCACCGTGCCCTCGCATCAGTTCTCCAACGAGACCGAGGGACTCTGTGGTGCGTCCTGAGGGAGTGCATGCTGTTTTTTTATTGTTTAATTTGTGATGCAAGGTTTGGTAATAAGGCATACATTTATTAGTAATGTCTTGTACCTGTTGACAATCTTGCGTGGCAAAATAACTGCAACTTAATAGCTTTAAATATGCCTGTAATATCTTTTAAATTTCCAACTGGTTAACACTTCAAGATTAATCTCAAGATTACAAATTACAAGCGTTCTCAGAATATTCGCTGTGCTCTGTAGAAACTAAGCATACAAATGCTGGCTTAATTATTGCTTACAAATAGCGATTTCAGCGATTTAAATTGAAACATTTTGTAATGTGAGGAAATGATGAAAATGATAGCAAACAACCATAGAAACTCCAGTAATTACTTCAGTATTTCCACATTTGATGACAGTTTTCACCACCCATGCCCCACACGATTAATTTGTCCATTCATTGCAGGAAATTGTAACGGCGAAGCGGCAGACGACCTGCAGCTACCCTCGGGCGAGCGAGCCTCGTCGGTCGAGGAGTTCGGCTTGAGTTGGCAGGTGAGATCTGGCATGAGAATGCCTATGCCATTAGATTGAAAATATGAAGTTTACGTAGGATATAATTTAAAATTCCTAGGCCATTAGGTTCAAAATATGAAGTTTACGTAGGATATAATTTAAAATTCCTACACCATTAGGTTCAAAATATGAAGTTTACGTAGGATATAATTTAAAATTCCTACACCATTAGGTTCAAAATATGAAGTTTACGTAGGATATAATTAACAATTAAAGCGCCATTTGTTTCAGATAATGAAGTGCACGTAAGATATCATTTAAAATTCCAGCGCTATTGTGTTCAGATAATGAAGTTCAGGTAAGATTTTTTTGGAAATTCTTGTGCTATTTGGTTTAAAACTAATTGTTCATGCAAGATCTGATTGAAAATTATTTCGCTATCGGGTATAAAACATTATGACGGTTGAGCTTTTATTGAAAAATTTCCCGCTATTGGGTTTAAAATATTAAGTTCACATGAGATTTTATTTAATATTCCTATGCTACTGAGTTTAAGTATTATTTTCGCATACAATATGATTTAAAATTCTGACGCTTTTGAATTTAAAATTAAATGTTCATGTAAGATTTCATTATTAAATTCTTGAGTCATAAGGTTTAAGAAGCTGAGTAAAGAAAAACGTGTTAAAAAATGGTGAAAATTAAAAGTTTAACTAATTTTTCTTGAAAGAATTAACATTTATATAATTTTCTTGAAATTTTCAATGGACTTTTTCGAATAAGATACTAATCTCTATAATTCACGAAAAGCATAGAACTCAACCGAATGAATAAACTAAAGCTCAGCACTCTGCGACCGGACTCTCACACCCACCACTTAAGAAATTATTTATTTATATTTGTAATCAATTTTCCTTTTATATAAATTTACCCAATCTCTGCACTAAAATAATCCTCTTATGTCTTCATAAGAGGATTATTTGCAGCACTTCATCACGTAACACACATATTCCTTCATACCACACGAATTCAATATAACCTTAGAACAATAAAGTGCATTTCTATTCCGTAGTGGCATAGAATTATCATTCTAAGCCTCTCAAACTTCCAAGTCCCTTGCCATCTCGATTAATTTCCCATCCTCTGCTAGGAATACCGTTGAGCAAGCAAGGACAGATAGCTTGGCCTGGCAATAAAGGGTTAACTGCTCTGTACTTAGCGCCAACTCTCGACGGGGCTCTTGGTTTAGTTGCTGAGTGAGTCGTTCATGAATTCAATAAGGCGTGCGTTGTCCATTAGACTCACATTAATAGGCATGGCCATTAGCAGGCAACCCCACGCCGTTAATCTGCCGCTATTGGCCATTACGATGGCTTGGGCTTGTAGCTTCGAGTACTGTTGCCTGTTACACGGTCAAGCGGCCTACGGAGTGACGTATTGTGTCACCGGTTTGATCACATTGTTTTACATTCCTTGTGTTATATTACTGCTGCTGTGTGTGTTGTTGTGTTATATGGTTTTTGTGTCAGTTATTGTGTAGTATTGTTTTTGTGGATGTAGTTGACTTGTGCAGTTGTTGTGCCAGCAATTGTGCTAAATTGTTTCAGTTGTTATGTAATGTGTTGCGCCCCGTGTATGCCAGACTTCCACTTATACAGAGAAGTATTTCCTATCATGCAATCAAATGATGTGTGGGGGAAGGATGATGAATTTGCTCAGTGAGTCAGCTGATATATTGCAAGAACATCTTTATGTTCACGTGAAATAATAATATACTCTCAGCCAAATCACGAAAAATTATAATTTGTTTGTGATATTTTTATATTATAATTTTTGACTGTAAGGTGACGAAGGACTCGCCTGGCGTTTGTGAGGTCTTCAGGAAGGACGAGGGCGCGTGTCTCCCGCTGCCTCCTGACGAGGATCCTTGTCTCAAGATCATGGACCCTGAAATATTCGGACAGGTACAACATACACTGAATATGGAATATTAGAACTTTATGTTATCTTAACTTATAGAATCTGTGTAACATAAAACACGCGTACACTCTAAAGTAGTTCATATGAGAGACTATAACTCATGTTGAACTACTCTCTACCTACCTCTCTTCTTGAACTACTTCTCCAAGCCATGAGATCTCCCGTGAACAATTTCGCTTTCAAATTACAATTTTTTCGACACCTTCTACGAATTTTCGCCCCCGACAGTGCCACCCCTTAGAGGACCCCGTGGCGTACGTGTCGTCGTCCCTAACCCCTCTTGTCCCCCCGACAGTGCCACCCCTTAGAGGACTCCGTGGCGTACGTGTCGTCGTCCCTAACCCCTCTTGTCCCCCCGACAGTGCCACCCCTTGGAGGACCCCGTGGCGTACGTGTCGTCGTGCCAGCAGGACGTGTGCATGAGTGAGGACCCCGGCACGGCTGCATGTCAGTCGCTGAGCGCGTATGCCAAGCGCTGCGCCCAACTTGGCACCTGCCTCGAGTGGCGCCGTGACGACCTCTGCCCTGTCACCTGCCCGCCAGGTCAGCCAATCATGAGATGGCTAGTGAGCCAATCACGAGGTGTCTAGTGAGCCAATCACGAGATGTCTAGTGAGCCAATCACGAGATGTCTAGCAAGCCAATCACGAGATGTCTAGTGAACCAATCACGAGATGTCTAGTGAGCCAATCGCGGGATCTAGTGAGCCAATCACGAGATGTCTAGTGAGCCAATCACGAGATGTCTAGTGAGCCAATCATGAGATGTCTAGCAAGCCAATCACGAGATGTCTAGCAAGCCAATCACGAGATGTCTAGCGAGCCAATCACGAGATGTCTAGTGAGCCAATCACGAGATGTCTAGTGAGCCAATCGCTGGATCTAGTGAGCCAGTCGCGAGATGTCTAGTAAGAAATCTCGTGCCCCATGTATCGCTTTTTGCCTTGAATTAAGTATGTACCCAAAATTTATGGAAGTCCACCTTTATTTAGGAAACTTAAAGCACAATTATTGATATTGATCGCTGATTGGATATTTGTTTATTTTTGACGCATCTCCTGAATAGATTAATCTGATTTATCGGATTTAAAACATATAAACACAAGACTCGTGTTGTGCCAGCTTCGTTAAAATTATGACAATGGTTTGAAAAAAAAAACAGAAAATTATGTATTCGGTGTAGTACAACTTGAATCATCACGAATCTGACATGCATGCAGGCCAGACGTACGAAACGTGTGGTCCAGGCTGCGTGCACACGTGCGACAACTACGTGCAGTACGAACACGACCCTGACTCGTGTCCCTTCAGCGTCACGGACGGCTGCTACTGTCCCGAGGGTCAGGTGAGGCTACCTCAGGGCTCGGGGTTATCATAAAATACGTAACTCTAAAATATAATATAAACAATGGATTACAATGTAATATATAATATAAACAATGTATTACAATGTAATATATAATATAAACAATGAGTAATATAAACAATGGATAATTAGATAATAGTTTAGAAAAGCTTATAGAATTTGGGTAAATATTCCCTGCTTCATCGCAAGATCTATTGAAATCTTGAAAAAAAGGTAAGCGTTTGTGCTAGCGCAGCGGCGGAGTCATGCATAATATAAATAGGAGTTCCGTTTACAGTAATCCCACAATTTTACGCCGAGTTTCATGCAACAGCTGTAAAAGGTAATTTAATTTTCCATTAGTTTCTCTAATTGTCCCCACGGCGCTTGCATTGAAATGTTTTATTATACAACGTCTATTACTGTTGTAATCATCATAAGCTGGAAGCTTGCTATATCGAGCATATATATCTCGTTTCAATGTCATCAAGCAAGATTTATATATAGCATTTATAGCATTTTATCTCAGGTTGAACGCCACGTTACATACTGCATTCACATGCTAATATCTATCTGAAGAAATTCCGAGTTTGGTGTCCGGATATTTCAAAGGTTGTTCTGTATCGTACAAGTATGACCTTGTATGATGATATTCACGAGCACACGCGTCCATGTGACTGCTCAGTGATGGAGATCTATCATGAAACATGATTCATGGTCAAGGCTGCATGCTAGTGAGTAATCTTAACATGCCTTCTCCTTAACTCATAAACCCTCTCTTAACTCACTATACTCCCTCTTACCTCACTGCTTCCTCACAACTCACTATACTCCCTCTTACCTCACTGCTTCCTCACAACTCACTACACTCCCTATCGAAGATGGAAACTATAATAGAGATTATTAGTTGTCTTTAACGATCGGGCTGCGGAATTATTGCTTTCTTCGCTCTAACAATAAGTGCTGCCTAATTGCTTCCTTATTTCTCATTCTCCTAATTTTTCTTCGGCTAAAACTTCCCATCTACGACGCAAAATCACATCTCTTTGAGGTTGAGAAGAAATATTAACAAATTATTGATTTAAGATTAGTACTCCACTTCTCCCATAAGCTGAGCTCACATAGTAAGTTTTTTTTATTAATTAAGGACTTTTGAAGCCCCGGACACAAGCTCCATCACAAATCCAAAGGGAGGAAGGCATTCGTTTTGCCAGGGGCGTCCGCGACGATTCTTTTTGCCAGGCAGCTAATCCGATCACCGCTGCTTCTCTGAGGGAATAATCGCCAGTGATCGGATTATGAACGCTGGTGTAACTATATTCTGCTCCTAGATGTCGATTCAGGTCACCGTACTATTTTGTTACTAGATGTCTTGTGATTATTCTATAGCGTGTTCATATATGTCGCTTCTTGTCGTCATTCATCATTTTGTGCCTAGACGTTTCTTCTTATTATTATTTATCCTATTCCTAGATATAACTTCTTGTCGTTACTCTCAATTTAGTTCCTAGTTGTCGCTTCTCATCATTATACTATAGCTAGTTCCGAGATGCCTATCTTTATCATTATAATTATCTATATACTCATAGAAAGATCTCACTATAATTTTGTCCTCGAGGTGAGTTTGCGCATGTCTGACTTGCTGAATTTACTGAAGTGATTTCACTGACACTTTCCTCAGGTCACCATGAGCTCATGGCGTATTTTACCATCGGTCTTCCGGATGCCTGGAGAAACAAACTCAGAACTCCGAAACATACACCGCAACATGGCCCACATGGTCACACTTTGATGTCTATTATATTTATGCTTTCCCCATAAACTTCTTCGTTGTGCATCACTATTTTTCCTGAATAATCATTGAACTATCTGACAGTCTTTTGCCACTTGCTTACTCTCACATTATGTATATTTTCCATACAACTAATTTGTACAACAACCTGGACGATCAGGTGCTGATAAACAGCACCTGCGCGAGCAAGCAGGGCTGCCAGCCGTGCGACGAAGAAGGCCACCGCGAGGGCGACACGTGGCAGACAGACGCGTGCAGCAGCTGCCAGTGCAGCGGCGGCAAGGCCTGGTGCACCACCAAGGCTTGTCCCCAGGACCCCATCTGCGACAAAGGCTACTCTCTAATTGAGGTCAATATTATGGGCGGAACTCTGACACGCATAAGTATATACAACACTAATTGTTTACAGACAACTGGGACGTGATGGCCTCTTTATGTTCCTTCTACATTATAAAACATTCAAAATAGGTGCAATATTATCGTGAAGATCCCACTTCTATTGGGGCCTGGTTTGTGCCACTCTTTGACAAGAAGACTTAGGATGGCGGAGGTTTTTTGCTCACTCAATGGGATAAATTGGCTTTGGCAATGCTGCTCGTTATGGCGGGATCTTAATTTTCTGCACCTTCGTTGATTTCTCACACGTGACCGAAGCTGCTCCTAAGTCGATGTTATTGTTACACTCCATGTTTTAATTCCACTCACAGTTCTGTGTTTAGATGGATTATTCAGCTGCTATGGATTTTGCTTTTCTTAATCATTCACGTATATCTGTGAGCACTTTATCATGTAACATGTAAATCTTTTCATTTATTCACTCACGGTATGGTGTTTAATTTTCACATTATTCGGTATATTGAGTCAATTGTTGAATTATTAATCTTCATATACTGTATATTATTATATTCATGACATTCCACGCTACATTCTGGAATTATGATCAGAAAAGGCAAATTTCCTCCTAAAGTCATAAAAGATGGCGTATCACAGATGCCGTCCCCGGCGGACGAGTGCTGCGGTCCCCCCAAGAAGTGCATTCTGGAGGGTCCTCCCAACTGCCCCCCCGTCAAGGAGCCCGAGGAGCCATGCGGTCACGGCAAGAGTTACCAGCTCGTCATGAGCGGCGTTTGTTACGAGTTTGCTTGTCTTTGTCTGCCTCCTGAAGACTGCCCGCCTCTCGAGCAACCAGACCCTGCCACTCTCAAGCCAGGTATGTACATTAAAAAGTTAATGCCGAAAATCACGCTAAAAGTTGAATTTAACACATCTTCTCACATGTGCTGTTATTGAAACTCTTACGGGAAATAATTGAGATGAGAAGTCTTGATATTAGTGACATATTGTTAAATGAGATTCGTAACAATTTCTGAACATCTCCGACCTCAGGGCAGACATTTGAGATGAACACGCAGGGCTGCTGCCCTCGACACGTGAAGGTCTGCACGGGCGAGTGCCCCGAGCTGGAGTGTCCTGAGTTCTACGAGGTGGTGACCTCCCCAGCTGCAGGGGAGGATTGTTGTCCCCAGCAGACTTGTGGTGAGTGATGTTGTTCCCAGCAGACTTGTGGTGAGTGGTGTTGTGTCCAGCAGACTTGTGGTGAGTGATGTTGTTCCCAGCCGACTTGTGGTGAGTGGTGTTGTGTCCAGCAGACTTGTGGTGAGTGGTGTTGTCCCCAGCAGACTTGTGGTGAGTGGTGTTGTCCCCAGCAGACTTGTGGTGAGTAATGTGGTGTTCAGCCGACTTGTGGTGAATTTTATTGTGTTCTGCAGACTTGTGGTGAGTGGTGTTGTGTCCAGCCGACTTGTGGTGAGTGGTGTTGTGTCCAGCTGGCTTGTGGTGAGTGGTGTTGTGTCCAGCCGACTTGTGGTGAGTGGTGTTGTGCCCAGCCGACTTGTGGTGAGTTGTATTGTGTCCTGCAGACTTGTGGTGAGTGGTGTTGTGTCCAGCCGATTTGTGGTGAGTTGTATTGTGTCCTGCAGACTTGTGGTGAGTGGTGTTGTGTCCAGCAGACTTGTGGTTAGTGGTGTTGTGTCCAGCAGACTTGTGGTGAGTGGTGTTGTGTCCTGCAGACTTGTGGTGAGTGGTTTTGTATCCAGCAGACTTGTGGTGAGTGATGTTGTGTCCAGCAGACTTGTGGTGAGTGGTGTTGTGTCCAGCAGACTTGTGGTGAGTGGTGTTGTGTCCAGCNACGATGATGGACGACGATGATGGACGACGATGATGGACGACGATGATGGACGACGGTGATGGACGACGATGATGGACGACGATGATGGACGACGATGATGGACGACGATGATGGACGTATCGTGCAGGTGGGCGACGCGTGGGCGGACGGGCCGTGCGTGGAGTGCGAGTGTGCAGTGGGCGGGGACGGGCTGCCGTACCACAGCTGCGTGCGTCGCACGTGTCCCCGTCCCGACGATCATCCCGACACCGGCGACTACGAGCTCGTCACCGTCCCCGTCCCCGGCGCCTGCTGTCCCGGCGTGCAGCGCGCGGCCTGCATCGACGACGGCGATGTCATTGCCGTGAGTAGCGGGGATGTGGGGGACGTGTGTAGCGGGGACGTGAGGGACGTGAGGGACGTGAGTAGTGGGGACGTGAGGGACGTGAGTAGCGGGGACGTGAGGGACGTGAGTAGCGGGGACGTGAGGGACGTGAGTGAGGTGAGTAGCGGGGACGTGAGAGACTTGAGTAGCTGGGACGTGAGGGACGTGAGTAGCGGGGACGTGAGGGACGTGATTAGCGGGGACGTGAGGGACGTGAGTAACAGGGACCTGCAACAAGGCTGCCTTCACTTGGACTTCGCAATAAAATCCCGCCGGCCGCGCGGGACGCGGCATTTGATTGTTCTCGTTAACGTCACATTGCGTCCTAATTTACGTCACGTGACGTCGTAGTTTGCGACTCGTTATGTCCTCATTTACGTAGCGTTTAGGTGCGTTTAATTTCCTACCAGCCAGGCTTTGCTGGATTATAATCTCATGATGTCATCTATTAGAATTTCTATTGTTTTTAATTTGACTGTAACGCGATCGTTAGGATAGCAGAGACCGTGGCAGGATGTCAGGTTTTGTGCTGGTTTCCAAAGCATCCTATGCAGATAAACGCTACGTTTAATAACATTACTTTACTGCTGTAAATTTTGATTTATTTTATATTCGTTGCTGAATTTTGAGCATTCGACGCATTGACTTGTACAAAATTTCGCTCTTGCCTATTTTATAATTAATCCAATTTCAAAATTCGCGTTATTTTTCAAGAAGTGAAAGACTTCTATTATTTTTAGTCCCTTTTTTTAAAAACTTGCCTGCTCTTGACAGATCATCCCTCTTCATTGTTACTGAACATCTCTGCCAATGAGAACTCAAGAACTTAAAAGCAATGAAAACGGTAATTAAATTCACCATGTCATCATTTTCAACGACGACATGGGGATTTGCTTGACGTTTTCAATACTTTCAAATTTTTAATGAACTTGCAGTACAAACAAACTAACGAGATAAGTACTTATATACGAACTAATTACTACTCAACGATGATCAATTCCCCCACTTGAGCCCCCGTGTCCCCGTCCCCAATGATGATCAATTCCCCCACTTGAGCCCCCGTGTCCCCGCCCCAATTGGGGACGAGTTAGCGGACCCCGTGAACGGGTGTCGCTCGGTGGCGTGTGAGCGCAGCGCCAGCGGCCGCGTCGAGAAGCGCGAGAAGTTCCTGACCTGCGACGAGTCCTGCGCTGACGGCTGGACCTATGAACCCACACCGCTGTACCCGCAAGTGTGCTGCGGGTCATGTGTGCAGGTCAGTGTGCTGTGTGATCAAGTCAATTTGCTGTGTGCGCAAGTCACTATAGTCTGTGCGTGATCAGGTTAGTGTGTTGTGTGTGCAGGTTAGTGTGCTGTGTGTACAGGTCAGAATGTTGTGTGTGCAGGTCAGGGTCCTGTGAGTTTTGCTTTCATGTTATTAAACAATGAATTATCAGGACAAATACTATGCTAGATATTGTAACCACTTGTTACAATATCCAGCGCCACCGTGCTTGTAGAATCGCAGTCAGCAAGCTTCATTGTTTTCGTTGTAGTTTTATACTCAACATTTGTGCCCGATGTTCCCTTTGACTATATTTGCAATCTAAATTTTATTGTATGGAATTTTCGGACGCTTCGCAAAGCCTCCCGTCGAAAAGTTGAGCAGGTTTTCGGTTCAACAAGTTGGATGCTTTCCAACTTTTGTTGAAGCATCAGCGCCATTTTAACGGACTGAAGTTTCGTTGTTTTGAGGTTTTACTGTTATGAAAAAAAGAATAGCCAGCTTGAAAGGTCTTCGCTGATTTTATCAAGGCTTTTTTTCAGTTGTTGTTTGGAACTATAACGTATAGTCTTAACTGTCTTGATCGTATGAATATAGTTGTTGATATATCAAGATTTTGAATTTGTTGATCAATGGAAAAGAAGAAGTATTTCCCACATTAGGGAAGAATATGGTAGTGACGACATTTACTCCGACATTTTTGAATTACGACATTCGGTCCTGTGTCATGTTGAATTTTTGCTTGAACAAAAGGGTGCTTATAAAGACAATAGAAAAATTTAAAAAATAAAGATGAAGATGTAAGGTGCCCCAAACTTTAAAGTGGTAACAATTCTTGGTCCTGAAAGCAAGATCTAGAGAAAATGCGTGCGAAAATCGTAAAATCTTGGAAGTATCGTGAAATTGAGCCGCATTAAAACTACCGTAAAGTCGTCTGCAAGTAAAATTTTTTCGAGAAATCAAGCGAAGGTTACGCAAGTCATAAAAATTTTTTCCAGCCATAGACTCTGTTGTGAAATTAAGCATTAAAAAAGTTTAAAAACCATATAATAATTAGTGTACAATCATGCCATCTCGATTCATCCGAATTCAAGGCAGGAGCAGCTGAGTCTGCAAGACACCGACGGCAAATGCTGCACGGAAAAATGCTTGCAAAATGAGAAGCTTCTTTATTATTTTTAGCTTAAACCGAGAGTTTTCTCTGTCATCATCAGTGCAAATCATGAAGCTTCTTCTTTATTTCCAATGCAAGTAGTGAGAATTTTTTTTACATTATAATATGTACAAATAGTGAGGGTTCTTTTATATTTTTAGTGCAAATCTCAAGGTTTCAAGCCATTTTCGGTAAAAATCGTGAGGCTTTTTTCCTAATTTTTATTACAGATAATAAGACTTCTCCTTAACTTTCAGTACAAATCGTGAGACTTCTCCTCAATTTTCAATGAAAATTGTGAGGCTTTTCGTCATTTTTCGTACAAATCGTGAGGCTTCTGTGTCATTTTCAGTGCGAATCGCAAGGCTTTTCGTAATTTTCAGTAAAAATCTTGAGGCTTCTCGGTCATTTTCTGTACAAATCGCGAGGCTTCACCATTTTTGCAAATCATGAGATTTTCCTGTCATTTTACGTGCAAATCGGGACACTTCTCTTCTATACTTTAACAATTGAAGGCTGGGAAACTTGATAGGAACTTTCTCGGCATGCTTAATGTTTACCAGCCGACGTGCGATGTAGTGCGCGCCGCGGAGGTGAAGCTGCAACATGCAGGATTTGGTTCGAATAGCTCATTTGATCCGATAATTTTACGGAAACTTTTTATTTCATTGATATCATCGATCGAGTAGAATCAGGATTACTGCTGGAATATTAAGGCAAATTTTACGGTCAAAAAGTTAGTGTTCATTTCATAGAACAATGTAGTGCACGTTCGATCAGGTGCTTCATCATCGAGCGAGAAAAATTCTACATGGCAGTAAATATTCAGTCGCTGCTCCCGTTAACTTTAATGTTGACCACATGTGCATATTGCACGGTTCATGTGAATGTCTCTATCATTAAATCTCATAATTTTTTTCATTTCATTTAGTAATTTCCTTTATTTGATGCATCGACTTCGTCATTGGCCTCGTCGTCCAGATCGAGTGCGTGCACGAAGGAGTGTCACGTCGGCCTGACGAGGAGTGGACGTCGGACGACCATTGCATCAACTATCGCTGCGTCAAAGACTACGTCAAGGTGAAGAAGATCTTCGTCTTCATGATATTGCTTTGTTGATGTCGTGTTTTTTTATCAGTTTTAATTTAAGTTCTTCTTTTTTACTTGTTTCTTGTGAAATTCTATTTTCTTGTTTAAGTTGGGAAGACAGAAATTAAGCGTCATAATCGGCGCGAATTTTTTCATGCTTCAGAATAAAGAGAAGCGTCATGTTCTAAGGTGTGGCTTACTTCTTTTGCTGCTGGAAGCATTTTTTTAATCGGCGTCGTGATATTCAATTAGTTATTGCCTAAAATAGTGTCAAAAATAGTCTTCGCGTCAGCTGCAAATCAGAGTAAACGTTGCTAAGTTTGTTTGAGCGTAGATCACGTTAATGTTCATAACTTCATAATGTGGGGGAATTGATCATCATTGGGGGCGGGACATCGGGGCTCAGTGGGTTTTACTTAATGCGTGCAGTGCGGCAGGTCTAGCGCAGTAGTAAGTGCACAAGAATCTTGTATTACAATTGTTATGAGGTCTCAATTTAAAAAATTATAATTCAGCTGTATATATTTTTGCTAAAATTTATTCACACCGTTAACCTAATTAATTTTATTCTCATATTTTAAATTGTAGTTAGGAATCATTGTACAACTTACGACCATCGTAAGACATGTCGTATGTCTGGAGCAGGGGACGCTGGAGACCCGCGCCACGGAGGTGGTGTGCGACACCCCTGACGCGGAGGAGCTGGCGCTTTACTCCTACAGCAGCACACCGCGTCCCGGCCACTGCTGTCCCGCACACGTCAGGGTGGGATGTCTCTACAACGGCGTCCCTCTCCCTGTGAGTGAGGGTTACTCTCTAGTTCAATTGGGAATCTGGAAATGAATCAACGTTGATGAAGAATTGAAACGTTGAATTTACGTCTATTAAATCAAAACCAGAGTTTGCTTTTTATTAACAATCTTCTTATTCGTTTTTTCAATGAGTTGAAGAAAACTTATTGCTGGCGCTGGGATATCCAAAAGCAGGTTACCAAATTTCCAACCGGATTATTTTTTACGGTTTATTAGAAAATAATTGCAAATACTTCTAACCAGATTAATTTTTGAGTTGTATCTTATTTACATGACTTTGTACTTCCGTCGGTCCAAATTTCATCACTAAATTCGTCTTGTAACTTGATAATGAATGATGATACATTCGAAACGTCGTTAACGAAATAAAAATGTCCATCGGTACCCAGATTTTCGATTTACCCGCGCAAATTAAAAATATTGTTCAATATATTGAAAATACTAATATGAAATTGTCAACAAAACAAATTCTCTGGTCTTCAATGAAACCTGCTTAAAGGAATATATTTATTTATATACATTTTATGATCGTTTGAAGCTCGACTCTGAAAATATATAGGGGCGCTTCTGGCGCGTATACACGATAATGATCGTGTCTATATAGGTATATGAATTTGATTTTATTCCATTCCATGTCATTGCATATTTTTTCATTAAAATTAGATATTCAAGTTTACTTTACATTACGAACGTAAGTATAGCACAGAATTCCGCCTTAACTTGAGGTTTGAGCGGCTCTTTGCTTAACTAACTCAGCGTTAGTGTGCAAATCATTAGCGAAATTGAAAGGAATCGTCGTAAGAGTCAATGGGATTCTTAAATGTCAAGCATTAGCTTCCTTAGCAGCGCAGTGTCATGCTGCAATTTTGAATTAATTTTATGTGTGAGTAGTTGATACATTTTTTGTTTTAATAGGAAAGGTTATGAAGGTGAGGATATACATATACACTATACGGCCTACCTTGTTGCTGTAGGCCGTATATAGGGCTTCCGGAAATCATTATATTTGAATGAGACTTTCAATGGAAGATTAGACATTTTATAATTTTGATTTGGTAGTTGACGAAAAGAAGAAAAAGTAAAGAGAAATATGCTTCCGGTTTATTATAAAAGCTAGTGCAAATTCAAGCATCTAAGTTGCTGACTGGAAAGCTGTGCTTTATTTGCAAGCTCATCGCAAATTTTCCAGTTTTTTCTTAAGCGGGTTCAACAACCATATTCAATGTTTGCAGCATAATGTTATTCAGTAAAAAATCTTGAAAATTCCAATAACTTGACGCTACTCATCTTTAAAATTCTGGAAGCTCTACACGAGGAGCACTTTTTATCAAATTGACCTCTTAAGCGAGAATATTTTGCGAAATATTTCGGCCTGGTCCGTAATGAGGAATTTCTATGGTGTCCGCAAGCCCTCGGCAAGAAATTTTCGAGGTTCACCTCACATGAAGTCAAGCCCCCACTTCCTATATTGCAGACGAGCTCTTCTTAAAGGTCGCTGGGTGAACGTCTACTTCTTCGCTAAATCATGCCTCAATGCTTTAAAATCATGACTCAGTGCTCAAAAATCATGACGCAATCCTGTAATATCATACCTTAATGCTTCAAAATGATGGAATCTAGCCATAAGATCAAACCACAATGCTATAAAATCCTGCCTCAATGCTCTAAAATCATGCCTCGACGCTCTAAAATCATGCTCTAACACTGTAGAATAATGCCTCAAAATCTAAAATCACGTCTCAATGCTTTCATTATTTACGGATTTTTTGTGCCTCTTTGAAAATAGTTTTAAAATTGTATTCGGCACAAAGCATCATGAGTAGAGACATGAGATTTATCACCGTTACTCGGCGCCTTAATTGTATTAAATATTAACCGGTTAACCAGGTTTTACTTCGGATCCATTATCGCTGCAATTATGAAATCCCGTTTTCCAAAATCCCGTCATGTCGAATTCTGCGAATGAAAATTAGATAAGTAAAAAAGGATGGAAGACCCGATTCAACCCAATTCCGACATATGACTTTCGTTTGAATTCCGTTAAAAAGAAGAGTATATCTTTTTCGTTCAACAAATCAAATTTATATACACCAATCCATGAAATGCCAATTTTTGGTCCAATCCTTCCTTTCAGTTTACAATGCCTGCTTATTCTGCCACTAAGAATAAATTTTCCGGGCATCCCGACACGATAAGTATCCTGGATACGCGCCCCACAGCCCCTATATACAATAACCCGGCACGATAAGTATCCTGGATACGCACCCCAACAGCCCTTCCCCAACAGCCCTTATATACAATAACCCGACACGATAAGTATCCTGGATACGCGCCCCAACAGCGCCTATATACAATATACCCACACGTCAAGTATCCTGGATACGCGCCCCATCAGGTTTCCGGGACCATTCAAACACACAAACTGAAACACAAATTTCGGCAAATATATGTAAGCTTTACAACTTCTTATATGATTTTGACTTAATACACTGTTAGTGTATCATTGTAATCTCTCACCATCGTCACCACTACCATACACGTCAATATTTCACGTCATCACTACCTTACACTAACACATCTCCCACCACAACACTAACTTAGCTCGCTCCCACCACATCCTCACACACCACCACCCAGTCCAAACCCTAACCCCGCCATCCAGCAGCCCCCTAACCCCGCTCAGCCATGCAGCTCAGCCGTCTCTCTTCGACGTGATCTTCCCTTAAGTTAATTGAACGCCGACAAATGCACCTTGGTTCGTGGCTCCCTAAATTTGAGGGAAATATTCCCGGCACGGCACCTAAATTGAAATTACGTCCGCGAAATTCTCTTCTATCCCCAAAACCGCCCTCATGCCACGCTGACTTCCAAGAGGAAGTCCCGAAGAGCAGTTGACTGCTGAAATCTTAATGGAGCACCCAAGCTGGTCTATTTTTTCTCCTTTTAACTTTCCAGTTCAATTTCTGTTAACGCATATTTCAAATTCAACATTATCTGATTTAACTTCTTTACTTTCATACATTTTCGTAACGAAAATATGCCACTTACACATGTAAACTTTACTTCTTATACTGTCTTGCAAAATTACCCTGAGAGACGATGCAAGTAGATGGTAATTATTACGTTTTGCCGTGACTGTTCAGCCCGGTAAAGCAATCGCTGACCCTGAGGACCGCTGCGTAACCCTCGAGTGCGTCGTGGGGCCTGACGGTAATGTCACCAGGAAGGAGAAGGAGCAAGCCTGCTCCACTGACTGTACGCTGGGCAGCACCTACTATGACCCTCCGGCTGGCAGGTACTCAATGGGCCCTATTCATGTTCAATTCCAGGCCCTAAAAATGAAATAATTGGCTTCGACTGGGCATAATAATTTGAATTGATCATACTAGGATTCACCAGCTTCTTGTAATTATCTTATTGAAGTGTATCCCGACTCCATGCATCGACGACGAGTGTAAATAACCACTCTTGAATGAATATGTCACGCTATTTATATAAATGATTAAAATTCTACTCTCTGCTTGTAGGTCTTGAGCTCTTCTCATTTTCTCTGAATATTTATTGATGGAAAAATCATAATTCACACTTTACCTGCAACCGCAGTTCTCTGTGCTGCGGTCGCTGCATCCCGACGCACTGCGTGGATGGCGGACGTCTATATGAAGTAGGCGAGACATGGCAGAGTCCCGGAGACGCGTGCTACCAGTTCACGTGCCAGATCAGGGACGACGTCCTGGCGACGGTCGTGGTCAAGAGGGAGTGTCCCTACTTCAACCCAGAGTGTCCACCACAAGAAGTCTACTACGATGAGACTGGCTGTTGTCAGCTCTGCAACGTCACTTTGGTTGCTAAACGTGAGTACTGCTCATTTTTATCCCTGTCGTCTTACTGGTAATATTCTCAGTCATTTGGTGGGTCTCAGGCGAAACTCATTAGGTGAGGATAGCTTCATATACATATTTCAATTTCTTTTGAAAAAGGAATCTGTTCATCAGATTAATTTGTGCACACGAACTTAGAATAGAATTTCTCAGATTAATCGAAAAAGTCAATCATTTTCTGTGGAGTAATGCTCAAAAGAGTGCCTCTCACCCATGATTAAAAGTTACAATGCTTTGAAGTGACTTTTTTCTCTGCAGTTTGTAAATTATCATACTAACAATTGTGCAGATAGTGAGAGATTTCTCCATTTCAATAGAAAACATCACTCGGAAAATAATCGACCTCATGAGACTTAAGCTAGCTTGAATATGGAACACCCCAGCAACAGTTGCGTACATATTAGAGACTGGAGGAGTTATGTACTGCTCGAGAAGAACCTGCATTTTTCATGTAAAAGATTTTCATACGAAAAATCGCGATTTTAATAAATTTGGCCATATTTGGTTTTTGACGACAACTATTCGCCATTTTTGACGACACTTGGCCATATATCTCATTTCCAATTCTCACTAATTATTTCTGTGATCTCGAGCAGGAGACTGCAAGGCGACCCCCATGGACCCTAAGGACACGGTGGGTATGTTCACCATCCAGAACCGCGGACTGGGCGTGTGCAGCAACACCGAACCTATCCCCCTCAACATCTGCGAGGGACACTGCGACTCCAGCACCGCATACAGGATGCGGGGTGAGTGTTGGAGTGAAAAAGCAGGTGTCAGGAGCAAGAGAATGTGAGGAGTGGATGGCAGAGTTTCGCTATTTATAGTAAGGCTGGGATGAATGCGATGACATTGTACGATGCGAGATGAATGAGATGCGAGAGAAAATTTAATGAATAATCTAGCATTTAGGCCTACACACATGTGTCATGACCACTTTTACCCACACAGGTGTTGCACCGCAGTTGGAGAACGAATGTTTTTGCTGCCAGCCCAGCGACTACGAAGAGATCGCCGTTCGCCTTTACTGCAACCCAGGCTTCTTCAACATCAGGCGCTACAACATCAAGTCTTGTACCTGTGTGCCTTGTAGCCAGGAACGGGCGTTGAAAGACCAACCTATTGTAGACGAGACTGAGTTCTACCCTAGACCTGAAGAGTCAGTAATGAACTGATATTGCCGAGAAGAGTTTCTGAGTTTGGCGAGAACGGTACTGTGGTCGAGAGCAGAAGAATCAGTGATTAGGAGAGGAATTTGAAGATGAAGGAGGGTGACAGATAATATATTCATGCCGCTGATGAAAGCCTTGATGTTCATCAGTGGCTATTTGGAATTCGCTGACTGTGAAAAACGAAAATGTCAATGAGAAATGAGAAAGCGGTCGAAAAGTGAAAAGGCTGTCAAAAAGAGAGAAATCTGTCTTTTAGTAATAGGAGGCTTTCAAAAAGCAAAAAGGCAGTTGGAAGGACAGGTAGTTCCAAAAAGCGTGGGGGTATTTAAAAGCAGGGAACCGGTTAATAAGAAAGATGGTTTGTTAATTAGAAGCGTAATGGCTCCCGAAAAGCGCGGAGGCTGTCGTAAAGTGGAACGTTGTATAAAAGCTGAGAGGCTAACTTAAAGAGAATAGGCTGTAGGAAAGTAACTAAGGCGTCAATAAGTTCGAAGGAAATGCAAATGTCAATTTGCTGTTCAAGTGTGAGGAGGTGCATGAAAATGATGTGGAAATGATGAGGCTGTCGGGAACGAAGAAGTGTTGAAAGTGAAAAACGAGATTATACCAAGTGATGGGCTGTATGAAATTAAGAATTTCCAATAGTGTAGCCGCGAGTTGAGTGAGAAGGTTGTCGAAAGACCAGTGGGCTGCAGAAATGCGGTGAGGCACTCGCAAAGTGAGCAAGCTAAGACACCTAATTTGGAGTCTGTGGAGGCAAATACAAATTTTAGGACCGTTTTGTTGAATAAATCTTCAAATGGAAGGTGTTAAAAGTGAAGAATAAGGGATGCTTTTTAAGTAAACAGTTGGTCGAGAACTTCGCTCTTGGTCGTTAATCTGACAAGTGGTAGAGAACCGAGGTGTTCGAGAACCGAATAATTGATTGAGCGCCAAGCAAGAGATTGTGAGCGAGCAACTTGCTGAGACCTGTGCAAGTGCATAAAGACCTTATAAATAGTGGAGAACCGAGCAAGTGGTGGAAAACCGTGCAAGTAGTGGAGAACCGAGTAAGTATTGGAGAACCGAGCTAGTGGCCGAGAACCGAGAAAGTAGTGGAGAACCGAGCTAGTGGCCGAGAACCGAGCAAGTAGTGGAGAACCGAGCTAGTAGTGGAGAACCGAGCAAGTATTGGAGAACCGAGCCAGTGGCCGAGAACCGAGCAAGTAGTGGAGAACCGAACTGATAGTGGAGAACCGAGAAAGTAGTGGAGAACCGAGCAAGTAGTGGAGAACCGAGCAAGTGGTGGAGAACCGAGCAAGTAGTGGAGAACCGAGTAAGTGTCCGAGAACCGAGCAAGCAGTGGAGAACCGAGCTAATAGTGGAGAACCGAGCAAGTAGTAGAGAACCGAGCTAATAGTGGAGAACCGAGAAAGTAGTGGAGAACCGAGCAAGTAGTGGTGAACCGAGCAAGTAGTGGAGAACCGAGTAAGTAGTGGAGAACCGAGTAAGTGTCCGAGAACCGAGCAAGCAGTGGAGAACCGAGCCACTGGCCGAGAACCGAGCAAGTAGTGGAGAACCGAGCAAGTATAGTGGAGAATCGAGCAAGTGCCTGAGAACCGAGCAAGTAGTGGAGAACCGAGCAAGCAGTGGAGAATCGAGCAAGTGTCCGAGAACCGAGCAAGTAGTGGAGAACCGAGCAAGCAGTGGAGAACCGAGCAAGTAGTGGAGAACCGAGCAAGCAGTGGAGAACCGAGCAAGTGTCCGAGAACCGAGCAAGCAGTGGAGAACCGAGCAAGCAGTGGAGAACCGAACAAGCAGTGGAGAACCGAGCAAGCAGTGGAGAACCGAGCAAGTGTCCGAGAACCGAGCAAGCAGTGGAAAACCGAGCAAGAGTCCGAGAACCGAGCAAGTAGTGGAGAACCGAGCAAGTAGTTGAGCATCGAGAAATTAGTGGAGAACCGCGAGAATGTTCGAGAACCGCAAGAATGTTTGGGAACCAAGATTGAAGTCGCCCGGGGAGCAAATGTTCGAGAAACATTGTGCACAGGAGCTGTCTCTACCGCTGAGCGGCAGCTTAGGTGAAGCTGCAGGGTAGGACCGATAACTGTTGGCGAAAGTTTTTCCTGAACCGAGAAGAGGGTTTGGGAAATGGCAATCTGAAGCTAAAATTCAATATACTCCTCCATCATTTCTTATTGGCTGAGAGGCGGTTGTGAGAGTATGCATAGTATGTGTTAGTCAGCGGCACCGAAATCTGTGTGGAGAATTGTATTCTATGAAGAATGATGAAAGTTTGCTGTATGTTAATTTATATTATTTGCATATTATCTTCAATATAATCTTGACAGGATTTCTACTGTGCATTATATAGGCATTTTTCCGGATGTTATATTTGCCAGAATGTGTAGTCACGTAACATTTAGGCTCATATTATTTGTGTTTAAAGAAATCGTCGAGTATTCAATGTATAAAACTTAGATTTAAATTGTAAAAAATTTTCAAGGCGATTGAATAGTTACACTAAATTGCTCATCTTGGTGTATCGTCTGGTCCTGGATCATGGAAGTTTTGATCATGGCGGTATTCATTATTAAAAGCAATTAATATTAGCATTAACGTTAATAAAAAATTAACATTACCATCAATGGTAATAAGCAAGAAATATTACCATCAATGTTAATAAAAAATTAACATTACCATCAATGGTAATAAGCAAGAAATATTACCATCAATGTTAATAAACAATTAATATTAACATCATTGTTAATAAACAATAAATATTACCATCAATGTTAATAAACAATTAATATAACATCAATGTTTTACATTACCGACAGCTTATGTGGAGCCATTGAATAGCGGACAACATGCCAGTTATTCATGCTCACCGGCTTCAATTTGCAACAGGGCGTCTGTCTGGACATCGGTTAGTTCATTTTAATGCTATTGTTCCCGTAATAAAAATTTTAACGAAGAGATGTCCAATTTGATTTTCTTATTTTACATCACATCAAGTCTAGCGGAGGGTACACGTAGGCATCGCTTCTTAAGAGCAAACAACCAGTACAATGAAACTATATAAATGCAAGATTAATAGTTAGATGCAACATGAAAAGTTTTTCAAGAAGGCTTCCCTTATCGCCCGCTGAAACGAATGTAGTGAGGAAACACTCGGACTCAGTGTGCTGACATCAACGAGTATATATGATTATTTATTATTTATTTTTAAATATTTTGGAGAGCCGTGTAAAGAAATTTAGCCTTCCTATGCTAATAACTGCGAGTTGTTGAAGGAGAGCTTGAACTTGCATCATGATAACAACTTGACAAAAATCAAAATGCATTTCAGGCTAGAGTTTACACGTGGCGTTAAACCAGGCATTTAAGAATGAAATTAGCATTATAATATAAATGAAAAAGTGAAATAGAATATTAAACTAAATCATTGAGTAAGCTGTTTGTACATATCACTACCTGCACGAGACCACGTCTTTTTCAATACAGCACAACTCCTGCCACGCGACGATCCTAGCGAGCTCTGACTCCTTATGCTGCACAGATACCGTCCCTCTGCATCGTCCAGCCGCCGACTCTGAATCATCGTTCAGGCGCTGACTCTGAATCATCGTTCAGGCGCTGACTCTGAATCATCGTTCAGGCGCTGACTCTGAATTCATCGTTCAGGCTCTGACTCTGAATCAGGCGACTCTGAAAAGCCGTTGTACACGAAGCACTTCAAGTAAAGACAAAAAAGTGAACATCTTTCATGGGTTAAAGTCCGCTCGTCTTGAAGGGCAACGAGAAAAAGTTCTGTATTTTTCACGCATCAGATTCGCATGTTTATTTGGCCCGAGATATACGAGCGGCTGGACGGCGCCGAGATTGATAATGCTGACGATGTTGTTCAATGGCGAGCGCCGTCCGTAGATTTATGGCTTCTGCCCCGGGGTTGAGGGGGCTGCACTCACCTGCTGGGGGTGAGGGACGGGGGTGAGAGTGGGGAATGTTTAGGTATGATGGAGATGAGGGTGAGATGTTTTGAGGTATGATGGAGATGAGGGTGAGAAGTGTTGAGGTATGATGGAGATGAGGGTGAGAAGTGTTGAGGTATGATGGAGATGAAGGTGAGAAGTGTTGAGGTATGATGGAGGTGTAACGTGAGAAGTGTTGAGGTATGATGGAGGTGTAGCGTGAGAAGTGTTGAGGTATGATGGAGGTGTAGCGTAAGAGTGAGAAGTGTTGAGGTATGATGAAGGTGTAGCGTGAGATTCATTGAAGTATGAAGGAGGAGAAGGGCGAATGGTCTAGAGGCATCGAGGTATGCAAGTAAAAATAGTAAGAGACATAAGAGATATTTGTGTGTGATAAGTGATGATATAACGAGTGAAATGCAGCGTGTCATGATAAGAACTATTTCGGTAATATTGATACGAGGCGAAGTGAAAATGTATTCGAAATAAAAAGGTAACCATGCATGATGGTAAACAGTTGAACAAAATATTGATATGATCCACCTTTGAGATCCATGATTCTAGTATTTGGTTCGAAGCACTGAGGCATGATGTCATAGTGTGTGAGGCATGATGCGTGTAAGGACTGCTCAGGATTAATGCATGGGGGCATGAATGAAGGGATGAATGAAGGGATGAATGAAGGGATGAATGTGATCCTCGGCCAGGACGTCGCTGGCGGGCGTTGATAGCGAGCATCGCGAGCAGCAACGCTGGCTTCTGGTGACGTGTCAGCCTAAGCCGAGGGATGTTGAATAACATCCAACATACTGACACTTGATTGCAGTATGTTGAATAACATACAACATACTGACACTTGATTGCATAAAAATCATCCTTGATTGACACCAGGAACATACTATTAACATATACGTGATTATATACGCCAAATCTTCCTTTATTGCTAACATATTCGTGATTGCAGCCAACACATGCTCGATAGAGGTACGATGGTCGGACGGTCATCTCCCGTTGAGAAAACTGGGAGTTAGAAAGAGAATTTCAATAATAAAGTGGAGTTGAAACGCTGCAATATCATTTACGATGACGTAATCGGTGTAAAATTGGTTTGAATTTGTAATTGGAATATATTTATTATAAGAGTGTTTATTTGGAAACTAATTTCCACTGCCTAATAAACATTCATGAAGGTCATTAACTTAAATTTAGCCTAACTTAAATTTCATTCTGTAAATGGGTTAAAACTCTAAAAAATAAAATGATAAAGGTCGTATTTACTATTTCAGTGCCCAACATTGCTTGTTTGACGTCAGAAATTTAATCGAAAGGTCATTTGTTGCCGCGGGCCTCGACGCGTTCAAGCTCCTATCACCGCTTCAATGAGGAAATTTCACAACAAATTGGCAAGGTTCTTGGCAAGCGCAATATCGGGAGCAATTTTGTGCGGCGATAGCTCGGGAATTAAGTTTCTTCCACAATGGACCTCTCGCTAGAACGCCGATATATTTAAGCCGGCGACAAGCGCCCAACATACAAGAATATTGCGTCGTCCAGGACGTCGCGGCCAGAATTATGCGTCGCCAAATGACGATGAAACGCTGGAATAATTTGACGCAGGATGACGTCGTATAATGCAATACTGGGGACGATGATATTCTCTATTCAGAAGACTGGATGTGAGGATGATGAGGTCGATTAGTGTAGGGAGATTGAGGATGATAGCTCGGCTTGAAAAAAATATTTCATGGGATGGTAAAAACACGTTATGTATAATAAATGTTATGGTATGTCAAAATCATACAATAAAACGCATGAAAATGATACCGTGGTATAACGTTTATAGGAAGAATGATGGCGTGTGTTGAGGCACATGGAAATGATAAGTACACAATGAAATGATATTATAGCAGACACAACATTCAGACCAACGAGAGCGTCGCATGATGACACTAACCATCAATGGAATGGTTACAGTGCCTCTCGTTATCGCGTTGCCAATGTCTGCGATTATCGATATTGCTATAGTTTCTGAGTAATTAATATCATTGTCTTCTTATTGTCTTGCATTCATACGCCGAAATTGTGCTCGAAAACAAAATAGATTATGCTGCTCATATGTCGGAAATTAGATCAACCTGACATATGAAATGAGTTCTTTTATTTTTATAGTTTTTTTATCCATAGAAGGGTTTATTCAAATCAATTAACCGTCAATGCACTAATTCTCTCAGCCTTTCCACGTAGGAAATGCTTGCAACAGATCTATACATTTATAACAAATTATGGATTATTTTTGATCATTTACAGCAGCTAAAACGGGATTTTGATACTTAAAGTGTGGGATAAACTTACATACAGTCTATAAATTATACAATATTTTGAAATATATGTTCAAAAATAAAAATCGAGAGTGATGCAAAGTCCATAGTTCACCTGAAATTTTCCTCATAAAACATGTGCCGGCGTACATGTTTCAGTTACTTGGTACTAGCAAAACTTCAGCATGTTCTCAGGAATAATAATTCAGTATTATATTTTATTTCACTTTAGAGAGACGCCTAATTTCAGCGGCTAAGGCGCATGCATATGGAGCTCAGATGCATGGGAGTGTCGCCGGCGCTGACCGCTCATTTGCCTCTTCAGCGCGGGCTCCGGGAGTCAGCTCGCTCCAGGGGAGAATTAAAATTCAACTCTTATTTAACAAAAAAAAATCTGGACAGGAACTCATGGAAAATTCACTTGAAAATTCCGCCAATAACTGCTTAATATCGAATCCTCATGTACAAAATATTACAAATGATAATTCTTTTAAAAATGCCATAAATTCAGAAATTTTTTACAAATGTCATAAATTAAATAGAGTCATGGAAACCTCACAAAACAAATGACTGAAGCGCACGGGTTGGCAGGGGGTAATTCCAGAGCTGGTGAGTGATCTGCTGCTCAGGTCGTTAAGCAAGACCTCGCTATGGCTCTAACTTAGAATAAGTGAGTCGGGCCTGTGAAATGGGTCCCTGCTGAATTACAATTGAATCATAAGCGACAGAATCGTTTGAATTTTACGATACGGAATCATTTGAATCATACAAGGTATAATAGTTTGAATCTTCCGAGACGGAATCATTTGAATCATACAAGGTATAATCGTTTGAATCTTCTGGGATAGAATCGTTTGAATCATACGAGATACATATAATCGTTTAAATCATACGAGATATAATCGTTTGAATCATACGAGATACATATAATCGTTTAAATCATACGAGATATAATCGTTCGAATCATACGAGGAATAATCGTTTACATCTTCAAAGATTGAATCGTTCGAATCATCCGAAATGGAATTGCAATAACCACAGGAATCTTGTAATTCTTTTATTTTAGAGCCGCATATGCCGGTGCAAAATGAGTAAAAACAAAAATATTCAGAAGGGTAAACTTTATTTACAAAGAATCTGTCGTTTAAAAAAATTATGAATATATTTTTAAATGTTTTTAAGAAAGTTGAAATATGTTGTCAGTTGTCATACGAGAGAAATAAATAAATAAATTATCCTCAAATTAGTCAAACAAATGTAAAATAAGTTGCAAATTATATAATAATAAAAAAAGAAACTGACAAAAACAATCAGCGATATTCAGGATTTGGAATCTTTTCGTGTGACAGTCCGAACAACGAACAGCAAAATCCTAGCTAGTATTTGATATAAACTTGTTGAAATAAGCAAAAAATATTACTAATTTATTGGTTAATAAAGTTTGGTGTATAACATGCTTGCCGCTGCTTCAGTAGAGCCTGATCGTCTTAAAGTCCCCCTGTCAAAACTTGGGCAGACTTCACTTTATTTAGAAGTCTCCTAACGACCTTGATTAGGGCAAACTAGGTTTCTTGGCTGCTTCAGCTCAGGCAGCCTGAATTTCCTTGGCGTGTTCTGCCGGAAGCTGAAAGAGTTGAGATTTTGAATTGTGTTTCTCATGCCACGAGCACAAAACATTGTTGTGGAAACACGTGTAAA